ACCATCAGTGTGGAGCTTGAACTCGCCCTTCTCGAGGATGAGGCTCTGAGCAAGACGGGTCTTGCCCCAGATATCCTGAGCAATGGTCTTGAGACCCTTGGGTCCGTGGTAGATGGCGTAAAAGGCAGACATGTTGGCCAGAAGAGCCTGGGCAGTGCAGATGTTGCTAGTGGCCTTTTCTCGGCGAATGTGCTGCTCACGGGTCTGAAGAGCAAGGCGAAGGGCAGGCTTGCCGAGTCGGTCCTTGGAAACACCGACGAGACGGCCGGGGATCTTACGCTTGTACTTCTCCGAAGTAGCGAAGAAGGCGGCATGAGGACCACCGTAGCCCAGAGGAACACCAAGACGCTGGGAGTTTCCAATGGCAATGTCGGCACCAAACTCACCCGGGGACTTGAGGATGGTCAGGGCGAGAAGATCGGTGGCGGCACTAAGGAGGGCCTTCTTCTCATGGACAATGTCGGCGAGCTGCTGGTAATCGTGGACACCACCGTTGGTGTCGGGGTACTGAACGAGAGCACCGATAAGGGTGCCCTCGGCCTCCCTGACGAGCTTGCTGTTGTCGGCGAGCACGTCACCGATGACGAGGTCAATTCCGAAACCCTCAGCTCGCGATTGGAGAACCGCGAGAGTCTGAGGGTGGCAGGTCTCAGAGACAACAAAGGTCTTCTTGCCCTTGGCGCGAGGAGCGTTGGCCATTGACATGGTCATGGCCTCGGCGGCAGCAGTAGCCTCATCAAGAACGGAGGCGTTGGCAATGTCAAGGCCAGTAAGGTCGGTGATAAGGGTCTGGAAGTTGAGCAGGGACTGCAGACGACCCTGGCTGATCTCAGCCTGGTAGGGCGTGTAGCTGGTGTACCAGGCAGGGTTCTCCAGAACATTGCGCTGGATAACAGCAGGGACCTGGGTGCCATAGTATCCAGCACCGATGAAAGACTCATAGACGGTGTTGTTGTTTCCCAGCTTGCGCATCTGCTTCTGGATAAAGGCCTCAGAGCGGCCATTGGGAGGCACAGAAGTCTCGGCGCCAGACTCCTCCCATTGCTCAACGAGGTTGAGGCCCTTTTGCTTCCTCCGGACCTGAGGGGGGATGGTCTGCTCGAGGAACTCCTCCATGGAGCTCACGGGCGGGTCAAGGACCTTGAGCATCTCCTGCTGCTCGGCCGACTCGCTGCCAATGTGCCTCCGCGAGAAGAGCTCATGCTCGGCAAGCTGAGTGCTGGTCTGAGAGTCGACGAAGCGACGGGGAGAGGCCTGGGCGAGGGGCACAAACAGTGAGAATGGCCTGCTGCCCGTCAGGCGGAGGGACTGAGTGAGACGTGGCTGGAGGGTGTTGACACGGCGAGACTGACGGCAAAGCCGTTGTCCGAGACGAGAAGCCGACATCATGATGGGCCTGTTGGAGTCGTCTCAGCCGGTATGAGAAGGTGTAGAGATCAAAAGATGGTCACTCCCTGAAGCTGTGAGAGACGGTATAAGACGTGCGCCGCAGACAAATTTTAAAGATAACATCCATGGTGGCGTCGGCGGTCATGGTCCGAGGGCCAAGCCAAGCATGCGGCTTAACTGGTGTCTCCTCCCGGCGGCAAGGAATCATGACAACGAGAAGCCTCTGCCGGGGGGTACATCGAGGTACAAAGAGGTACAAGCCAGCTTTGAAGAACCATCGGGGGCTAGTTCCAGAAGGATCAGGGCACGTGCAAGGGTCTCTTACGTTGGACCCAGTGACTCGGTGAAAAGTAGTTGCGGGAAATTATCGCCTGTGACTCGGTGAAAGGGGACCCTCAAAAAAAGGTACGAGAATTTGTTGTGCGTCTTCACCGAGTCAACATGTCACCGAGTCAAATCGCGAATCAAATCAGGTGGTCGGCAATAAAACCGCTGCGTGACTACTGCAGCTAAAGCACGTTGTGTTTAGTCTTTTTTTCCAGGGGCCGAGACCGTCCATCGGAGCTCCAACCGGAGTTGTTCTCCCCAGCCGGGGTTTTCGGGGTGTCCTAACCGATCCATCCCATGACATAATGGTTGCTATTGGTGATGCTGGCGAGGACATCACGATGGGAGCTTGATGGCACACGCACACCATCTCAGTACGTATTCAGAACCTCTATGAGTACGTGATCATTGCCTACATGAGTATGTACTGCATTAGTACTGCGACTTCGGGGGGGATTTTGTTATCAATCGAATCCATTCGGGTTGTGGATCGGCATTTGGCATCATGTACCCCCAAATCTCGACATGGTGAGAACATGGTATAAGTGAGCGCGTCCTCGCGATCTAATCTACCCCAGCTTTGAAGTAGAACAATCTCAATCAATTCAACATTTTCTACTCTCCTCTTCTATTAGTTCAACATGACTATCGACCGTCGTCAACCCTGGGTCACTACCCCTCTCATCAAGTCTCCTCACCTCTCCAAGACTGCGGGATGGTACGTTGAACAATGCTCAACTTTCCTACATCCTAATCCCTTCCATCAATAACTCTCATCACAATATCCTGCTTCTCCTTTCCCTGCGTATAAAGCCCAGATTTCTAAATCGTAGAAGTAGAGTACTCCTCAAGCTCGACAACCTCCAGCCTTCGGGCTCCTTCAAGTCTAGAGGCATTGGCAACTACCTCCTCCACCGTATCCGCGAGAGTGAAGAGGTCGGCAAACGACCACACTTCTATGCCTCGTCCGGTGGCAATGCAGGCATCGCCTGCGTTGTTGCTGCTCGATCCCTCGGTTACGAAGCTTCGGTCGTCGTTCCAACTACAACCAGCCCTGCGCTGATTGCGAGACTACACGCTGAGGGGGCTAGCGAGGTCATCCAGCATGGTCTCAGTGTTATGGATGCCGACAAGTATCTCAAGTCTGTTGTCCTTGCTTCAGACCCAGAGGCTGTCTACGTGCCCCCCTTTGACCACCCTGATATTTGGGAGGGAAACTCTACTGTGATGCACGAAATTGCAGCACAGATGAATGGCGAAAAGCCTGATGCTGTTGTCTGCAGTGTTGGTGGCGGCGGTTTGATGAACGGAATCTGTCAGTCCCTCGATAGCTTGGGCTGGACTGACGATGTCACCGTCCTAGCTCTTGAGACTGAAGGCGCAGACTCCCTTTCTCGATCGCTCCAAGCCAAGAGGGTCATCACTATGGATAAGATCACCTCGGCGGCTAGAAGTCTCGGTGTCGCAACTGTCTCGAAGAAGACCTTTGAGTACGCCCAGAGACCGCAGGTGATCAACGCTGTCCTACCTGATGGAGAAGCAGCCAAGGGTTGCCTGACCCTGGCCCGTCACGAGAGGCTGATGGTCGAGTTGACAGCTGGAATCGCCATCAGGCTGTGTGAAGACCAGCTGTTGGAGAAGCTAATGGGCCGGGAGTTGGGCCCAGATGCAACTGTTGTGCTCTGTGTTTGTGGAGGCAACGACATTTCTGTCGAGATGCTCATGAAGTGGCAGGAGCAGTATGGTACTTGAGACCAAGGTTTTCATTTGATTGTTTCTTTTGTTTGAGCGACTCTATGAAAAAGATGGATATGAATGTACATGAATAATTGTTCATTACACTGCAAGTTTTGTTGTCTTGGTTGTCAGTATTGATTAACTAGCTACCCATTCTTCAAATTATCATGTATCTTGATACGTGCTAGGTTCCTTCAAGCACTTGATTATGTTCCATTCGAGGCTGGTCGGTCATATCCGATTACGTACCCAAGATTGTTCCCTTGATCTGGGGCGAGTGATGATCATGGGTAGCGCTCATATGATAATAGAAAAGCGCAACAACCAATAAGAGAGACTGGTTACCGCGTCTAGAATAGCCTTTACCTTGAATATTGCTAGTGTTTCTAGAGGAGCGCGCTCTTCGCCGCTACCCTAGATCTTAAGGGGTAGATTGTCTCTTTAAGCGCGGGAGCCGTTCTTAGCTATTGTGAATCTCCCATACCTCATTTAGAAGGAGTAAATGTCTCTTCCTGATCAGAAGTATAGACTGAACGCATGCTAGAGACGATGCTTATAACTGCGCTCAAGACTTGGATACGCGCCAGTTGGTCAAAAGTCCCCCTTGAGAACTAGTAGATCCGAACTTCCGGACTCTTATCAGGCGTTTTTACCTGAACAGGAAATAATAACCTTTTAACTTTATTAGCACCCCATCATACGAATAGGCTCATGATCGATCAACGCATATATCGCCCCTTGGAACGAGCCCAAAGGAAGGCCAGTCCCAGAAACCCAACCTGATGGGAAGGGCGGCATCGCGGCTCGCTTATCAGACCTCTTGAAACCCTGAGCCGCGGTTCGCATACAACAGGTGGTCATTGCTGCTCCAGCTAATCACACGTAAAGCGGGTCAGGGAGCATCAAAACCGAATGGGCTCCGTCCCGGCGAGTCCGCTATCTAAGAGGAGTCAATGCGTATCTCGCCGCGTGGGTATTACAGTACACTCAGTTTCAAATGTCCATTTGTTAACGTTTTCTTAGATATCTGACAACACCCCCCCCGGAAATGCGGACCGCGGTTGGGCAACTCTATCAGCGCGGCAACGCCCGCAATTGGTCATCTCCCACGGATGAAGTTAAACACAAGTTGCCCAAAACCCCCTATCGTCCTCTGACATTAGTCTTGAGGTTTTCATCCCTGTTCCCCCGCGTTTTCAGCCCCGAACCCATGCAACGCCACGAGCGTGGGTGGTTCCATGCCTTGTTCTAGACGGCGTCATCCGGAGGGAGCTTGGATGCTGATGCCTTGGCTAAAATGCGTCGTATCTCGCCTTGTTTTTTGTTTTTGCTTTCTTCTTTTATTCTCGTGAGGGCCTGACTACCTCGGATAAACTATACTACTTTACCAACTAATTCTACTGATACCCTTTCTTTGATCGTTGGATCTTCTAGTCCCCCCTATTTTGAGTTCCTGAATTCCATTCGCAGCCTCCTTTCTTGGCACTGGGCATCTAGTCCCCTATCTTGTCTTGGCACCTGCCACCTACAACCTCAACCCAATCACCATGGGGTCGTCCACCCAATTGGGGTATGCCGCTGAGCTGCCCAAGACTCTCAGTATGATGAGTATTCTCGGCATGTCTTTTGCAATTATGGCTGTTCCCTTTGGTCTGTCCACAACATTCTACATCACCCTTGTCAACGGACAAGCCGTCACCATCATCTGGGGTTGGGTCTTGGTCTCCTTGATCTCTCTCAGCATTGCCGCGTCACTAGCCGAAATTTGCGCCGTCTATCCAACGGCTGGAGGTGTCTATTACTGGTCTGCGATCCTCAGTACTCCCAAATATGCACCGGCCGTTAGCTTCATTGATGGTTGGATGACATTGGTTGGCAACTGGACTGTTACCCTGTCCATCAACTTTTCAGGCGCCCAGTTGATTCTCAGTGCCATCACGATTTTCAACGAAGACTTTGTCCCTAACGAATGGCAAACTGTCCTCTGTTTCTGGGCTGTCATGTTGGTTGCCGCTCTTATCAACGCGTTCGGATCCAAGTATCTCGACCTCTTCAACAAGCTGTGTATCTACTGGACCGGAGCCAGCGTCGTCATCATCCTCGTTACACTTCTCGTCATGGCAGACACCAGGAGATCCGCCGATTTTGTCTTTGGTCACTTTGACGCGTCTGCTAGTGGATGGCCAGGTGGTTGGTCTTTCTTTGTTGGACTGCTCCAAGGTAAGTCGACGTCTTGGAACTTGCTCTCATTCTTGTACTGACAACATTGTAGCTGCGTACACTCTTACAGGATACGGAATGGTCGCCGCCATGTGCGAAGAAGTCCAAAACCCCGAACGCGAAGTACCCAAGGCCATGGTCCTATCCGTCGTCGCAGCCGGCCTCACCGGAGTTGTATATCTCGTCCCCGTCCTCTTCGTTCTCCCCGATGTTACCGCCCTCCTCGCCAGCAGCCAACCGATCGGACTACTCTTCAAGACTGTTACAGGTTCTGCAGCTGGAGGCTTTGGCCTGCTCTTCTTGATTCTCGGAATCTGGCTCTTTGCTGGCGTCGGTGCTCTCACTGCTGCCTCTCGTTGCACGTATGCCTTTGCCCGAGATGGTGGAATTCCCGGAAACCTGTGGGCCAAGGTCAACAAGACTCTCGATGTCCCTCTTTGGGCTATCATCCTTTCCACCGCCGTCGATTGTCTGCTGGGATGCATCTACTTCGGCTCTTCTGCCGCTTTTGGCTCATTCACCGGTGTCGCGACCATCTGCCTTTCGGCTTCATATTGTGTCCCTATCCTGGTCAGCGTGGTTCGAGGACGACAAGCTGTGCGATCTTCCCCGTTCCCCCTCGGCAAGCTGGGTTACGTCTTGAACTACATCAGTCTCGTTTGGATCTGCCTCGCCGTTGTTATCTTCTGCATGCCCGTCTCGTTGCCGGTCACGCCTTCATCAATGAACTACGCTAGCGTTGTTTTTGCTGGATTCGGAGCCATCAGTGGTGTTTGGTACATTGTTTATGCTAGAAAGCACTTCAAGGGCCCGATTATTATGGATATGGGTGCGGAGGAGTACAACTCGAATGCTGTAACTGATGCTGAGCACGAGAAGGGGTTGAACATCTCTGACAACTCCGCCGATGAGGAGTCTAAGAAATAAGCCTGTCGATTTGAGCGAATAAGTAGCATATCTTTTAAAGCATTGAGTTCTGCCAATTCACTAGTTAAGCTTTCCATGCTGGAGCTGAGACCTGACCATTGGGTCATGACCCGACAGGGCTGTTTTACATCCTATATGATAAAAGCATTGTTGGTGTATTACTGGTTTTGTTACTCGAAACTTTACTTCGTACCCTCGGAGCAGGTTTAAGAATTTTTGATTGGTATGCGTAGTCCGAAATACAGTGCCTGTTCATGCGGGATTAGGGATCCATTGAGCTATAACAAGAATACATATTCGTTTCCTCTTCAAGGTCTTTTATAGCCAACTTTAACTTCTAGTATATTTTAGTCTACTCGGCCCTACACACTTATTCAACTCAATACCAGCCCTTTATCTCTTACTTTTCCGATTAGTTATCTCTCTGTTCAGCTCCTGAGAGCGGGGAACCTCCAGCAACTTATCACAGGGGCCGGGATAGATGACCTAGCTCGGCTACCTCCTGTCAGCTTTGAGGATCACATCTCGAAGGCATCTTATAATAATGCTTAAATATAGCAACTTCTCTCGCATTTTTGTCGTTCAAAAGCGCTCCTCAAATAGCTTACATCTTCAAGGTAACCAGAGTGCTGTCTCGCCTGTGAGGAGCAGACGTACGATGTGAACAAGCCGTCACTCCTCGGCAGTTAGGCATCACAGCCTGATTTGGATTGATTGGCGAGGGTGCGTCTGCTGTTGGTTGCGCTGTTTACTTCAGCCGCAATCCACTCCTTGTCTTACACTCTTAATAAGGACCAAAAGGGCCGCTACCAGCTGAAAGAAAAGTGCAAACACCTCGAGCGAAGCGCGGGGGTGCCAAGCCCAATCCTGACACATGAGATACACATCTCCGCCTCCAGTGTCTCAGTATACGAGGCTCTGTTCTAATTCTGTGTTTAGAATGACGTGGCGGTCGTCAGTTAATGGCTATCCAGTTTTCTCTTCTCTCAGCTAGGTTTGGACAGATTGACATGTCCTTGGTGTTCGCAGCGCGTAGAGCAGCACGTATACCCGCAGTGGATGATGGCCTGGTTAGAGCCTCAGTAACTTGGCTGGAATGAGTGATTGCAAACTGAGACTAAATATTCCCCTTCCATCTCTCTCGCTTAAGCACTGGAAAGTGACCTGCTGCCTCGCTTTCACTGCGACTTCAGCTCTTGGAACCGACACCTTGGCGATGGACCAAACTCAAGACTACCTCAGCCGCTGACAGTAATACCCCGGATCATCTTGACCACCAGCCTCTCAAAGCTGACGACGTAACTCTCCGACTCCCCTCGGCTTCCAAGCCCTTGCAAGCACTCCGACACCGCCCCTGCAAAACTCGTGCCCATCGCAAACCTGACCTTGCCCATGATCTCATCGCTTTCGTTCAGCATGTGCTCCGTCACCTCGCCCGGCTTATTTGCACCCACGGCACCAACAACCTGCTTGATTGGCGACCACAGGGCTATCTCAATCAGCAGTATACCCAGGGAGTATAAGTCGAACTCCTTGCAGTACGAGTGGCTTCTGTGGCCTGGATTGCATAGTCGGTTGTTTGGGTGCCGGTAGAAATCGTCGTCCTCGCCGCCCGGGTCTGCCGCTTGTGTCAGGTTTGGTTGGGATGCCGGTCGGGCCAACTCGAAGCCAGACACGCAAGGCTCGGCGTAGGTAATGGGCTTGTCCGGCTGTTCAAACAGGAGAATGTTGCTGGCACGAAGCGCCTTGTGTAACCAGTCGACGGCGTGCAGCTGACAGACGGTTTCAGCCACGGCGCGTGCGAGGGCAAGCCGAGACCCGAGATCAGGCTGTGAGGTTTCCTGCTCGAGGCAGTGGGAGAGGGCAACGATGGAAGCCTCCTCGTGGGGCTTCTCGAAGAGCAGTCCAAAGGCGCCGTCGTGGTCGTAATAGCCAACGCAGCGAGGGACGCGGAAGCTCGGCGGCAGCTTCAAGTGCAGCAGCATCGCCAGCTCGCGCACCACCAGCCGCTCCAGCTCGTCCTTTGTGGGCCGCGAGGGCTGCGATGGCTGCGGATATCGCTTGAACTCGACCCAGTACCCGGGCTTGCCGCCGACCTCTGCCTCCCACCGCGACATTGCCAACTCCTCCTCGTCCAGGGTCCCGACTCGATCTCTGGGCAGCTTGAAGGACGACTCGTCGCCTGCCGAAATGGGCCTGTCGACATCGGCCTGCCCCTGGAGCCTTTGCTTTTTGAGCTGCGCCAGGTCCCGCAGAAGATCCTCAGTCTGATTGCGCATGAGTCCAGGACCGTTGTTGACGCCCAGAGCCTCAATCATCTCCTTCAACCCACCGACCGTGTTCCGCACTTCCAAAAGAGCCATGTTCGTCGCCTTAGCCTCTTCGTAGATCTTCTGCTGGGTCTTGAGCTCCGACAAGGCAATCACCGTGTCGTTGACGTGTCTGGCATACTCCACCAGTTCCTCTAACTCGCTCATCCTGAACGTCACCCACTTGATTTGGTCCTTGGCTTTGTGCATCGTGTCCCTGACTTTGGACCTGAATTGACGGTCCTTTCCATGGGTCTCATACGACGGTCTGTCAAAGGAAGGACTCTCGGAGATGAACCTCTGAATGCGACGCAGCAAGGGCTCCATGTGTCCCTGAGCCAGGTAACGAACGTGATCAGGGATGGTGATTGTCATTGCTGGTTGGTCGATGTCAAGGCCGACGGCTTTACCCCAGCTCGAAAGTCTGGTCTCCTCAAGCGTGAGCCGAAAGCGCAGTGTTTGGTACTCTTCTGGCACTTCCTTCACATCCAGCATAAATCTAATCCCTAGGCCTTCGGTTAACATCAAGTGGACTGTGGAAGCAAGACCGGAATTCTCTGATGAGTCTTAGTTACCTTGGGTCACACCGGCAAAGACCTGAAACAAGATCGAAGCGCTCCCAAGCGCCAGCCCGGCCACACTGAGAGGGTCTGCCATTTTCAGGATGTTGAGCTGTGGAGGACTGGTCTGACCCGGTCTCGACCAGGCTGGGAATGGACCATGTTATATAGCCTCGATTACGCGCCGGGCCCTTGAAGGGGTTGCCGACCAGCTGAACCAAGCCCAGCCAAAGCCAAGCCACCTCACGCAGTCCTTACCGATGCCTCAGTACTCGGTCGTTATTATCGTAGCGGGCCGAGTATAAGAACCCTCCACTTCTCTGCCATGCCCATTCACTCAGATGATCAGGTCCACCACACGTCACAAACCGCAACACATCATCTTTATTCATACTCTGATCACATCCAGACTCCAGAATGTCTTCGGCTTCCTCTGCTCCCCTCCAAGCTCTGCTTAACTGCGCCCGCGATACCCGCGCCCAGCAGCCCGAATCCTCCTCCTCGAGGCTTGCCCTGGATTTCCTCTGTACGACGCTCGAAGGCTCCGCGCCCCTGTTAGATGGCCTTGACTCGGGCACTCTATCCATGCTCGATAATCACTACGACACATGTCGTGGGGCGATCAACTCGATAGTCGACATCCAGAACGACTACCATAGGCAGATGCAGACAGCGAGAGACAAACTGTCGCGGGCATCGATCCAGCTGCAGTCCGCGCTGCAGCAGACGCAGCTGAGAAGGAGAGACATCTGTCACTATGGAGCGGGATGCAGACAGTTCGGCTGCGAGTATCTCCATCCCGACGCGCCGCCCTGCCGAAACGGTGCTACTTGCAGAGACCAACCGTGCCCCTTCAAGCATCCCAACACCGCGCCGTGCCAGTTTGGGGGAGACTGCACAACCCCGGGGTGCACCTTTGGCCATCCTCAAGCCGTCAAATGTCGCTTCGGGGCAGGCTGCAAGACGCCTGACTGTAGCTTCACCCACCCCGAGCCTCCTAAATGCCGTCATGGAGCGGGCTGCAAGAGCAAGAATTGCAAGTTTTCTCATCCCGAAGCCGTTGACTGTCGGTTTGGGGCAGGCTGCAAGACGCCGGGCTGCACCTTTACCCACCCCGATCCAATCGACTGCAAGTTCGGGCAAGATTGCCGTCGCAAAGATTGCAAGTTTGCCCATCCTCCACCGCCGTCTCCGCCTCCTTATTCCAAGACGCCCAAGGAAGCTGAAGGCGGCTCCCCGGCGCCGAGAGGCAGACATGGTAGAGGGGAGTCCAAGGGAAATTTGAAAGGGAACTCCAAAGAGGTCTCTGAAGAGCACTCCAATGAGAACTCCAAGGGCAGCCCCAAGGGCAACTCCAATAAGCGCCGACCCAAGTCTACCGTTATTCCAGAGAGACAATCACGGGAATGAGTGTTGGATATGTCTGATGCAACAAGGCCATGCATGTGTGGTCTAGGAATTGTTGCTTGCAGAGGACAGAAGGCAGTAAATTGTAACTAGGTTGTGTGAACGATGTAGAAGAGGGGGCAACGTTGGGTTATTTTGCGACGAGTCTCGTGTGCTTCTGTATCTTTGATTTATTAAATCACGTTTCTCTGATGTGTTTGCTCTTCATTCTTAAAGATCGTACCAACGCTTGGAGCCAAGTGACACAGGTCCTGTAGGTAAGGGGCAAGTCCATGAGGCGCGTCCCCACCAAACTCAGAACTGAACTCCAGAGCCTTGTCGAATTACAACCTCAAAAACAGGCTGAGGTGTTCTTGGCGAAAGGGCTGGCAACGAAATAGCCGAGACAAAATTTTAACAAGCGCCCTGTTGCGGCCTTGGATCCGGCTTGGTGGGATCTCCATTCGAGCTCAAAAAGGATCCCCGTGCGAACGAGGCTGTCATAAATAGTTTCCGTCCGAGCTACTTGTTGATCCATCACATTCCTGTTAGAATGACTACAGCAGGGGCTCTGCCTGATGCCGAAATTGCTGGCCAGATCCGACCATTTCTGTTGGCGTTTAGCTGGATCACAGGGGCTCAAAGCACCCCTTGTATTTATCCTCAGCAATCATGTTGTTATTGCTCTTCCCCAGACGCAACTTTCCGGGAGCCTCGTCCGTACCGACGGTGCGTATTCCGGTCCATTGTCCATCTTGCGAGGCAAAGCCACAGCGGCAATGGAGGGGCAACTCGGCTGAGACAACTGAGATTACATGCCCGCGCTTACGGGAGTTCTTTGATGGCCCATACGGCATCTTTGAGAAGGGTCCGCATCGCGGCAACCCAAGCACATCATTCTAAATAAGCAACTGAACATGTGAGCCGCCTTGGGAGGGAGGGGGTGGCGCACTAAGCATGCATACAAGCGCCCGTACTTCAGCAGGATGTGGCCCTGAGTATCCGTTGCTTGGTTCATTGGTGGTTGGCTTCCTCAGCTGCTGAGCCGTGGGTGGCATGTCAGCGTCTCCCAGCCGAGATCTGTTCTCCCAGCCGAGAGTACTTGGGTATTTATATCTATCATATATGCTGCGTCTTATTCGGCTCGCTGAATTTGTTATTGGTTCTCTGCAAACTCTGGTATACGGTTGCCTTCTTCCTTGACTAGTGGACTCTAATCTTGTTCCTTGTTCACATCTGGTTCATATTCTCCCAACAAACCCTGAGAGGATAATCCCCGATGGCAGAGACGTGGGAAGACCGCGGCATAGGCGAAACCGCAAACGCTGCTGCTCAGTTCCCCGGCCAAGAATTACTCGAATCGCTCAGCAAGAGACAGGGCCATTGGTCAGGCAAGGGCCAGTGTGCCTCATTTAAGTCCAAGCCCAAAGCCAACGACCCCAAAGTTAACGATTTGCTGAAGAGACTGGAAGACAAGGGAGTAGGGGCGTTTGGCAAAGTGTCGAAATCCAAATTATGCGTCGACGGCCGAGATACTGTCGTCGCGACCAAGGAAATCGGACATTGCCCAAAAGACATCATCGCCAAGGAGATTGATATCCTCAAACATCTCCAGCACCGACACTTGGTTACTTTCATTGGGTCATACACCATCTCGACCAGCACGACAATCATCATCTATCCTTGCGCCAGCTGCGATCTGAAGGAGCTCCTCGAGACGCTGAACAAGGCACAGCACGATGGCCTCCGGGATGAAGCAACCAACCAGCTTAGAAAGCTGGGATGGGCCGCGGGTGATTGGGAACCGGCCGCCATACATTCTCAACTTCGTCGAATCTGCGGCTGCATCGCCAGCGGCCTGCTGTATCTCGAGCAGAAGAAAATCCGACACAAGGACATCAAGCCCTCCAACATCCTCATTGATTCTAGAGCGGCATACATTACCGACTTCAACGTCTCGGGAAACTACCATGGCAAAGATTCGACGCGAACCTGCGGCCCGTTCACCGGCACGCAGTGGTACAGCGCCCCGGAGTCTTTGCTTGGCGAGGAACGCGGGTCGCCTGCAGACGTCTACTCTTTGGGCCTTGTTTTCCTCGAGATCTTTGCCTACATCACTGGCCACTCTTTAGGCCGCATGAGAGCCGACTATACGATTGACAGCGGCCGTGCCCCCGAAGGTCTCCCGTCCGAGGAGCAGGTGCAGCGGAATGCCAACCTGAAAATCATGCTGGTGACGCTCAGCTTCCATGAATCTGGGAAGGAGAACCACGCCATGCGCGATTTGATTCTTGGCATGATCAGCAAGAACGAAAGAGACCGACCGCACGCGTTTGAAGTCATCACCGAGCTGTGGGCGATCAGTCCAGATGGACAGTTCTTCTGCCGCAGCTGTCACGAGCACAAGGACTGCTTCGGATACAAAGGCTTGCTGAAGCGGCACAAGTTGCTCCAAGACAAGTACAAAAGGTTGCGGGGAGAAATTCGGCAGCAAGAACTGGGCGCCGCCTCTCACAGCAGCAATGTCCCGCAACTTCAAGTGCAGACAGCATCGTCCTTAACTCGCCAATCCCCCAAATCGCCCTCATCCGGACGACGGACGCCCTCCAGCAACGACATTGCATCTCAGCCCCCGCCGCCCCCAGCACGGCAGAGCGAGCTCGCCGTGCGTGAAGCGCAAGAGATGCACAGCTCCCATATGCATGTATGGGCATTTATGTCCCCAGGGTCCATCCAAAGAAACTCACGGCTGCGACTTTGACGAGGACATGCATCAATTGGATACGGTTCCAGTATTGGATACGGACATACATGACTGAGGGATGCTCACTTGGCACCCCCATCGGCCTAAAAGCTGCACGCTTTTACAAGGAGGCAACTCGATTGTTAAACATGAATTTGGACTATGTTAGTCTAGGGCAGGGTCAGCATCAAGAGAGAAATCTCTGGAATAAGTTTGTATTTATTGGTTGTTCAAGAGATATGCATATTTCACATGCTGTTTGGGTCCCCGTTTGCTAACTGCCATGACTGCCGCACTGAATACAAAAACAGGGATCCTTGCAATCAAGGGAGCGTTCTCCTTTTTGTTTCAGTGGCTTACATACAGACTTGGGCAAGAGTTGAAGCATTCCTGGGGTGCTGTACTGTAGATGCCGCTGCATCGTTCATGCGTGATGACGCTGAGCGTGTCTAAGGTGGTAGATAGGAGATGAAAATATCCATAGTGCCGGTGCTTAGGAGAGGCTTGTATTTGAATGATTGAATGGGCGCGTATGATTAGCGCCTATATCGTGACTACGTTTTGATTTTTAAATCGTGAATATTGGTTCAAGATGCACTCACCTAGGGTCGCGCGACTAATATGGTAGCTCACCTTCCCTAGGTATCAACCGTGGGCTCCGGCTACATAGATTATCATGGGAGAGCCAAATGCGCATTTCTCTTCTAGTACAAAGGGAATATTTTGGGAAGTCTCAATTTGTCGACAATAGGATGTGACCATTGCTTTCTATATACCATTACGCTCCTCCGAATTATCTATGTCCTTTTCCTGAAGAGGTCTATATACCTAGATTTTGCTTTAACGTCACATGGTATGCTCGACATGATCCGGGTCTGTGTCGCCCTCTTCTGTGTCAAGTTGGAATCTCGCAGCAGTACTATGCGGTCAAGTCCTTCCAAACCTCAATACAAACAAAACAAAGAAGAAAATATCAATTAAGCTTCTCAACGTGTTGATGATCCTTCAGTACTCCTCTTTCTTCTGTCAATCTGGGTTGGGCTTGGCGCGATGTTCTCAAGAGGAATGTTCCGCAGTCTACTGAAGAACCCTGGTTTACCAACAGCGGGGGTTGGTCGTGGGGTAACAGACGCATCTGAAGAAGACGTCTCTGAGGCTGCATCTGATAAAGGTCGGTCGGCAGGTCTAATAGAGCCGGACAGCTGGCCATTAGTTGGAGGTCGCGCAGCCATTTCCTCCTCTGTCGATGCCTGGGACTTGGGCGAATATTGCACATCTGGGATATACCAAGAAATCCACGCCGACAGGAGCATCAAAGGTATCAAGGCAAGGAGTCTGATTCCAAGTGCCCTCTCCCGACTCTTCCACGCAGAGATGATGCCACGGATCAAGATCGCTCCCATTTTGCCTGATGCTGCCGCGATGCCGTTAAAGGTTCCTCGGTAGGTCGTTGGGAAGATCTCTGCGGCGAGGACAAAGATGAGCGTGTTTGGACCAATGTTGAAGACGAATTGAAGAATAGCGTAGCAGATAATGGCCGCAATGTGTCCTTCTCCTTCTTTGTCAGTAAGAAGAGTTGCGCCGGTGATTGCAAGAAGGATGCTGATCACGAAAAAGGTGACGATGAGGATGACCTTTCTTCTGAAGAAGTCGATGATGAGGATAGACCCGAGACTGCCTAGGATAGAGGCAATCGACACGGTCAGGATGGACCTCAGGGCGTTCTGCTCAATCATGCCATCGATGGTATTGTTGAGGTTCCAATAGTCCTTGTTCCACCTCTGCGTTTCACAGGTACCATTACCTCGTCGGCTCGACTCGGGAAAGTCTCCAAAAGTATGGAAAGCAATCCCGGCACATTCTTCAGAGCCTGGACGGTGATACAGCGTGGCCAAGGCACTGCTCAAGTCCATGGTTAATCCGTACCAGGGAACGTCCATGATTGCCCAGAGGAGAGAAATAATGAAGAGAGGTCTCCAACCTTGTTTGGGTCCTGTCAAGTACTCCCAGGCGGTAGAGTACCAGGCGTGCCAAGGCTTGTCACGGTCGTCTTGCTCTTGTGTCGGTGCGGCGTTGAGTTCTTGAGCCTCTTGACCAGTTCCGTTGCGGGGATAGAGCCTCATGGCAGTCAGAACGCCCTTTCGAGAGTCCTTCATGATGGCTGCGTAGAACCTCGGAGTCTCGGGGATGGTGAGACGAAGTACGATGGCGATGGCGGCAGGGATGAGGGCAACACCGACTGTCCATCGCCAGACTTGGTCAGCGACCAACTTGTGTCCAGCCTCATCCTCGGGATCCCAGTTCCGAAGCGTGGTCCGGAGGGCGCCGAGACTGACTCCCAGTGACAGGAGACGTCCAAAAGACTGCATGGAGAATACCGCCGACAGCATGATGCCTCGGGACTGAGTCGATGCCCATTCGGCAGTGATAATACTCGAGAGAGGGTACTAAAAAAGACTGTAAGCTCGCCATTGTCCTGAATAGCTTCACTATGGTTACTCACTTCAGCACCAATACCAAATCCGAGCAGGAATCGCCACCATGATACCCAGGAGTAGATACTCATCGATCTGTCAGGCCCATTGCTATTCTCCGCCATCAGGCCCTCCGATGACTGTACCATGCCCATGGTAGCAACAATAAGAATGGCCAGCTCTGCTCCGTACCACTTCTTTCGCCCAGAACGGTCAGCAAGATGACCCATCACCAGCATACCCAGAATGGTGCCAACGAGGGTGAGCTCGTCAATCACCAAGCTGGGATCTCTTCCCAGTCTATCATTGGGAGGGTAGACATAAAACAAAGCAATTGAGAGAAAGTCGACAGCAAAGAGACTGTAAGAAGAGGCCAGGAAACCAGAGGCGGCAACAAAGAAGACCCTAAACTTGAAACCACCATCATTGACGATCTTGGTGATCTGTCTCTCGATCTCTCGGGTGGTCTGAGCGGAGTCTTAGCCTCCCCGCCGTTGCAATGCATCAAACGGTGCTGGGATGTCTGTGGGGAAAAACGTACATAGTCCTGCTCCGGTCCCAGTTCCTCGGGATAGCTCAACCAGAATCGATATCGATGTCCAGTCCGTCGATCAGTCTCACTCTCGGTCCGGGAAAGGTGGTTAGCCATGGTGGAGTTGCGCTGCTGCACGGAAGAGCAGTCGAGGGAACTTGCATGGTGACAGGAGTTGGTTCGTCCGAGTCCATATAGCAACGGTAGGACTTTTCTCGACAGCTGCGTACACAGCCTTGTTTGAAAAAGCCACAATCATCCCATTGTCTAATTTAACCAGGCGTGCCGAGATGCAATACTGCCTTGCAAGGCCTTTTCGCGAGACCTGGTCCCCTCGAATCAGGAGGCGGCGTTGCCCCTCGTGATAGACATGGCGTCTTTAATTTGCCCTCAACTCCACGACCTCGTCAGCCGCAACAGGGTTGAAAGGGTGTCATCGGGGCTCAATATCGTTTAGGTACGTCTGCAGGTAATGTGACAAGTTGTGCCATATCACCCTGCCTGATTTTACTCAGAAAGCCCTACAAGGCCTCTCCCCCACCTCGAGAAATCGATTCCTCACCGAGAGACAATAGAGCCCACCTCTTGCAACATGTTCTGCAAAGCATGGCGGAACTTGCGTTAGGGGTCGTGTCACTGACCTTTCAGGTTGTCTCGCTAGTCAACTCTGTCATTGATAGCTTTGATCGCATCCAGAATGCCCCACAGGAGCTGCGAGACTTTCGCCAGGGCGTCGTGCGTCTGCAGCGGCACTTTGAGTTCCTCGGCGCAGACGTGTCCGGCGTGCCGGATCTTGGCTTCCTACACGTCGACGATGCCACGGCTATCGAGGAGACACTCACCCTGTGCAAGGACCTTTTGCAGCAGCAGGTCAACCGCCAGGAGGGTATGGTGACCAAGGTTGTCCGTGGTGTCTGGACCCTTCGGAACAGTCAGAAGCTCGTCAAATACAAGAACCAGATAAACGATCACTATACGCAGATAATACTACCTAGCTGGCTGCGATGGATAAGGTGAGTTTGAGACAAACCAACAGGGTATCCCTTCCTGTCACTGACCGGGATGGCGATCGACTAGTGCGAGGAACTACTACCAACCACCGCAACAAGAGTACTTTGATCCGACTGTGGAGGTGGAACCGGACGATCACAGCTCCCTGGTCTCTGCGCAGCAGTTGCAGAGCATGTCTCAGAGTCTTGATGAGCTTAGAGCCGCCTACAGCAGGGAAGAGATTGAACACCGACTGTTTGAGATTGACAACCAAGTACGGGCATGGAGGGTTGAACTTGGTCTTGACGATGGGGCAGAAGACGATGATTATCTATTTCCACGACGTAAGTGCGATATTTGAGACGAGCTGACTGTTGGAATCAAATGTTTGCCATGGCTAACACTTGAGACAGGCCCATCAACCTTGAGTTACGAGTATGCACCTACCACTCTGTAAGTTGGAAATTAAACTTTTATCGTCCCTAGTTTTAATACGATTATAGATACTTGGAAAGTGCTCCCCCACAACACCGAAAAATCCGACTAGAAAGACTCCATATCATGGCTCGAGACGACGAGTCCCGCATCCTCCAGTACCAGGACCACGACGCGACCATACACGTCACGCACATCGGTACGCGGTTTGCCTCTCTTCCCGTCACCGCTTAACCTTGTTAGTGCCCTTTGGGTCTATCCCCTGGACGCCAGAACTATCCTCGAAGCGAGTTTCCTTCCTCAAAGACCACCTCATCACCGTCGTTGATAGTGAAGGTTATCATCTCTACCGATTACATCCCAAGTACAAGTTTCACGATCAAGATGCTTGCGAGAAATTTCAGTCAACGCTGAGAGAGAGAGACTTTTGCGGGGCGTATGAACCCGTCGAGATCAAGATGGGTAGTCGTACCGTGGCTCGAAGACAGTTGATACGGTTCTGGCACAGATCGGCACAACAGAATGTGCCAACGACGAATACAATGACCTTTTATAAGTCGTCTGGCAGCCGAACAGGAAGTCATGAGGAGCTCAACTTGGCGGATTTTGAGCCTATCAATATGCTTCCACGACGCCGCAGTCTCTCTGGTTTCGGAAAGAAGCCCGCAGAGTCCAGCTCAGTGGACATATACCCCTATAACCCAAACTCGAAGTGCCTAAATATCAAGTTTGAAACTCCCGAAGGTGAGTATTTCATGCTGATACTTTACTCTGCCCTGTCTGACTCCGTCACTAGAAGCAGCAGAATTCAAACAGCGCTTTGACTCGATACAGAGAGGAACATATCCTCCCCCTCCCTCGATAAGGAGCGAATCCAGAAATACAGGGTCATCTTTGGCCCCTACTCCATCTCTTACAACCTCCCTAACTAGTCCAACCTCCTCGACTGCACCCAGTATTACCATGGATATAGACCCATATGATGAAGCAAATTCGTGGGGAGCCGCGTTTGTGCATTTCAGGCCCCAGTCCTAGAATGTGTAGCTGTACTAATACAACACTGTAAAACACTCATTCAACTCATATCACATTTGAGGGCGAAAGCGAGGAGTAAACAGGTATCGAGGGGCATGCACAGGCTTTTTTGGTTACATGATAGCCTGTTAATAGTTTAATGCAACGTCTTATTCTTGAGCCTTGACTTGCACCCACTGTTGCTGTTATGAGACGGGTTTGTTTACGGCATTAGTATGGGCAAATTCATGATAACTTAATGACTTGAGTCCTTTTTGTTTCAGGCAAAGCTTAGCATTGTCTTCAGAACCCCCAGTAGAACGGATGTGCGTGGCCACCAGAGATCCGAAGGAAGCCGCCAACAAAAGTGAACTCACTCCACAACATGCAAACAAGCCAACTGCTGCTCTTTATCCCCCCTACATCTCCAGCGCGCAGTATCATCAACCTGGGATGCACGACAAAGTTGGGTGTCAGCCGGAACCACCGGAAGAGTGATATAAGACCGCCATATGCTCGTTGAAGCTAACTTTGAACCATCCGAGCCAGAGCCTCGGTCAGGTCCGAGCTAGTTGATTCAATTGAACATGTGAGTTGTCCAACGTCTGACAAATCGATCCTTTCACTGCTGAAGCTGGCTCTTGATGGCAGTGCCGAGGTTGACATGGGTGTGCATCTCGGCCAATTGGGAGTCTGCCGTATAACAAGCTCTCTACTCTCTTGTCAATCCCAGGCACTGCCGTTTGAGTTCCTTGAATTGAGACATGACTAGCTCGAGAAGCAGGGGCATGGGCGGTTTACTAGGGCGGAACTATTAGAGCGCGGAAGCCATATGTGCGTGCTGTCGACGTCATAGAGGTAAAGGCTGGGTGGTCAATTGAGTCGAGCCAGCATGATGACCGCTGCATTAGCCAAGCCTGGAGGTTGCAGTCTCATGCGGCTCTGGTCTCAATTCATCTAGGATCATCACCAGCTAGCGATGCAGCCGAGACACGGGTGCTTAATTTGCTAGGATATGCTTGTTGACGGGCGGGGAACGCTTGCAAAAGGTCTCGGGAGAAGCTGGGGATCTCGATGACGGATTTTGTGAAGATTCTTGACGGCGCCATGACGTTCGGAAAGTCTCATCGGGAGGTGACCGAACCTCTTATAAAGCTCTTGACCGTTGCTAAGTTTGAACCTATATCATGTCCATCCGAGTCAACCTTTGCTTCGGTCTTCTTCTTACATCCTCATGCGACAACCTCAACTGCCGACACCCCAGAAAACATGGCTCCGCTCCTCTCCCCGCAGGATCTAGGCTTGGCCAAGCTTTTCGCTCGCGCTTCCGCGACACTCTCCCCGCCGACACTGGTGGTGCGACAGAATCCCCCGACCACGACCGTCACCATCATCTCGGACGACGACGGCGACAATGGTACACACCTGAGCGGGGGTGCCATCGCAGGCATTGTAATTGGCTCAATCGTTGGCTTTCTACTTCTCCTCTGGATCCTCCGTTCATGCATGAACCTCGGTGCGCCGCCTCAAGAGCGAGAGAAGTGGTATCACTACAAGGAAAAGTCGCCGCCTCGAAGACATCGTCACCGTTCGCGAAGCAGAAGACGACGTTCAAGCATCTCGGTACCGCCATCTGTCGTTGTTAGAGATTCTAGATCGCGCAGTTATCGTCGCAGCGCGTCGCCTGGTTACTACTACAGTGACTCCGATCGCGGTCGTGGTTCGCGATACTACGTCTAAGCGAGCCTACAAGGCCTATTTCTACATGTCGCCTTTTCGGATAATATCGATCAATTCAATTGTTTGGAATTGGTTTGTGGAATAGATGGGGATTGGATTTGGTGAAAGGTCGATGCAATAATGCAACGTGACGATTTATGAGATGAGCTACGACACGAAGCGAGGGAATATGCAAGGAAGAGACAGGTTTCGACAATCGCAACCGCAATTGAGATAATGATGAGGCATGGAGTACAAATGAAATAATATCTCGACATGATCTTGTCGTGCAATGACTGCCTCGCGACAGAGCATAGGATACAGCTGACAGTAGAAAAGACAATCACTGTTGTCAAACAAGCTTAAATGAACTCCTCCTGTACGCCCGACCGAACCCAAAAAGACAACCTTGAACGCCTCAACCTATGAATGCATTGGAAGGGCCTGATACTTGAACGGTGCCGCCCGACGTAGCACTCTGTTGATGCCACGATGTATTGTGAACCGAAAGACAAAGACAATGCAGACACCGATCGCTGCGCCGAGTATACTGAGGCATAGAATGTGCAAAGGCTCCATTCGGCTTCCTCTCATCGGCGCATCAAGCAACCTGGTGACGATGTACTCGTTCTTGGACACTGGTGTTGAATAAGCGAGAACACGACCGTCCTTGTCAACCGCGGCCACGCGAATAAACTCATCCGCGTCCTTGGGGATTCTAATCATCATCTCAAAAGCCGTCTTCTCGGTAAACCCGAGATCGTGAAACTCGTCACTCAAGGCGTCAGAGGCGCTCTGCAGCAGCCAGCTATACACCTCGGTGGCGCCGTTCCAGCTGACAAAAAGAGCATTCTTCTTTGGTCGCATCGCGACATCCGGGAGGGTCTTGGGACGTCCGACCCATGGATACTTGAACGTGCGATAGTTCTTTACCCAGGAGAAGATGTCAAAGTTGATGGGGCCGATGTGTGTGTCGCAGAGGACTTCGCCTTCTCGTGAGAATTCGGTGAAAGAGGGGACATGTCCCCATCCGACGAGGACGTTGCCATTCGGGAGTACTTGGACGGAGCCTTGGGAAGGGGAGAGCATCTTTTGAGGCGAGATGTACTCTTGTTCCAAGCTCACTGTCATTGCGTCCATGTCGAGATTGATCATGAGACCACGACTGTGCTTCGCCGAGTTCTGATGTCCATTCGAGCCATTGTCAAACACTGTCAAATTATTCTTTCCCTGCCAGGCAGCATGATGGTTCCATGTAAAGTTGGAAGCAGCTCCGTCAGAGAGGTCGCCGAACGAGCTATTCGCACCGCCAAGCTGCCAGAGAACACTCACATCCTTTGCGCTGATCGCGGCGACGCTGCAGTAGTAGCGCGACGATATTATATAGTCTCCCGCCTCGTCCTTGTCAACGCTGTTAATGTGAAAGAAGTCGAACGCGTTTTTCGCCGTCTTGCCCTGTCCATTGATGGGCGCGAGGGTGTCGCTGATTGGAAAGTGGTCGGAGGCGTGCCATTCAAAGACGAGCTTGTTCGTGTTTAGGTCGATCTCTTGGAAGATGCTGTCAAAGATCCAGCCGTCGGGGATCCCGTATGCGGACAGGTCGGCGGGTTTTCGGTTGTAGATGGTCATGAGAGCGGTGCCCTCTTCAGTGATTCGGAACTCGTGAAGGTCGCCGGTGAAGTCGCCAATTGGCACCACTTTCTTAAAGACTTCATATGATTCATCCAACTGAAGGCGCAATGTCAGTCGCCTCTTCGCATGTGGAGTACGTGAGGTCTTGAGTTTGATCATTGCTTCCGGTTGACTGTCAACTCACCATCAAGTAGTATCCTTCGCCAAATGTACCATTATCTGTTCCATGCCAAAAGGTGATGTAGTCCTTTCCATTGAAGCGCTGCACCTTGACGTCCATGGCCTCTCCCCATCGAGTCTCCATCCATACAAGATTGCCAGCATTATCGAGTATCACTGGACCCGGCGTGTCGACATAGAACCCTCGCGGTTCGGCAAAGATGTATCCGTTATCGCATCGCTCGTCCGTCTTCACCACAAGCGGCCATGGTGATTGCGCGCCAAACGATTCGTAGTTCTTGTGTGGATAGGCGCCGTACCAGCCCCAGTCGAACCACGACGTTGAGCGCTCGTCGCTGGATTGAGTGACGAGACTCGACGCTGAAGCTGAAGAGAAGAATGCTTGTAGATAAAGCACCAGGGCCAGCATTAGCTGGACTCGGAGGGAGACTGACAACATCGAGAGTGACCGGGGCTGTAGTCAAGGCTTCTTTGCGGGAGCATAAGATAGCGACTTAAGCATCTCTTTCTGGTTCTGGAAGCGGTTTTCCCTTTCTATCGGTTCATTAGACAGGGCGAAGGGGATGAGTGGGTTGATAGCAACTCATTCGCCGTGGGTACTTCCAGGAGAGATGGACTGAGGGCCCTCCGCACACCAACAACCTCCGTCTTGGCTCATCCGCGTATCCCACTCTTATCCCTTGTTGGGATGAAACGATGCAGATTGATAGAGCCATGGCCCTTGCTAGAAGAGCGTGGGATGCAAGATGGGGAGCGTAGTGTAGAGATCAGCATGCTGCGCCGACCCTTGCTTGCGTTCATTATTGCGTAAACCTTTGTTCAAGTATGAGCGCGTCCAAGGCGGCATGTGGGATACCACCGTGTGGTGATGTGGTCCGTGGGGAGGAGAGAAAGAACTCGGTGTCCCCCACCAAGCTTCTCCATGATTGATGCCCAGTCACGACTCTGTTCCTGAGTGCAGATACCCAGATAATATCCGGAAATAAGGTGATGCCGACAAGACCAACATCAAACGTCAGCGACATCTCACCACGGAGCCACGAACCATCAGGGGCCCCATGGCCAACTCGACACCCTAAACAGGCAACCAGTCACGGACATGGTTGCCAAGAGCTTCCGACTGTCCAGGAACCGCTGCGAGCAAAAGACTTGGCTTCTCACCAACAGGTGGGACACGGTGGTTTGTGCGTTTCTCGGGGCGAAATGACCAAGAAGAGGCATCGTCCTTCCGGGTAAAGGCCCGCCACGCGTACAAAAACTGGGGATGCGTATCCCACTTCCCTCGGTCTTGCGTTAATGACACGCGTGTCGTCCAAGTCGTGGCATCTTTAAGCTTCTATTCCGCTCGGGCAAGCGAGAGCGCAAGGACCCTGTCTCCTTTCGGGTGATTTGAGCCCATCTTCTTGCTGGGTTGATGCTGGTGAGGGAGGAATGCGCGTCGCGCATGAGCCCAGACATGAGATTGGGCTGGATCGTATTGGTTGCAGGGTAATAAAACCTGTTCTCTCAATCATGGATATAACAAAGCTAATTCTAAGAGCAAATTATGCATGTCAATAAATCTATAGTTAATATAAAGTTACAGTCTAATCAATGTCCAGACGGATAAATCGGAATGGGCATGTCAGAGAGGGACGTACACGGTGCAGCACCTTCTCCCCCAAGATTGCGCTTTTCCAGCTTCGTCGCTCTTCAGGTAGTCACGCCGCCCAGTTGCTTGTCCACCATGAATTACAAAATCTTTCATCTCCATCTATAACCCAGCATCGCGGAATTCTTTCATCTCATAATCTTTTTTAGCTTTTACTCCTGTCACAATTACAGATCACGCCTTTGGCCATTTGGCAACCTCGTCAAAGAAGTTGGGCCAAACTCAATCAGTGCAGCAACAGTTGACCGCCCGACCGACGAACAGTTGGGTAGCTACAGACAGAGCCAAAAGGATCATTTTACAGCCGAGGTTTATTCCATTCTAGACAATTTTATCTGCGTGTGAACAACCATATTAAATCTAGGGGACAATTGGGGAATTCCGGCTTCACAGGAGACGGTGTTGTCAGCCCATCGCGGGCCCCATAAAGACCGGGAACAACAATGATTAAGAATGCAATGGTCTAGACTACCGCTTCAAGGCTTCCTACTCGCTCCGTTTGATGACATTCTCCGACACTTCCACATCACAGTCGCCTGACGGCCCGACAACCAACATCAACTCGAACTTGAACTTGTCATATGTCGACGTGCGCATCCAGGTTCGCCCGCCGGCACTAAGCTTCGCACCTGGGCGGACTTCGATATCAACGCTGCGGAGCTCTTCCATTCCCACTTCTCATCCTTCGATTGATTAGCACTGATGGACAGTCTGGTTTCGACACGGAGCACTCACCATCTTTCACCGTCTCGGGTAGGAATTTACCCGCTCCCCTTAACCACACAATTTTCTCAGTCCATCTTCTTGGGTCACTCTTCTCCAGGCGCTTGGTGACATCGATAGTTACCGGTTTGCCAAGCTGGATGGTATCCCCAAGCTTCACCAGCCAATGAATCGTAGGGCCCCCGGGGAATCGAGCAGGCCCTCCAGATCGCGACTCCTCGATGACGATGCCATAGTTGGCTCGTGCGATGTGATTTCTGAGTGCGTGGACCTCAGTTCTTCGATCGTAGAGAAGGCCTTCGACCACGACCATCCGCGCATTACCCTTGGTTCTCAAGACCCTTGATCCGGCGACGCAACTATTCGGTTCCCTTGCCAAATCTTTGAAGTACGTGGCCAATTCTTTCAAGACGTAGTCGGAGCTCCCCAGGCCCCCTGAGAGAACGATGTGATCCTGGTGGAGATTAGAGAGTCACCTAAGAGTGAATTGTGACTTAAACTTACTACGTAACTGCTTATGCCTTTGAGGCGGCAAACGCCTTCAAAATTGTGGAGTGCCTCCTTGATAAGGCTTTTGATTTGCTTCAATATGGTATCGAAGCAGCTCTCGAGTTGCTGCCTATTTTGGGGTCAGGTCAGGTTTTGCTTCATCTTTTCTCGCACGGCTTTTGGCTAGAAATCGCACCTTGTGAAGGACAAGCGACCTCGCCTGATCCCAAGGTCCTCATTGCTGTATGACTTTTCGAGCCCTGCCACCTCGATGAGGAAATCGCTCTTGGACTGATCCCAATCCTTTGAACCAAGTCTGTGCTTCCAGGTTTGGAAATCGTCGCTTTGTGATGCTCTTAAGGGAAAGCCTGTCGGCAGTTTCGATAGAGCATTGGGATGCGCCTTGATACGATCTTCGATAAGCTTTGCGAACTCGCGGTCGATCCCGGTAGAACCGACGCCAACACCGTTGATGGGATGTACTTCATTCAATGTTAGGGAGTCGGCGGTGTCGGCTGTTGCCTCGACGAAAGCAAGATCTGTTGTTCCCCCTCCTGCATCGATCGATAGAACGACCTCGCCCTTGTAGACTTTGCCCACTCTCTCCGCCTGGTACGTAAAGACGGCTGCAGCCTCAGGTTCGGTTAGCCCCAGCGCAACTTTGTGGAGTTTGTTCTCCCCAAAGCCTGCTTTGGAGACTATGCTCTTGAAGCATTGGCTGACGGGAGCTTGCCATGTCGTTGGTGTGCTAAATATGAAATCGATTGTCAGAGAGTCCCAGGTCTTGAGCCTGAGCTGTCGGCTGAAGGTAAGATCAGCCTTGACGAGCTTGGGAATCTCGTTGCTCAGGTAGGTGTAGATCTGGCGCAGATACAGTGTCACAATCTCTTGTAGCTGACCAATCGACCCTGGCACCCACAGCTCATGCTCGTTCTTTGTCAATAGCTGGTTGTGCATGTCAGGGTCCAGGAGCAGCTTGAAGAACCTCCATTTTTTGTCCTCGGCCAATTCTTTACAGAGAAAGCCCCATCTCGTCTCCCCTCCACTGGCGTCTTTAGCCAAGATAGTTGGGACCTTGTCTTCATTCGCGACCTCTCCAGGCCACCGTGTGATGATGTTAGTTTGGTTTCTCTGCTCCTTTGGGGTGATCCAAGAGACGCCTTTGAATGTCAGATAATTCCAATCTTGGTCAGATCGAGGTATTCACATACCTGTATACGTGGTACCGAAGTCTATGCCGACACAAAGGTCCGGCTGACGACTGTCCACAGCTACCATCTGGGATTTCTGAGAGCTCGATGGCCGGAAATCCGGTTGCATCGTCCTCCGATGTACGACCCCTGCTTTGGCGCAGGAGCCCTGGGGCGCAGGCTGCCGATGCTCTGCCTTGGGCGGCTTGGGGTAGTCGTCGCGATCGTCTGCAGCCAAAGTTGTTGTGCTGTTCTGTGGAGATGAAGCGATAGAGTTTGGATTGAAACTGGTGCGGGGCCGTGGAGTGTCCAGACACACGTCGCACTTCGGCTTGCGGTGCGATTGTACCTCTGTGGAGCTTCTGGATGGCTCGGCTGGCGTAGATACTCCATGGATGGTTGTCTGTTGTATATGTGTGGGTTCCTGCCGTTGCTTCGTCGGGTGTCGAAGGGAACTGTGCTGCTCAAGGACCGAGGGAGCAAGATGACCCTGCAAAGAGGGAGAGGCAGTTGGGGAGCTTGACTGGGCAGCTCGCTTTATTGACGTGAAGTCACTACTCGCTGTATCCCTTTCCGTGCGGTCTTCGGTTTCGCTTTCGTGATCGAGGGCGGGGGGTTGTCGAATTATTTCCCTTAGCTGCTCCAGCCTGCTAATGGTGGCTTCGATCGCGTGGAAAGCCTCTGAGGTCTGTCCTTCCAATTGATGGATCCATTCTAGCCTCTGTGGTTCTTGGGGGAAGCTCAAAATATCCGACCGGCCAGGAAATTCTGCATTACGTGAAGCAACTAAAACTCATTATTAGCTTGTCTGGAGTGCAACACTGCCCTCAGGTTGACCATGGCGGCATACCGAACTCCAGATTTGTTCGCAGCACGGAAAGCTGCCCCATCACCAAGGCGTGAGTCTCATGGTAGTCGAACGATCTGTTGGAGCGAGAGAATGCGGCCAAGTCAGGCTCCCATGCGGAGAAAGAATCCTGTTGCCACTCTGCGCTCTGGCGCGACGCAGGGGGCACTGGGTAAGAGGTAGCATATCCGATGAGGAGGTTGCTGCAGATAGAAGCTAACTTGGAGATGTCTGGCATCTCCAGATCTTGTAGTGCCATGTTGGACTGAAACTGTCTTCACTGCGTTTGGGTAATTGAGAGAGTTGTCCAGTCTGACTTGGGAGTTTCCTTCTGCTGACCCCCTGAGCAATGGCGGCTGGGGCAGTGCGAGGAGTGGATGAACTGTACACCGCTCAAGAAACGCCCTGGCTCATGTTTGGTGGTTCCTGGGGCCTCCTTGGCTGCTGTCAGAGCTCTAGGCAACCATGCAAACGACTGCTGCAAGTTGTGTAACCCTGTGGTAAGCCCCCTTGGCTGCCGGTGATGCAGCCTTACAAGCTACTGTCACAGGTCTCTTTCGCTGTTACTGAATGAATCCCTGCAGACTGCTATTTTAGACCTCTCTGATTGCTACTATAGGCTCCTTGATACGCCATTCATCTACTGCCCTAATTAACTTAGTATTAGCTTGCCTGGGCGTGGGCATGTGCTTAAGCTGTTTGCACTTTGTATTATTGCAGGATAAGGCTGCGGACGAGCCGGCCAATCGACATTTCTCATTTTTAACAACATAATGGGGCTGACTGACAATCTTGCATTGCTTTACCCCTTTCCTCCCATCCCAGATAATCAATCCCCTGAGTTCCTCTCGGCCCCGCGACAGTTCAAGCTGGTTTTGCAGCCATAATGATATACAACGAGGATGAGAATCCCATCGACACAGCCATGAAGCTGATACCACCCCTCATCGAGAGCATTGCCACCAGCAACAAGCTTAAAAGCCTGGCCTTGTTCAATTCCAGGGCTGACCTCGACTTTCAGTTAAGGCTGGCCTTGCTTGAGCTGGGAAACTCCCGATCCCTACCCCAGAATAATGAGCCGTTGTCAAAGTTCGCATTTTATCTTCTCAAAGTTCTTTGGGACTTTGACGGAAAAGACAACGATGGTCGCTTGAAGAAGGAGGTTCCCCATCGAAGATCTCGATCTGCACTCCAGCAAGACTTTTGCAATGAAGCAAGGTCACCAAAACAATCCCCCATACGACTTCCGGAGACAGCAGAGGAACTAAGGGTCCTGGCGCAACAGATATCGAGTTTACGAAAACCCATTTCCTCGCGACCTGACGTCCCGTTGGACCCGGAGGTCAGCCACGATCGTACCAACACTCACCATCGAACCACGATTCGAGAGGGACACGACGTCAACAAAGTCTATGAGAGGGAGAAAGAAAGCGAGTTCCACAGTTTCGAGACACCCAAGGCTGAGCTTTTGAGCAATGACCGCGGTCCGAACTATTCGAATGTGAAAGTCAACATTGTACCCCAGCCCGAGACTGACGAGCAGCGTTGGGGGGTGAATTTCATGGATCAGGCCTACGCCTTTTACGAAAAAAAGATCAAACCACTAAAGAAAAAAAGGCCAATCAAGGTTGCTGTTCTCGACACTGGAGTGAAGAAGAAAACGAATCACTTCCTCGCAGTGCGATTGGAGGGCGGGACACCAATCAAGGACCAGAAATCATTTATTGGAGACGACCAGAACGATACCGACGACGACGATTGGCATGGTACACAAGTGGCAGCATTGGTTGTGGACATTGCACCACACGTTGACCTTTACATTGCAAAGGTTAGCAAGGGCCTAGAGGAATCTGACGAGGGCCAATTTGCTGAGGTATGGTAGCTGGCACACCTCCCCATAGAAGTTGAGCTAACCAAGCCAGGCGATCGAGTGGGCAATAAAGGAAAAGGTCGACATCATCAATATTTCCGCCGCATTACCGGACAATGTTGAGACCAGGAAAGCTATCGATGAAGCAGAAGCGCAAGGCATCATCGTCCTCGCCGCGGCTTCCAACAGAGGCGCAAACGAGTCGAGGGTCTTCCCCGCGCGTATGGACACAGTGCTGGCCATTCACGCGACGGACGGAAACGGGAATCCGTGCGGGTTTAACCCCAGCCCCCTGGAGAAAGCTATGAATTTCAGCACTTTGGGGACGGCCATTCGTTCGCCACTCGGGGATGGTACATTCGTGCCTTCAGGGACGTCTTTTAGTACGCCTATTGCTGCCGGCATGGCAGCAAATATCCTGACACTCGTGGAGGAGTATTTCAATGAGTCGCACAATGACGGCAGAACATGGTACTTGGCACACAGAAGGACAGGAATGGGTGCGATCTTCAAAGAGCTTTCTGTTAATCGACATAACTACGACTACCTTTGCCCTAGTAGGCTGGACTACTATGCGGACAAATTTTGGATTGCGCACGCTCTGAAGGATGTATGACAAGTCCTATTCGAGCCCTGGGGCGAGGCAGTTGTTGTTATGAATAAGGAGGTAGTTTTACGGTGCTAATAGTATTGGTTTCTAATGCCCATCGCGTGTTTCATTGGGGCGCTCTCTGATATTGTGTACGGTGGAGACGTTATTGAAAAATAACAATGAAGGACGGTGTTTGACCCCCGATGTAAAAGGTCAATAGGAGCACAATAGCAAAAGAAGACATCATTAAAGCATCCATGATTGAGATATCCTAATCAGCTCAAGGCTACAAAACATAGAAGTGGTTGACCAACTTGACCTCTCCGCCGTGTTTAGATGCCATCCTCACCCGTGTCAAACATGTCGTTGATTTCCTCAACCGTGAGGTCGTCGTCCCAGTGAAGAGTGTACCCTTGTTCATGGCTCGAAGACGCTGCACTCTGCATCACGGCATGTTTGTTATGGGCCTTGAACTGGACCTCTCCGTGACGGTCTATCCACATCTTCTTCACCTTGAATGCGACGATGGTGTCCTCTGGGCAGTACCATATCTCTCGGTCCCCAGTGTTATCCGCATACCCAGCTCTCGCGCCAACCTCGACGGGTGTCCCAGAGGGTACGATGTTAGAACTGGCCTCCATGGTGAAAGCGTTGCTGGTGCTCGACGTGAACGACGCGCCGCTGGCAACCTTGAGCCCAGTCACCATGTAGACGGAGCGCCTGAATCTGCCTGATCTGATGAAGGATAAGACGTCCGGGTCTTTCATTGCCTCGATCATGTAGGGTTCGGTCGGGTTGAAAGTGAGGGTGTCAAGGCGCTTGCATGAGAGCACAGTATCTCTGCCTCTAGTCCATTTGATCGAAGCGTTGGCACCCACGCCAAGCAGTTCCAAGGCTCCGGCCCTGAGACCCAAATTGGTCGAACGAAGATGGCTTAGGGTGACCTCAAATCCAGTCTTTTGGTCGACCGGGTAGAGTTGAGTTTCAGGGATTGTGCAGACTGTCTGATTGAGAGGCTCGAACTCAGAAATGTTGCGCAAGATGGAGCCAAGATAGATGGGCCCTTTCGGGGGCGCTCCCGTAGAAAAGTTTGGGGCGAGGAAATACTCCTTGACCATCGTTACGGATGGATACCACGTCCGAATAACTGATAGTTGAAAAAAGGGTAGGAAGATGAGGGCCGAGCAAGAAATGGCCTCTGTGAAGTTTTGCTCAAGAAGGCCGGGCTGCTGGTGGAAGGGCAGTGTGCTGCTTTATCACCTTCGCATGGGTTGCAAGTCGCCTGAGCCGACTGTCCGCCATGATCCAATCGGATGTAGGAAGGCGCTTAGCCGTGGCCCTGTCAAGAGCCGCATCAAACGGGAGGCGGCTGTGGTGTGGCTATTCTGTCTTCTCATACGGCTGTGTTGTTTCTGTTGGGTTGCTCGGAAGCCCATCCTCCACCGCTTCTTGGAGCCTTTGACTTCCTGTTCCGTTTCCTCAACACAAATCGATCTAGCCGAGAAGGGCGCCCCCGCCTCCACACTACCAAGAGTTTGACAGCTCAACTAGACTCAGGTTGGACTAGTGCAAGTGAAGACCCAGTACGTTTGACTACGTGAAGGCATCCAGCAGGTCAGCCGTCCGACGGCGACAGCACTACTTATTTCTGCTGACGGCTTGAGTATCCTGACTATTATTGTCTCAGGTCCCTGTCTGGTACCCGTCGGATGTCTCTGTGCATTCCAAAAGATGGGGCCTGTGCCGAAGGTACCTAGGTAGATGGGAATTAGTCTGAGTCGCCGGACCCAGCCACTCAGCCAGGGATCCTTTGAGCTCCCCCGTCCTTCTTTCTTTGCACTCTCCTGTTTGGAATATGCACGGGCTGCCAACTGACCGTTGCACGGGCGGAGCAAAGCACCGCATGCATTATTGAAGGATCCGGCGTTGAATCAAGTGATGCGCCCGAACGTGAACACCCCACAAAGGGGAACAACATCACAAAGGCAGAACAAGACGGAGGTGCTTGAAATAGGAAAAAAGACAAATTTATTTAAATAAATAAAGAAAAGAAATAAAAATAGATAGAAGCTGTTAGAATGGTTCACAGCTAGAGATAAATAGCCTTGAGTCCATCCCCTCAAGATCAGGATCCTCAACCACGAATACAAACGTTTTCTCTCACACAACATTAACACTTCAACCACCAACAACTGCGAAAGCAAACCTTACACCCAAAACTACGCTAACAACTGCCGCCATCCCTTCCCCACCCTGGAATATTGACAACCCGCTGATTCAAAACACCCATCAGTCAGATATTGCTTGTACGAGAGGGCCAGTACAGTTTACCCATCTCTCCAAAGGTCACCATGTATTGCTTTCCGAATATGACCCAGCGTTCGGACCCGGCCTTTCAACGCAGAATTGAAGACGCTCTGAGAGAAATTGACGTCTATAAGATCAATGTGTCCGATCTATATGAACTCTTCCGCGAGAACCGTGATGACGTCTTAATGCACAGCGACATTTATGACAACATTCGGAACACCGTGGACCAGAGCTTGGTCACCTTGGAGAGGGCGAAAGAACTTGTCGATAAGCAGAGAGTGAAGAGTGCCTCTCGCTGGTGGAGAAAAGGTACCATATCAAAGAAATGGAAGGATTATGAACAGTTACAGCGAGTGATGGAAGAGAACAATGGCAAAGTGCAGGACCATCTTCGACAGGTGCAGGATATGGTCAAAAACAAAAAGCCTGCTTCTTTCGACCTATTCGCCCCCCGACCCTACAACACAGTACCTTTTACTGAACCTTACGATGAGGGTTGATGCGAATTTCCGACTATGAACTCGCGGGCTTAGTTGAAACATGGCTGAAAACTGGAGGAAAGGGGGGGTTGTTTGCTCTGCGCCATCAAGAGCAGTGGTCGCTTGGTCAAGGTGATAGTGCTTAGATTGAGATCAAAAGAAAGCTTACATTCTTGTTACTTTGTGCCCTTCCTGTCCAGAACACGTCTACATATGGTAGTATTAGGTAGTATCCCAAAAAGGGGCACCAGGTCCAGCTTTGCGAATACCTCAGTTGGGCTTTTCACGAGAGGATAGTCCTTAGTCCTCTGTGAGATGGACAGTGACAAACTCGGCAGATGAAACCACCTTTGGTGGATCATGTAGCTCTCCCATATCGTCGCGAAGTTTTTCTAGACCTGGCATAACAAGCACTTCCCCTTTCTCTTGTGGGAATGTAAACTTCCAGTCATACGGGTCCGAAAAGATGTGGTAATCAAACTTGACACAGCTGGTAATGGCATTTTCGAGGCGAGTCTGTTGAACGGCGATAGGGGAGCCATCGTCATCTGTGCGGGTGAAATGTACTAAAAATCTCTGGAGTAGAGTGACAAGTGCCTTGACTTGGGATTCCACGCTCGGTAGTAGCGGCAAAGGTTTTTTGCTTTTGGGGTTATTATGCATGAGAAATGCTGTAAGCCGATTCCAGACCACGAGAGCCGGTTCAACTGGGTCGGGCACTCAGAGTCAGGGCAAGAAGATGTATGAGGGTAGAGAGGTGTAGTTACCAAGAGGGTTCTGGCTCTCGCTGGAAGCCTTGGGTAGCGACTTGAACAATTCCTTCAGAGCCGGCGGCAGGAGAGAAAGAGGGCCGACCGAGTGAGTGTCGAGGTTCGAAAATATCACAAGCGCCAGTAAATGACGGATGCCGATGTGACGGGTGTTCGGATCAATCGATAATCTCACAATTGTATGACGGGTGCCCTCGCTCAACTGGAGCTGGCACAGAGATTCGTGGAGAGTGTCTGGTCTCGCCGGAATGGTATCTCGATGGTAGTCGCCGCTCTCGGCGTGATTTTTGATGAACTGGCCCAACTTGAAGAGTTGCCCTCGGACCACACTGTCGTCTGTCCCATTCAATCGGCAATGTTTTGGGAGCGCAGCGAGTCCAGTGGGTTTGGGCCGCACTTCTGGCGATAATGCAAGCGGCGCACTGGAGCTCGTCTCGGCGATTGTTGTAGGTGGTGCAGGATTGGGATCTCGTCGTCTACGCCGGCGGAAGAAGACAGCAGCTGCGACCACAAGCAGTATCAGGCCGGCGACCGCGATCCCCGTTCCTGCCCCGATCCCGGCGCTGATCGCGCTTGATACTCCCGTACTGCTCCCTGTCGCTGTCGCGTTGTTGGTTTCTGTTCTTGTTATTACTTTTGTCGTTAGCGTTGTATTGATGGAACCTGGAGACACCCCAGTCGAAGCAGCGCTGGAAGCTGAGTTGGGGGTGGGGGGGGCGGAAGCTCCCAAAACGCTCGAAGACTCTTCTCTCTGAAGGGACGACATGGTTCTGCAAAGAAAGGAAGTTTCTGACAATTTAAAACTTGGGCAAGTAGTTACGTTTAGAATTGTAATAAATGGTCTGTAAATTATTAACTTTGAATTTTGAGATGCTGGCTCCCCAAGACTCTTGGTGAAGTGGGAAAAGAGAAGAGGGGGTTCTTTGTTTGCAGCATGTTGGGAGAGGCTGATTGAGCACGCGCCTCAATGATTCATCTCTTTGACGGATGGATGCTCCTCCGGGGCTTCCAATTGAAGCAAGGCCGCTGAAAAGGAAAAAAGAAGGAGAAAAAGGCTGACGCATTGACACAGTTTCCAGACAGTTGGTCTTGGGGTACCGCTTGAGCAGTCTGGACCCGGCAGCCACATCGGCTCAATAAATTAATACAGTCGGGTAGAGGTACATCTGGCGTTGTAATTCGCGGTAACCCTCCGTGCTATAGCCAATCAGCTAGAAGACCTCCTGCCGTCTGTTGAGTCAATACGGCAGTTATATGATCTATCCACTGCAGCTCGGTTTCAACAATGACAAACGTGCTTCATGTTTCTCCGTCCATCTCACCTTGAACTAAATCCGTTTGGATTATGTGGCTACTCTGTCTTTGCCGCAAATAGCCCTTGGAACCTCCTGGAAACCCTGCCTCTCCCAGTTTTCGACTCCCAGCATCTAAGCACGGTACCTGCTCGTAGTAACACTTGATCCTGGCTGTTTACTGGTAGTTCCTCCCGAGCATAGCCAAGATCGCACAAGAGGCCTTTGAGCAGCGCAAGTACCAGAACTCTGGAGAGGAATACCGCAGGTCACTCAAGCCACACGCGAAAGCCTTGGAGGTAACCCTTGCCGAAAAGGACCGCGGCCAGCTGCATCTTTCAGCAGCTCTTCACGACACGTCAACCGCGGCGACAAGCTCTAACTGCCGGAGGGCTGAAAGGCCCCCTGCCGGATTTCAACCTGGCAGCTCTGCAGGCTAGCTGCATAGGCCTACCCAGGCCGAGCACTCAGACACGATTGTCACTCTTGGCAACCTCGCAAGCTCACTTCAGAGCGTGACGAATCCAAGCAACGTGCACGGAGGCAACTTTTGTCGGTAAAAGTGCGTGAAGGCGACCATCCACATCTGCGATAGATTAGGGCCCGTGTCAAGGAAGCACTCAAAGATGAAGAGGAGTGCTTAAGCGGACTCCAATACTGTATGATAGTTCTCAAAGATGAAAGCCACATTTTTAATGGCCTCTTTGACCCCTTTTTACCACTTTATCTTGCCTTGGAACTCTTGGCAATAAGCAGAGAGGGATGGAATGACGAAGCCAGGGGAGGGGATTCGGGCACCATTCAACAGGATCGGCCGGGCGGCTCACGTTCAAATCATATTCTGGCCCCAGCAGAGAATAGTGTAAAGGAACATTTCGAGGGATTCTGAGTGCAATGACGCAATTTTGGCAACGAGGCGCTCCTCTCTCTTTCTATTTTGACTCCATGCTGAAGTGTCTTGATCAGCTTGACCGTGCTTTGGCTTGTCACCCGGTCGTCCCTCAAGAGTGAAAATCCCTGTCTTATGCGCCACACTCGCAACCAGGCCAACTCGGGGCTGAAATCATGTCAGGACGTTTCCTTGGATCGCTTCATGGGGCATTGGCGTTAATTAGCAGCAGCAACAGAGTGAGTGGACACACACGCGGACTGTAGAGAGCACACCACATCTCTTCCTACTTCACAACAGCAACCCTATCACACAACGCGGTTAAGCATTCAACCGACAGATATGACGCTTACAAACACTTCATCTCCCACTGGTCAAGAAAACTCTTTCTTTTTTGTAAAACCTCATCTTTCAGTCGTCGTCGCATCACGATCTACTGCATGCAAGGCCCGTGCCGTCATGCATGTCTCGCATCAATATACCGTATTTCCGTATATCCTAATCCTCCGAGCCTCTTTTTTTAAGCTTGTTTCTTGTAAATTTCCTTTTTATATGGTGTTGATCCGTATTTCCATAATGCCGGAGCCATTTTTGTTGATCTTCATGTACGTTCGTGGAGCTACATGCTCAACTTGAATCTTCCATGGCCTTGGAAGAGGCACTCAACTCATGCGGTGAATCAAAATTAGTCAGGGAATTTTTGTCTGGTGGGATATCCCACTTGTGTGAGTTTTGTGGAAGTTTTGATGATGCTCGTAGGTATAAAAGCCGAGTAGTGAATGATGAGTGATTTCCGATTCTCCAATGACAGTCAGAGTGACACAGCTTGTTACGACTTGAAATCGAAATGTTCAAAGCCACTTTCCTCGTTTTCTTCCTCTTCGGGGCTGTTTTCAGTGAGAAGACCTTCTAGAGACTTTTAATCATTGCTCACATACCGCCTTAGGTCACCCTCACAAGGAGCCCGATGCTGAATCAATCAGGGCTCATGAAGATGCCCGCAGGAGATGCGGCCCTCGGGTGGCAAAGATGAAGCGAGATCGTCTGGCTCTTAGACGCCGTGATGATTCCGTTGACGCAGACTCTGGAGATACCGTCTACAGAATCAACGCCAAGGCACCCAAGTACAACAAGATCAAGGACTGGACCAACATTCTTACACCCGAGACGAGCCGTGGTCCTTATTTCCTGCCTAGAAGTCAGACTCTTCGTCAAGATATCCGAGAGGATGAGCCTGGTGTGCCTCTGTCTTTGGAAATTGGTGTCATTGACGTTGACACATGCGACCCCTTGGATAGTGTCTTGGTTGACATCTGGGTAAGTTTGCAAAAGGCAACATTCACAGAACCTCCAAGACTGACGATTGGAATTACTCAAGCATTGCAATGCTACAGGATCTTATAGTTCCTTCACAGGCCTTTCTCCCAACACTCAGTTCCTCGACCTCTATTCTGAAAAGACTGACAATGGGACACTTGATCTTCACCAGGGACTTCCAGATCTATCCGTAAGAATCTCCCTATTCTATTGCTCTGCAACAGCTCCCTGACAGATTCAGTGGCTTTCAACTGACGAATCAACCTTTTTGCGTGGAATGTGGCCCACCGACAAGCACGGAGTGACCTCCTTTACGACGATTGTCCCTGGATTCTATGTGTGTTCTACATAGCCCCTTGAGGGACCTGTTTCTTACCAATTATCACCAGGTTCAACGAGCTATCCATATCCACGTCCAGATCCATACCAACTGGACTATTCTGTCCAATGGGACTCTTGCTCATGGCTCAATCGTCAGCACGGGTCAGATCTTTATCGACGAGCTCCTTTCAAGACAACTGATGGCTTTGGAACCATACGTCAGCCACACCGAGATTGAGCGAGTGAAGAATGCAGATGATGGCATCTACAACCAAGAATCAGCTAGTAGGCACTCTTTCCCTGCGTTTAATGCGTGCGACACCTGACCACGTTTATTCTTAGCCGGTGCTATGACCCTCCTTGACACGGAGCCGCTTGATGGCAAGGACTATACGAAGGGTGTTTTCGGATACATTACACTGGTATGCTATTCAAGCTTTAGGCGGGAAGAGCTAGCTAACAGATACTAGGGCGTTCAAATGAGCCAAATCAGGAACGGGAGCACAATCGATGCCTGTAAGTCCCCTGCTGAATCTGAGAAACCAACGTTCATATCTAATCATGACCTTAGTGCCCGAGGTTCCTGTTCCTGCTTGATACAGAGCCGCTAGTGGCCTCTCAAAAGGTATAGAAGTAATCATCATCAAAGCCAGGGAACCGAGTTGTAGATGGATCAGAGATTACACCTTGATATTGTGGCACATATTTAGCTAGGCAATCTTCAAGCCTGCTTCAAGTATGCTTGACAATACTATATACTGACTACATATATCCATTCTTCCTCAGAGTCCTATCTTAATGGCCGACCATGGCCTGATGAGCCGGACCATATCTGTTGCCGTGTGGCTTTGTAGAATCAATGATGCGTCTCAACTCTGCCTTGTCTTCATCAGTCAGTTCAACATCCCTAGAAGCCCAGTTCTGTTCTAGACGAGTGGCCTTTGTGGTGCCTGGGATGGCGATGAAACCCTGAGCGGCAACCCACGCCAGGGCAATCTGAGTGAGTGTAACGCCCTTTCGGACGGCGATTTTCTTAATCTCCTCCACGATGGCCTTGTTCTGGTAAAAGTTGTCACCCTGGAATTTAGGTGCTAAACTCGGTATTAGCCATTGTCTTAATCTGTGATATGAGAAACTCACACTTGCGACGGAAATCGTCAGGTGCAAAATCATCAGGGGTCTTGTAGGGAAAGTCATCAACCAGCCAACCGTGGCCAAGGGGGCTGTATGCGACATAGGCTATACCAAGTTCTCGTGCGGTGTCGATGAGGCCGTCAGTCTCGTGAAGAGTCTCAAACGCAGAGTACTCGGCCTGAATGGCATCGATCTTGGCGACTGTGGGAAGACATTAGTCGATTCCGCCTAGAACGAAGAGCACTGGTACTCACTGGAGTTGGCCTTTCGGAGAGTTGCGGGGGAACTCTCAGACAGGCCAATGTACTTGGTCTTTCCTTGCTTGCGAATCTCATCGAGAGCAGTGATGGACTCTTCAAGGGGGGTGTCTGTGCTGGGTTAGAGACCATGTTTCGCCTGCATAGTTGACTGAATGGTTACTTACTGGGGTCAATGCGGTGAAGATAGTACAAGTCAGGGGCGAAACCAAGACGCTCGATGGTGCCCTCAATGTAGGTCTTGATGTGGGACGCAGAATTGGTGACGCTGCCGTCGCCAAAGACGTCAAATCCGCACTTGGAAGCGACTGTCTTTTGTTAGTGATGGTGATAGAAGTTATGAGCTATAACTTACTAAAGACCTTGTCCCGAACGTTGTGCTTCCTGACGAAATCTCCGAGGAGCTTCTCATTGACACCAGCTTGGTACACGACCTGTCATGCGGTATGAGCGATCATAGCAAAGAAACCTTTTGAGGTCGAGACATACAGCAGTGTCCCAGAAAGTGCAGCCCAGCTCAATAGCCTTGAGGAGAACAGGCTCGGCCTGTTCAAGAGTCAAGTTGCTTCCCAGACCAAAGCTGAGACCCATGGCTCCGAAGCCAGGGGAATTGACAGTGATGTCAGCAAAGGGGAGTGTCTTGACCATTTTGATTGAGATTGAAGAGATTGTATGAAGTAGAGACAGTTGAGAGAAAGCTACTCATGTCATGATGTCGTCGAGTTTATATATCTCTCGGATCGCGATTTGTTCACAGCCGGAATGGATGGCGTGACGTAGCGATGTGTTAGTCGGCGTGCATGCTAAATCCGCCATTAAGTCCGAGTACGGCCGTCATGATGGGGTTTGAATCATAAAGACATAAACAAAAAATGGACTTTACTATGGGAAACTAATAACTCTATACAAGATGAAAGAGGGGTTTCCATGCTTCCAGTGTGAACTTTGGAGCACTATGACGTTCTTTACTGGTGGCTGCGATACGACGTGATCCACATGTAAGCAGCTTGCGTTAACTCCAGCCGCCAGAACGAGGCAATATTTCGCCGAAGTTTAGTCGAGCAACAAACCTGGTTTCTCGCGTCGGGAGAATGTCGGCTTCACAGGATATTGCTTCAAGTCTTTTGGTTCTCGTAGTTTGCATCAAAATATGGGTGAATGTACTAAAAGGCGTGGGGGGTTTGCGATTGCGATTGAGTATTTTCTGATATGCCAGTTGTTTTGGTGCAACGATGCCAAGATCTCATCACGCTTCGGGCATGGGTGCACAGCCCAACCCTCACTAACATCGGGTACTGCCGAGTACGAAAAACGAACATTCTCGCAATCGAGGAGATAGATAGTTCAGCTGTAGCACAAATGTCTTTTGAAACACGGATCTATACCTCAGTCGGTCCAGTGAACAGGTACATGGACAGAGGGCCAGGCAGCGTCTCAGTCCAAGTACTGCTGATCAGCTTCTGCACAGGACGTTTTCCAACATGACTCCGCAGGCCACTCCACGCTAGCAAGACGGGGGTGAAGAGAGGATTGAAGCTAGGCATGATAGAAATAATAAAATAATTAATAAAATACGTCTCGAAGATCCATTATTATTAGAAAGTTTTCGTCATCTTATTATTCTCTATGTAAATTCTGGTCAGAAGGAAGAGGTCTTTGGCTGGCTCTCAGCTCCATGCCTGTCAGTTGAAACCCACCGTAACTCCAGTGTCTTCTCCCCCAGAATGCGCCAAGCGATGCTCCGACATGGGTGAATGAACCGGCTAAAGTCGCCTGAGATCTACTAGCCCTCGTCGGTACGTCTTGAATGGTCTCCGACTGAGCAAGGATCAATGTCTTCCAAGCTCTCCATAATTTTTCCACGGCTGCTCTTGTTACCCACCCTCGCAAACACCATGAAATGCCCCCCTCAAGGTCCAAAGCATCTCTGGCGTGTGACTCCTGTCGAAGGCGCAAGGTCAAGTGTGACGCTTCAAATCCTTGCGCCAATTGCCGTCTCTCGCATTTGTCTTGCCAGTACACCATTCCACAGAAGAGGCGAGGACCAAGAGTTCCCAACATAGGCCGTCGCCTAGGAAATGTCCCCGAGGTGGAGAGAAGCCCTGTTGTCGAGGAAGAGGAGCCGCCGCCGCCTCCTACGAACCCTCCGACTTGGAGAGACGAGGCTGTGCTTGGTCGCCTTCAAAATCATGTCACCGCGTCTCATAGAGGGGATCCCTCTACTCTTACCAGACTATCCCGCATCATCGCCGAGGGTTTATCGACCTCGATCAAGTCAGAACTCCCGGAGCTATCCCTGGGAACTATCACCAGCCACTGTATAGACCTGTACATGCGCTTCACCTTTCCGACCGCCCCATTGATCCATGAGCCAACAGTGCGGAAAGATGCCTCAACCTTCTTTTCAGATGCGACCATTGATCCCTTTGAGACGGATGGCGAGTATCAGCAAATCGCACGGATGAGGGCCTTTACTCTCGTCACATCCCTTTGTGCCATGGTTGCATCCGTCATGCCAGAAAACCTGCTACCCTACCGGGATCACCTCGCCAGGCCATTTCTGAGCGCTTCCCGAGAGATGCTCTCTTGCTTCGAGATTCATGACCTCGAATCTCCCACAGCAGCATCCTTGACCATCAGAATCTTTCAATCAGGGGCATTGCAGCATGTCACGGGCAAGGCCAATGCTGCGTGGCACATTCACGGGCATGCCACCCTCCTAGCTCAGCGCCTCCGATTATATAGTGAGCGCTCAATTGAGCAGTATGACCCTCTTGAGGGCCAGCTGTTGCGGTTGAACTTTTGGCATCTCTACTCATCTGACATGACTGCTGCTGCTCTGCGAGTACGGCCATTTACTCTTCACGAGACTCTCTTTGACGAGGCCATGAGTGTCAGGTCTGAGGGAGAACACAATATCCCCTTGCTTGATTCAACTAGTACATTTCATGACGAGGGATTTGAAACCCGTCTACTGGTTGGCTTCCACCTCATCCGACGCATATCTTCTGAGGCGTCACAGCTCGTCTTCGGTATTAGAACTTACCAGCGAGAAAGAGGGGAAGCCGCTAGGACTCTGTTATTGCGGCAATACATGGATTTTATGAGTCTCTTGGACGATCTGCCTCCGTGGCTGCGCCTATCTAACATCATTAGCTCTTGTGGAAGCAGCGACGTCGATACAGTTCAAGAGTCGTCGTTCTGGGTTCAAAGATGCACCATACTAATTTCATATAACTGTATGAGAGTAGTCATCTTGCAGCAGTGCATCGAGTCCGAGTCGTATGAGATTGCTGGGTTCGATGGATACACTCCGGCATTGCTCTTTAAGAAGATGGAGATGGTCCAAGATTTTATGCGGACACTGGAAGACATCCCACTTCTTTATCTACAGGTCAAGGGTGAACCTCATGTGAGTGGTGTTAGTTACTTGAACAAATATAGGCAGCTAACGAGGTCTATGTAGGTGGAAAGAATCCGCCGAGTTGGAGCGATCCTCCTCGAGTTTATTCAAGTGGTTGAGGATGAACATTTGCAATCTCGAGGAAAGGCACTACTACGACGCCTGCTGGATATTTTGGCAAAGCTAGATTCCAAGGCTTGCGAAGACCTTTGCCCTTTGGGTAGTGCTAAATAGAATCATGAAGCTGAACTCTACGAGAAAGAATATATTGTATCAATTTCAGCTAAGCCAGTCTACAAACGATCTACACTCCTCCCCATAAGTAAGTCTCGGACAGATAGAATGATTCGCGAATAATCTCATCCTTCGGGTTAGAGCTCGATGCGATAATGACAACATACTCGCCGGCCTCAGCCAGTGTTGCGAATAATATAAACAATACGTATATTGGCAATATAGAAGCCTCGCAATATTATTATATTGCTAAGTGGTGTATATTATATTAGGCCATATGATATTGGCCTATATTGTATTGTATTGCTAAGAACCTAATATATTGCTAGTGTGATAATATATCCCATATATTATATGTGATCTAGGTTATTCTACCGCGGCAGCTAAAGTATATCACCTTGAAACTCTCGTATCCTAAACTATAACTTTAGGCACTCTAGTGCTTCGATTATATCACTCCTAAGCCGATTTCGATGATCTATAATGGTTATCTTAGCCCTAGAGAAGAGTCATTCGGGCTTAGTAGATATTGCGGGAATTAATAGTATATCCACCGCTATTTTACTTAGGTTTAGGTAGTTTTTCTATTATGTCTCCTCTAGCTACTATGTAAGGGCGCTTATGAACCCATAAACCCGTTTAGACTTGTAATAATATTTATATTCGTCCGTGACGAGTAATGGCTGTAGGTGCTTGTTCCTCTAGTTTAAGAACTCGTTCGTGGTCGTCGATAGGACCTCGCAGAGAGGAAAAGGTAATTCTACGGGTTTATAGTTATTCCATAGCGTCTCTATTAACTTCTTTAATGACTTAACCTACTCCTTTTTCTAGTTCTCTTATATATAGTGCTATTTATGCGAAGGGTAGAGCACGATAGCGGCAACGTAGGCAGGCGATTCATTAGTAAGCCGGTAGTATTTGTCCAACTTGGCCCAGCCCGAGTTATATATTAGCGCCATTATCGGATCGTCAATATATGCCTCCTTCCCTGCTTCGAATTATGCCAAAATGAAATCCATAGCTAAGAGGATATTATCAAGTATTATAAATAATAACTCGAGAGCCTTAGTCGTTATCTTTAGCTTCTCTAAGAAGGACTTAATTTTCTCCAAGATGATCTAGTCCTCTGAAGAGAGCTTGTCTCTAGCGTAATCTAATTCTATCTATTTGTTGAAATAGCTATTAATCGCATCTCTAAGGTTTAGGGCCACTCGTAGTATATTATATTATAAATTTTATCTTGTATTATTATCCCGTGTGAGCTTATGGTTATGGCTAATAGTAAGAAACTTTTGGCTATGCTAGATACTTTATTGGATAAAAACGACGAAGTTATGAATCTTACTAAGAGGCCCCTTCTTCCGCCATGCTTTAATATGTTTTAGTATTATATTATATATATTAGGATCATTGAGTTCGAGCTTCTTATTATTGGTGACGAAGAGGAAGGCTTTGGCGGCGAGGTTAATAATATAGCCTTAGTAGTAGAGTCGGTGTACTTTGGGATTGTATTAGATATTATATCGGCGTAGGAGGCCTATGGTATGAATGTTAGGGTATGTGAGAAAGAGTAAAGTTATACTTACTAAGAGAAAGGGATCTTATTATTATGTCGTTATTGCCGGCGTTGTCTATTACGAAATATCCAAGCTTAGATATAAAGCCCCATTTGTTAACCGCCTTTAAAATAGCTATAGCGAGATGAGAGCCGTTGTGCTTACTATTGATATCTTTTAACGCTAAAATATGGTGTTCTAGCTAGCCGTCTTCCGTGACATAGTGTGCGACTATGCCTAAGATGGCTAAAGAGTTAGGAGAAGTCTAAAGGTCGTAGCTAATATGAATTCTTGACTTTGCCGATTGTATGCGCTGCTTGACCCTCTCTTTCTGGTCTTTATATTAGCGCATAATCCATATCTTAATGGTATTATATGTATCTGGAAGCCAAGTCTCGATATCGTTATTAATATAGGCTAAGAGAGCTTGGAACTCTGGGCATTCTACGAGCCGAAATGGGAGAGAATAGGCCGTGATAAACCTTATGTATAATACTTCGAGCTAGTCTGGGTTAATAGAGTCTCCGGATTGATCGTTAAGTCGATGGCGTTTTTAGGGATTTTCTTCTGCCGTAGTATGAGCTTGTTTGATAATAGTTCGTATAGTTATAACTTTCGCTATCCGCGGGGCTCCTTTTGGCAGACCGTAGCTATTAGGAGGAAGGTCTATGAGATGTTTTGTAGGAGCTATAGTACCCCCTAAAGAGGCATAGGTTTTATCATAATGTTTATAGCGCTACTTTTCTTTTCCGGTCCGCTGATTATAGTATCTCGTCTTTACCTCCTCGTCTAGTATATAAGAGAAAACCTATAATATTCTGGGCTTAGTGGAGGATATTATGGAGGCGGTGCGAGGTCGAGATGATAGGTATTTGGATATTTGGCTTACGTCTAGATTATCTAATTGCTTGCCGGAAAACTCTAGAAAGTCGCTAGAAATTAATGACTCTCTTCGTTGCGATGATTGCATAAAAGGGAGGCGTTATTAAGGCATAGCGGGTAGATCTATAAAGTTAAGATTAAGAAGTAATAAAAAAAAAAGGGGGGGGGGGAGCAAAAGCGAAGATAGCCTAACCTAACATAGTTTGTCCCCCCTCACGTATTTCTTTCACGCGTAATCGCATAATAGGTCTAATTATTAATAAAGAAGTACGTGAAAGTGAATAAGAGCCAATAAATTGCGAGCTATCCCTATTACTAGTATAGGGTAAGGCGGCGTTTAGTAGCTTTCATAAGGCAATTCACTCAAGAATTAATAACCCAATATAGATAATATATTGCCAATATAGATATCCTTATATTATATAGTCATAATATCGCAGTCTTTATATCATATTGTCATAATATTAGAAAACGTATATTATATAGTATGTATTATAATATATTACTTTATTGCCATATTATTCGCAATACTGGCCTCAGCCTTCCACTTGGAGCTCTCTTGTGACCAGAAGGAGAGCGAATACCTATCCAGAGAAAGCTGAACAGTTTTCGACTCCCCACATGCAAGGTGAACCTTGGTAAAGGCCTTGAGTTCCTTGATGGGACGCTGCAGGCTGCTGTCTGAATCCTGAACGTACGCCTGGATGACTTCTGCTCCATCATAAGAGCCAACATTTGTAACCGTGAGCGAGATCGTCATGGAGCCATCCTTTCCTCCGAGAATTTCCTTGGGCACCTCAAGATCTTTGTACTCAAAGACAGAATAAGAAAGCCCGTATCCGAACCAGAATAACGGATCTCTATCTACCATTTCGTAATAGCGGTGTCCGATGAAAACCCCCTCACCGTAAACGATATCATAATCGGCCTTGGAAAAGGTGAGGTACGCCGGAGTGTGTTTGAGCGACTTTGGAAAGGTGATGGATAACCTTCCCGACGGATTTTGCTTCCCAAATATGATATCGGCAAGGCCGTGGCCGGTTTCTTGCCCGCCATACCAAGCGTGCACCAATGTGGTTGCCCGACTCTCCCAAGGCATCTCGACCGGGCAACCGGACTGCGTCACAATGATCTAGAGGACTTGTGTCAGAAGAGAGCACAGAATTTCGATGGGAGAAAACCATACCGTGTTTGGGTTTACTTCTAGAACAGCTTGAACCAACTCATCAGTGCGACATGGAAGACGTAGATGTTTCCTATCACTCGCTTCATACTCCCAATCGGATGACAGACCTGTGACTAGGATGGCAATATCAACCTTCTTTGCCAGCTCGACAGCGTCTCGGATGCCTTGATCCTCATCAAAGGGTTCAAAACCACCAACCCGGCCAGCAAGAGTCAGTGCGGTGCCAACACCCCCAGAGATGGCTTCATTCACCATGACCACCTCTAGAAGCATAGGTTTCTCAGTGACATCGACAGTGCAAAACTTTTCCATACACAGTCTGTTGAAGCAAGGGGTCGAATCCGTCTTTGGCAGTTGACTGGTCCATTGGTCAATAATGACCTTGCCATCAACCTTCAAGACGCCTTTGCCTGACACGCCAAAACCAAAGCAAAACTGCCTTGACGCTTCAGGTGTATATATCGATCGAGCTCGGACAAAGTACTTTTTGGGAAGTGCAAGACTCTCGGGGATATCGATGAGGGGCTTCTCGGCAATGGTCGTCAGAACAGGCTCAGCCTTGGGGTTCTCGTCTGGGTTTTCGCCAAAGATCTCGATAGACCATCCAAATTGATTCGTGTCGGGGCAGGTGAGGCGCTCTAGGAGGGGGCTGAATCGGAAGGCTAAGAGAATATTAGCAACGACAGCAAGTTTAAAGCTAGGAGCACGTACTGTAGCAACCTGGGGCATACGAGACGTTGGCTTCTCCAATCTCTTCCACTATCGCATCATACGGGGTGACGGAGTAGTAAGGCTCGACTTCCGAACTGCCACCGCCGCATAGAGCGGGATGCTTGATGTGGTCTCCGATCAAGCCAAACTTCTTCCCCTTGACGTCGGTGAGCGGAAGAATCTTGTTGTCATTCTTGAGCAAGACGATCCCCTCTGAGGCAATCTTCCGGATCAAGGCTCTTTGCTCTTGAGAGTCGGATTTCGGCGGCGTGGAAATGTGCTCGACTGCTTTGACCTTGTTGATCAGAGTCAAGACATTCTTGGTTGCGTCGTCGATAGCTCTATGCGAGACCTTGCGGCTGTTGACAGCCAAGGAAAGAGCCTTTCCACGCCACAATGTCGGGCCAGGCATCTCCAGGTCCATGCCTGCGTTGATAGACTCGCTGGTGCTATAAGTGCCAAACCAGTCACTCATGACCAGGCCGTTGAACCCCCAGTCATCTCTCAAGATGGTTTTGAGTAGGAAAGAGTTTTCACTGGCATGAATTCCATTGATCTTGTTATAAGATGCCATAAAGGTCCATGGGTCAGAGTATCGCATAGCGAGCTGGAAGGGGAGGAGATGAACTTCGCGTAGTGTTCGCTCCGTCAGAACCACGTTATCCTCGACGGAGTTATCTGACTGGTCGTGAGCCGCAAAGTGTTTGATACTCGTAGCCACACCTTGACCTTGGATTCCGTTGATGTACGCAGCAGCGAGCACTCCGCTCATGAAGGGATCTTCGCCAAAAGCCTCGAAGCCTCGGCCGATAAGAGGCGAGCGCTGAAGGCAGACAGTCGGAGCGAGGAGCACGTTTATACCTCGAAATCTTGCTTCTTCGCCGAGCAGGTTCCCGGCTTGACGGAGTAGGTCGACGTTGAAGGTGGCGCCCATGGACGTGGCTGACGGCAGCATAGGACTTGGTACACGGCTAAAAGAGCGCGGTCCACGGATGCCGTGGGGTCCATCGGAGGTCTGTACCACAGTCAGTGATCATCAAGCAAGATGGGAGTACAAATGTGACATACCACAAGAGAAGGAATTCCTCTGCGTGGAAGTCCTGTGGTTCTGAAGGCGCCTTGGCCAGCCAGCAACTGGACTTTTTCATCAAGTGTCAACTCTTTGAGGAGGGAGTCGACATCGAGAGTGGTATTGGTAGCTGGGAGCGACATGATAGATGATGGTAGGTGAGAGCAAAGTTGGAGCGATAAGTAGCAAAGAGCCGAGAGACCAAGTGCACTCTCACGAGTGTCTCTACGCCTTTATACATTCATGTTCCCATGTCTGTTTCCACCTTTTCTCCGGAGAGTGCAGGATGCCAACGACGCCAAGTGTCCTGGCCAGGCACCCTTGCCGAGCATTCAACTCGGCCATCCAATGTCGAGCCAGAGATCCCCAACATGACCTCAGTTGACTCGGAAAATTGGTGGGTTTGCGTCCTCCTCGTGAAGCCAAGGCCGGATTAAAGGTGGATAGAGGTTGGCCAATCGGGGATGGAGAATGCAAGGGTCAAGTCACTAACCCCGGAGTTCAGCATCAGCAACGTCTCCGAGGCTCAGTGCCAAGTCCCGCCAATGCGATAATTGGATAACAGCCTTGAGCGAGTGGCATCTGGGCAGAAACTGTGGCAATCCTCCAGGCCACTGTGTTGGCGTTGAGATATATTGCTATGATGTGCTAATAATGCGTTCTTTGTTATAGTTGAAGCCCGGCCCTGGATGGGATAGCTGGGCCAGAGGACTCCATGGAAATCCTCCCTTCGCTACATGACTTGACTAAAGGATTCTCTAGTGGGTGATAATAAAGAGCGGCAAGAAACTTGCCACTGACTGATATAGGTGTCACAGACCTGTCCGTGCTCCTTATAGTATTTACGGCATCAGATTCAATGCCGGCGTGTGTCCCGACTTCGCTTGTTGATCCCTTGCTTGCTGCATTGTCTCAGATCCTCTTTGAAAAGAGAAGTCTTGCTATTGTTAGCAAAGAGTATTGGCTACCGTGTTACTGAATCTCTAATAACACATACAGTTATCTTGGTCTGCGACAATTGCTCATCAGATATTCTTCTTCAAAGGGCAGTAGTAGAACGTGTCGCGATAAAACCAAATCCAGACATGTCTCGACCTATGGCACATCATTGCTCTCTCAAGCCACAGCTCTACAACCAGTATTTGTCGAGTTAATATAAGGAATGCTACTTCCTCAGTCCTGGACACTATGATTCCTTTGTCTAACCTTCACATCTTGACGAACCGCAAAATCGACAAGGCCATAGCATCACCCATTGCATGCTCCGTATGAAAAAGGCGAGCCGAGTTTGGTGACGGCCAATGTAATGAACAGAGGGTTATCGGACACACAGTTGAAAGACATGGGACTGCTGAACGATTCTTCCTTTGCGAAAAGATGAATGCAATGGTTTAAATGTATTTGTATCTAACTTGAAAACAGAATCTAAAATCAAGGCTTGCCAAGTCTAAAATACGACTTCTAATCGTAGATCTATTCTATGGCTCAATGACCTTTCATATCATCTTCAGCATTGGAAGTGCAAGTCGTGTCGGCCATGGAGGCTCCCTCCAGAGTAGCACCATCCTGGTTCATCTCGATGAGGGGACCCTTGTAGTTCTTCCTTCCATCGACGATCCAGGTGACAACAGCGATGAGCAGGATGATGCCAAAGGCAGCGATACAGTAGTTCATGTTGGTTGCGGTGACGGGGAGCTCGGGAGGGAAGACGAAGAGGACGGTAGTGAGGATAGCCCAGGCAATACCGACCAAGCTGCAGACCCATCTGACGGGAGTACTGAGCTTGAAAGGTCGATCCTCGGGAAGCATGTTTCCGCCGCGGCAGAGGTGGATGAAGGGAGGGATGGCATAAGTGACGCCTATTGGATGTTAGTAACAGTGACAAAAAGATGAGAAAGGGTAAACTAACCAAGAGCAACGACGGAAGCGGCGGTAATGGCGTTGAAAGCACTGGAGCTTCCCAGGAGAATCAGACCAAAGATGATAACCCATGCGGTGGTCCAGAGAAGGGCGTTGAGAGGCACATCAAGGGTGGGGTGAACAACAGCCCAGACACTGCTGAAGGGCAGACCGCGGTCTCGGGCAAAGGCATAGGTCATTCGGGCACTGGTGGTCATGATGGCGGTGGCAGTAAAGACCATGCAGACAATAGAGAAGACGATGAGGCAGACACTACCGGCCTTGCTGTTGGTGGCATCGAAGTAGATCTGGAGAAGAGCGCCGGCGGGAGACTCGATGACAGTCTGGACATCCTTAAGGACGAAGAGGAGGCAGGAGAGGAAGATGAAACCGGAGGCCATGCCAATGAGGATGCACCAGATCATGATGCGAGGGCCCTCCTTTCGTGCGTTGGGGATTTCCTCTGTGAAGAGTCAGCAAAAGAATAGTAAGAAAGTTACAAAAACTGATACGTACCAATCATGTGAGCGGCGGCATCGAATCCAGTGAGAGCAAAAGCGCCCTGAAGAAGTCCAAGGAGCCAAGACAGACCATCGGGCCAGCCAACCTCATTGATGAACTTGCCATAAACAAAGTCACCGCTCTGGTAGTTGGGGGAAGCACAAGCAAGAACAGTGATGCTGATGATGACGAAACCAGAGATACTCCAAAGGAACGCAGCCTTGTTGAAGAGCGGGAGGAGACGGTTGGCAAAGGCGTTGATGGCGAGGGCGATAAAGGTGAAAGCGAGGTAGATGAGGAACTGATGCCAGGCCTTGGACTCGTAGGTCGGGTGCATAAACGAGATGGTGTCGATAACGAAGGTGCTTCCGAGAAGGGGTGCGGTAGCTGTGAGGATGACATAGCCAGCAGCGTTGATCCAGCCGGTGACATAGCTGATACCTCGAGACCATCTAGGCCAGCTAATAAGAGCACTCCAATGATATTGTCCACCAGCTGTAGGATAAGCAGACAGAAATTCGGCCAAAGGAGCGGCGAGACAAAGGTTGCAAACGCCAGCGACCATCAATCCCCAGATGACGGCACTAGGTCCACCAGAGGGGAGGGCGAGACTGATGGAGGCGGACAGGGCGGTCCAGGTGTTGAGAATGGCAAAGGCAAGACCCAGCAGAGAAACCTTTGAAAAGTTTCTCTGCAGCTCTTGCTTGTGGCCAAGCTGCTCGAGGGCGGCCGAGTCGTCAAAGTGGACATTCTTGTCCGCGTGATTCTGTTGCTCCTCCATGATGGATATTTGTCGACAATTGCTATGAAAACAAAATACAAGAGTGAAGAGAGAAGGGGTAAAAAAAGAAAACTAGCACTGGGGCGGTCGGGCATTTTAAAAATGTTCCAAAGTCTCACTAACGAGTTCCGTTAACGGAGGATCACTCCCCTTGTTGGAATAGTAGTCCCCAGTCCCCCAGCTCCTTAGTAGAGGAGTAGTATCATGGAGACTCTGTAATGTGGTTGCGTAACAAGCTTTTTTCCCATGCTACGCCCGAAAGAGTGCCCCATAGGAGAATGACGTTGTGGGTATTGGTCCCCGGGCCGGGAGGCGATTAATCTGTTTCCGTTCTAGAACTATTTCGAGAGAGGACATTGCGGCTGCCAACGACTCTGCAGTAATAGCCGCGGCTCATGCAGGCCATACGATTCCTTTGGGCTTCTAGAAAAGACGGCAGGGGGGCATCCCACCTCACGCCATCGTGTGATAGGACGAGAGAGGCTGATGTCTCGTGTTGAGGGTGGGTGACGCTGTCAACGGGAGCACGTCAATGGAGGTTCAGCAAGCGGATGAATTTGATTTGATGGAGATTTTGGCCATTTGAAGTTTTTATTGTAAGCTTAAAGAGACAGTAGTTGCTCTTCAACACGTCTCTAGTCGGTGATGGTGACATGGTAATCAACAAGTGCCGAAATCAACATGCATATGCAGATGTGTTCGGCAAACCAACTCCTTGCCATGCGCGTCCTTCTCACATCAGCTCTATCATCAGTTCCCCTCGATATCTGCTTGAAACATGGTCAATGCTTAAATCGGCCACGACATTATGGTCAGACGCGATAGATAGTGCAGAGCGCGCGCGCGCAATTCGGAAGTACGGCTAGACACGAGACGCCCTTGGGGACACACAAGGCGCGGACTAGTAGATAATAACATCAGGAGACGAGGCAAAATAAGTCTAATCAGCCCCATGGGGGTCAAAAATACCTCAATGGCCTTTTTGACTAAGGCATCTGTCCCCTGGAGATAGATAGTATCAATCCCATTGATCGAGAGACGTTGGAGCCCCAGGAAAAAAAACAGCTCTCCACCGAACCCCGGTCTTGGCTCGCTATGCAAACACGAGATCTAACTACGGCTCCGAAAAGATGTTACTCTTGGTTATTGCTCATGGTAATAAACTGCCATGGGCTTATACTGGCCTGTGCATAAAACCCCCCCGCTCGTTGGCATCCGACTTAACCGACTGCTCGAGTCAAATGACGCTGATCCGGTCGAACCGGGACATATCAGCGCCCGCTGGCAGTTGGAAGTGCTCTATCTAGGCGCGGCTCTGCCACGAGGACCGGCATCGACCGGGTATGCCTAGCTCGCCCAGCGGCGACTCCGTTCCATTAAAGAGGGTCTCAGTGGCAACATCTCACCTTTTGCGCAAAAACTCCACGGACCCCAGGTGACCGTGTCGAGAATCTCCAAACCACTGGAGACGAACCCCTGATTCAGTGGTTTCTGTTACGTTTGGAATCCGCTGAACTGGCTCAACAGCGAGATTCTCGCCCATGGGCTACTCCGCGATGTCCCCCGCGACCCCGACCTCGTGTGCTCTTTTCCCCAAGGTCTCCAGGAATTCATCTCTCTTGTCGGGTGGATTTCTATTGAGTAATGGATTGCTCGATTCAGCCATGGTTTCCTCTGCGGTGAGTGTTGGCGACGTCGGAGGATGCCCGTTGAAGGACGCAAGGTGAGAGCACCCGGGAGGGTTATGAGCGCGCTCCGGCCATGGCAAGATAGTGGAACGACGATGGTTTAAAGCCTTGGCGAAGGTTGGCCGAGGATATGTCGGAAGGGATGCCGATCTGATGAACGCCGAGGGAGCCGAAAGCTGAGGGACGTGGAGGTTGAACAGAACGGACATTAGTTGGTCTGGAAATTTCAAACAATTTGACGATTCAATATTAGGACTAATAGCACTCGTCTATTTAGTGACCATCAGAAATGGCACTCCCTATTCAAGCTGAGCAGGGTGTGGCAGCAGACGGGAGAATGAGATGACTTTCCTTCAAGCTTGATTTCAGACCAATTTCAGAGCCAGACACAATGACATTTCGATTCCCAGCATCATATTCCATTCCAGCGACGTCAACCATCAAATTTGAGGCTCTGCTACGAGACGCTAAGGCGCATCGCCAAGCACGCCAAGAGATGATGCCGCAGGCCATCCCGACGGATCCTTGAGGCTCGGCGGCGGGTGGCGTCCTCGATCGTGATAAAACAAACCATCCACGATAGGAAGGCAGATAAGAAAATAGAATCAGCACAAGGCATAGATAAAAGGACCAATTCGACTACAGGGGAATTGATATAGTAAACAAGAGCTGGTATTTAAACGCACGCAGCATCACTTCTTGGATCGAAGCTTCGAGGTCAAAAAATTGAAACTGATATTTGCAGCATTAAAGATCTTGTCGCAAACCAGATCAAACATGCAAACAATAGAAGTCGATGGTTTAATTTACATCTCCACCAAGGTCACTCATTATTTAAACCTTTCTGCCAGTTTTCAGCTCTCAAGAACTCCTACCCGATACCAATTCACAGCGTATCTAAGTGATGGCACACCAAGTCAACCACCTCTCAGAAAAATTCTGTTGCAGTCCTGATGAGTAAATGAAAGATTCTGAGATTAATCTTTTGAATATACTTACTCAGTAATTTTCTCTTAATCGTTATACATGTGTTCATTATCAAACTTACAACATTTACTAGCAGCTAGGTCAAATGACCATGTGCCGAACAGCAGATAGGAGGGCCAGGTGTTGTCTCTCAAATAAGCCTTTTTCATTAAACTAAATACAGAGGGTAGCATTCATAACACCGTCGGTGAACGACCCGAAGGTATTTTACTTCTTTCTCCGAGTTGAGACCCTGATATTTTCAAATTGCAAGGTTACTGAAGGTTTACTATAGTAGTTTAGGTGTGTTGAAGGGAAGTTAGACTTGAACGTATTCTAGGATCTATACATTATACTGTGCCTCCTAAACTTGGGACTATCACAGTGAATTCTTAAGAACCGAGGTATAACTCGCCACTTAATCTTTTCTATCCTCTTCTTCTATGCCTCTATCCATGAAAGCAACGACGAGTGTTATACAGAGCTCATTAAGAAAAACGGCCAAATCATAGACGCTCCTAGGACCGGCCCTCCCAGCAAGCACCAGAGATTTCATCTCGCCAACTCAGGTTCCGTGGTCTAGTTGGTTATGGCATCTCGTTAACACCGAGAAGGTCCCCGGTTCGATCCCGGGCGGAACCACACTTTTTGCACCTCAACACAACCCACTATGCCCTAACAACCACAACTCCACCACCACCTCTTCTTTTTTTCTCAACTCCCTCGGCTATATCCACAGAGGAGATGAGCCCCATACTCTCGGCGGGTTTTCATCCAACAAGATAGCCTCGGTTCCGTGGTCTAGCTGGTCATGGCATCTCGTTAACACCGAGAAGGTCCCCGGTTCGAGCCCGGGCGGAATCACGATTCACAAGGAATCAACTCCTTCCTTTTTGTCCAGACTATCTAGAGCTGCCATCACAGTTTTTTAGGAGGTGTAGTCGATATGGTAGGTTCATTGATGCCATTAGCAACTATCCTCTACCTCGAGTTGGGGCTCTTGTGCCCATGTTCAATCCAACTACTCCCTGAGTCAACGATACTCTTCATTTTTACTTGCTCCTGTTCGTAAAGTAGTTGTAGTTGGAATGAACCATCTCAAGCGCCCTCTTGGTAGCCTCATCCAAGTCTTCCTTGGGAAGTCCAAGGACATCATTGGCCAGACCATACTTGGCCTCGATGTTGCCGTCACCATTGGGGTAAAAGGTCCTGGCGTACATACCCATCGCCCAGCCCCTTCGGTCACCCTTCTTTAGCATATCCATCGCCCGGCTCCAGCGTTCGTGAGAACCCTCGTACTCAATCTCCCAGTCCTTGTCCGTGGTGCCCGTCACGCGTTGGATGCTGTCGAGCATTTCCCGCTGGGAGATGAGGAAGCTGGAGATCCACATTGGCTTGTTTCGCCACTGGGAAATGGTTGGTGACTTGTCATTTTCGTCTTCGGGCAGCTCCTTGAGGCTCAGAAGAGCGGCAATAGCTCGACCGCACTGGAGCCAGGTTGAGGTGTTGATCTGCGTCTTGCCGTCGTCGTAAAATGTCACCTTCCTTTGGTTGTCGCTAAAGTCGAAGCCGTACCATTGTGGGCCCTGAGCGATGGAGAACTCGTACCAATAAGAGCAGCCCATCGCTATCCAGGACGACACACCGGCATCCTCGATAGCCTTGATACCTGGCAGAACTGACTGGCCAGTCATATTCTCCTCTGCGAGAGATGCATTGGTGAAGTCGGTACCGTAGCAGTTGGGCATCACCCAAGGAACGCCGGCCTTTGCAGCAGCAGCGATGATCTTCTCCTGAGTACCAGGGGCAGCAGTGACAGACATGGAGATGGCGAGAAACTGCTGGCCCTTGAGGGCGGCAACAATAGAATCTTCGTTTTCGTAGTCAACAATGACGGATTTGGCGCCTTCGGGAATCTTGCTAGTGCTTCCTTCACGAGTGATGGCGGTGACTGTGTGCTTTCCGGTCTGCAGGAGTGCCCTGGCCAAATATTGACCGACAGAACCACCAGCCTGAAACTGGTTGTCAGTTGTTGATGCTCTTCGCGTGGGTTGAATTACTCACTCCGACGATGGCTACTCTCTCGATGCGGTTGGTGAAGCCCTCGGGCTGGTCCTTGGCGTACTTCTGAGCCATAGTGTTTAAACAAGATTCAAAATTTTGTAAAAGTGAAGATGTGGTCTTGGTTGATGTGAGCACGAGGTTGCTTGGTTGTGTGTATGGTATTGATGCTGACAACTTTCTCTACAAGACAGAGCCCAAGAGCATCTTTATATTTCATCTTGTCCCAAAACCCCGTCCCAATGTCTCGGAGATAGATAATTAATCGCCATTGAGGCTCTCTCGACCCTCAAGTACATCGGACTCGGAGCGGACTGAGAATTGCCGAATTGGGTAATCGCTCGGCCGGCGGCTCTCCACAAGCGACCAGAGACGCCCAATCAACGACCTCTGAATACGACAAACGGCTAGGGAAGCGATGGGAAAACACGCATCGACTTGGCGCGAACGTGTTAGTTGATTGGAAATTCGTCAGAGGCCGAAAGAGCGAGATGCCCGTGTAGCCTGATTCTCGCTTTTAACCCTCGTCCTTCGGAGTTTGCTAATGGCCGGTGTTTGAGTGGTGAATCATGATATCTCGCCTCCGAATATCCGACACAAGAGGCTTCAGCTACGTCGAGGACTATTTTTTAATGGCATTGATAAAGTGAGGGTGATGTTCTTCGGCTTTCATATGTCTATTAAATTGTTGAGTTGTGGCAACCTGCCGAACAATGGGTTATCTATCACTCGGCAGGGGCCCGTCAGAGCCGCGATGAGATATGGAATTTTCGCCCCATATGTGTTGTAAACCAGCGGTGTCCGCTGAACTGAGGTTTTATCACGGTTTGTATCCAATTATTCATTCTGAATAATCATATCAGTTTCTACTTCCCTTCTCACTATCCCCATCCTCCCAAGTCTTGCCTATGTCACTCCAGGGTCTTCGTCAACCACAGAGGATGTTTATCACCAGCCTGCTGTGACAGAAAATGTCTTCTAGACACTCACCCATCCATGTTGAAATTCCCAGCCCGCTAGCATACAATTTTTCCAGAGGAGCGAAGTCCGCATCTTTAACCCAATTGTAGATACTCCCCGGAAGCTATGCATATAGTTTCATTTTACTGACCTCCTATGCTCAACCCCGAGGGAGAGTCTGATCTATCTATATTATTACGGAATGGCCAATTTATTCATATCCACACCGGCGCGGTATGAGACCTAATCAATCAATCAACTTTTCCAAGTTCGAGCTCCACAACTCTGGAGGCTTCGAAGCAGGCTCCGACGATATGATCAAGGAGACAGTTGAGTAGATCTTAGAGAATCAGTTGACAGATCTTGCAATCTAGATTCATTGCATCTGGTATGTTCTTTTATGTGCCTCGGAGCGATCAATTTAGGCGATCGACGAGAAATTCTTCACCGGCCAGCTCGTCAACACAGGCGAGATCCCCATCTTTGCCATTTTTACCAAGTACGATGTTCTTGTTGAGCAGATTCAAAAGCGGTGCAAGCTATCAGACATGCAGAGCGCAGAGGGAAAAGCCTACGAGTATTTCCAGACCAATCTGGAGGGGCGGCTGAAGAGTATCGTAGGGGATAACCCTCGATTCTCAATCTGCCGTATAGCACTTGCGGACACGGAAGAATGGATACCCAAGTATACCACTACAGGTAAAGCAGTCTTGTCAAGCAAGTTAACTCATATTAACACTTGATGCAGACTCTATGGGCTCGCAGGCTCTGGTTCAGAAGATGACGCACCAGCTTCGTAGCCGGGACCTTCAAATCCTCTGGGTGGCCACTCAGGAGAGAGACAACTGGGCCAAGCTGATAGGTACGTATCAGCCAAGGTGAAATATGCTGGGCCCTGGTTAACTGACATTGGTAGATGGAATTTTCAACAATATCTCCCTCTTCTGGACAGCGCGGCGAGTCACCAAGGTCTCCTACCTCCCATACATCTGCCTCATCTGTGTCGTCTCGGTTTGGAAGATCCTTTACAGCAAAGGCACCAAGTGCTGGGGTATCGCCCCATGGAACTCATCGTATTCCGAAAGAACACTTGAATCGATCTTTCAAGCCACTGGAACCGGGAAAATCAACTTCTCTATCGGCCTGTTAGCAGCTAACTTTTATGGCTCACTATTTCTCCCAGAAGTAAGCAAGATTGTCTTGCAAATAGTGATAGGCGTTCATCTCTTTGGGTATTACCTACGTGAGTTGCAGGATCGAAAAGGTTTCTATCTGACCTCAAAGGAGGTCGAGGCGGCCTTGAGAGGCTTTGAGAGGAGTGTCGCTAGGGATAAGATGGTGAATGGGATGAGCGAAGAGATGGTGCGCATTCCCTTTAAAGATCGAGACTACGCCGAGGATATAACTAGGGCCGTTATTCGGGTTGCCAAGGAGGCGTCTGTTAGTAGCTTAGAATCCCCGTTTGAGAAGATGCGTGCAAAATATCAAGACAAAGATTAAAGGGTCTGTAAGTGCTGCAGTTTTATAAAGGTCTTATTAGCATTTATTTAATCATCATCCTCTAGCTTTGCCTAGCAGGATCAAGCATGACCTTGTTCTTTGTAATAGCATCAATCTCGTCAAGAATCTCAGGAGTCAACTTTCCAAGAATCTTGAGAGCTCCCACATTCTCCTCCAGCTGCTCCGGTCGACTCGCTCCCGTGATGACACTGCTCACGTTGGGGTTCTTGAGACACCAAGCAACGGCGAGCTGGCTCTGACTAACACCCAGCTTATCCGCAATGGGTTTGAGTTGCTTCACCTTTTCAATCTCCTCCTTCCAGTCGTCGCTTCCCATGCGACCGCGCATAAAGTCGGCAAAACCGTCCTTGCTCGCTCCGAATCGTGAGTCCTTAGGCGGTTGGCCGTCGACAACGCCGTTGTACTTGCCCGAGAGGAGGCCCATCTTGATGGGGCTGAAGGTTGTGAGGCCGAGGCCGACACGCTCATACAGACGCTGGAACTGGCCCTCAACCTTGTCACGGACAAGCATGTTATACTGAGGCTGCTCCACGATAGGACCAATCATCCTCAAGTCGCGGGCAATGCCAACCTATCTTGTCAGTCGTTGTGCTAGGGAGCTCTCCGGAGAGCACTTACAGCCTCTGCAATCTCATCGGGGCTCCATTCAGAGGTGCCCCAGTAGAGAGCCATGCCCTGATCAATTACAAAATTGAAGGCCCTCACAGTCTCTTCCATAGGGGTCAATCTGTCTGGCCGATGCGCATAGACAACGTCGACGTATTTTAGTTGAAGACGGGAGAGTGAAGCCTCCAAGCCCTCGATGATGTGCTTTCTCGAAAGACCGTGGTTGTTGACCAGAATCTCTCCATTGACAGCGCCCCAATTGATTTCTTTGACACTGTTAGCATACCGATCGGGCGGTGATTTAAAAAGGTTGCTTACTTGTGCTGATGACCAGGTCACTTCTCTTCCACCCAAAATGCTTGATGGCCTTGCCCATGACAACCTCTGACTCGCCGGCAGTATAGTTCTCAGCCGTATCGAAGAAGTTGACGCCCAGATCGTAGGCCTTCTTCATACAAGCAAACGCCTGCTCATCTTGAGCATAACCTCCATAGGTCATCCAACCACCAAGACTAATGGCAGAAACATGAAGTCCAGACCGACCGAGACGGCGGTAGATCATGCCCGTGTTTCGAGGTTCTGCCCAGGCCATTGTGAAGAATATTGACGATAGATGAGGAATATCATAAGAGTGCTATGCTTTCTTCAAGATTTTTGATCAAAAGCTGCTCAAGTCAATCCATATACACAGGGTCAAGCTGACGGAGAAATTCTCGGAGTAATATGATAAAGGCGGGGATGGAGTCACACCGAGTGACCAGGGTAAAATGACGCAAGAAATCCTCCGAAAGGTGTCATCGCGCAGCCCGCCCTAGTGAGATTTTTTGTTAGCTTGGGAGTGTCTGATCCTCCTCTGAGACGTCTCTGGGCATCGATTCGAGCAGCATGCGAGTGAGGGGAGACGGTGACCGGACGAGATATCCCAGGTCCAGCGGTGGCCAACAAATCTGAGAAGCCTGCTCCTCCATGAATTGATACGTAGGCATAGAAATGTTTGACTGGCTCGCCGAAAGCTCAGCTGTGTCGAATCCAGATTGGGTGTTCATCTGGAAGACAATCGCATCGTCGTTCGGAGTCTCAAGCATAAGCCCAGATCCAGAAACGGCGTCCATCTTCATCGTGAGAAGCGACAAGAGAGTTCGATTGCCTCCTCGACAAGAGGACAAAATATCTCGCAGGCGATGTAAGATTGGCCCTGGTTGATCAATTGGAATGGTTGAATGATTGCTGGCCATTGCATCAATCACCGCTGTAGCGATCTCAAACGTCTTGAACTCCTGCTCCGTGTTAGCAATGTCTCGCATTGGATCAAGGGCATATAGCTGCTTACCAAAGTTGGCCCATGAGACTCAAGTGCAGCCTTTGGAAGCTCGGAGACCAGACTCAAAAAGTCCTTTGCAATGTCAATCGGATTCATGCCCGGAATGACAATCCCAAAGCGCAAAGACGCCCTCCAAAGAACAGCACGCATCCACTGCCGAGTAATAAACATGTCCGCGCGCTGAACCTGATTCACGGGACCCCAGTCGTCGTTGTCGACCGAGTCAAGAAGCTTCTGCTGGAGGAGTTCAAGACAGCTCTGAGCCACGGACGCCATGTTGGGAATGTCCGAGTCTGTGTCTGCATTTCGTAGAATCTCAAAGATTCCGGATTGATCGAATACCCAGAATAGATGGACCAGCTTTAGAAAGGCGGGTAGGACCTCGGCCTGATCGTCGGCTCCGCCAAACCATGGGAACAGGATGTTAGGCTTCAACACGATGGGTAGTTTGTGAAGGAGCGCGACGCCTCTGACATGGATTATCAACAGAGTACATGATGGAGCGAATATTTGACGCACCTTTCTGTAACAAAGAGTAGCCAGAGAACCCGTCGCGAAACGTGTTGGTCTACCTCAGACAGCGACGCGTAGGTCGACTCGCGATCAAGTCGGAGGATTTGAGCCTGCGTTATGGCCTCGCGCAGATACACAAGCGACTTGGTGCCTCCAGGTGAAGCGTTCTCATGGTATATGTGTAAAAAGAATGAGATGCGAAGGCTATCAAGGAGATCGAGCGTCTGATTCAGCCCACTCGTCTCTACCTTGTCCACACTGGGCTGCCATGCAGTTTCCAGTCTCAGCTGCGCAATAGTAGCAAGGGCCACAGCATTGGCTAAGAACCTTGCTGAATCATCTCTGTCAGGGTTCTCCTTTATCTTGCTGCGCAGGTCAGTAGCATCGCAGATAGGCCAGATAGGAAACAGTCGTTCAGCGTAAACGTCGAGCACGTCAACCACGCAGGTTATCTCATCAGTCTGCTTCTCTCTGCCCCCATTCTCCCCACTGAGATCTATACACTTGACATCAACCTTGCCTCGACGTCTCCGCTCAATCTTGTCAAGGGTCTTTGCCCGAAGCCCTCGAGGGCCGCGAGTAGCTTGTAGGCGGTTAAAGGTACACTCTATCCCCGCGGCTGCACACCCCGTGCAAGGGGGTGTCTCTGAACATCGAATTTTCCGGATCTTGCATGAGTCGCAGGCCCGTCTTGCAAGTTTCTGGCGTGATGCCGAGGTGTTCGGAGTTGTTTTCGGAGGCTGATTCGGAGCTGGACTCGGAGCGGCATCCGGATGTGGGGACATGGCTCCGAGGAGTCATCAAACCACGACAGGAATGGAGGAAGGATCAGCTTGTGAGAGGATGATTTCTGGTACAGGAAAAAGATTCAGCAAATGAAGAATCCTCCGAGAAGCCTTCCCAAGCTGCCGGTACCTTGGACCGCATCCTCCTCGATGACGTGATCGCAGGTGATGAGCTCGCCTTCGAGGTCTACCCCGGATTTGCTCCACTCAAGCTTCGGCAGCTCAGTAGCGCCTCGCAGCTAAATTCATCGTCACTATAGCCTCGGTCGGGGAAAGAAGAGTATGGCGGACACGGGGTGGACATGTAGGATGCAATGAGAGGTTTCCAATTAGAGGCTATCGAGGCCAATGTTAGCATTTCCAGGTATGCCAGAAGGGAAGGTTAGCTTCACCTCTTGCCCAAAGTGTACGTCCCTTCAATTGTCTTTTGGCTTCCTTCCAGAGGCGCGCGGCCCAGCAGGTCACGATGAGGTCCAGGTCTTTGTCACTTAATACTTCCAGCAGCCTGAGACTCGGGGTGGATCTCAGCCCTCCGGTTTCCATCAGCATGGCCTCCTCTTCCACAGCTATGATACGTCCGACATCATCCTTCCATGTCATTTGCTTCCCCCTTCGCCCTCTAGCAGCCTTGAAGTTGCTTCCAACGCTGCAAGATGACCAGCTAGTAAGTCCAGGGCGAAGCTTGACATGGTTGTATGTACGACCGTCTCTTGTGTTGCCGTTGATGGCAATGTGTCGTCTCATGTGTATTCGGAACGAAATATCTCGGCAGGTATACAGGTCATCTTGCCGGAAGCGAAGTCTTCCTTGTCCATTGTTCCTCGACAACCGATAGCGGAGTTTCTTGATCGACAAGACTGAGGATGTTGCCCCACGAGGCGAGGCGCTCAACTCGTAGCGAGGGAGAGGACTCCCAGCTGGATAGATGGAACGACCATCCAGTATTAGAGAGATCAACTCGCTTGTTGGTAGTTGTACTCTTGGTCCATGACGGGACACTTCTTGGTATGTGGGAGGGCTAGGAAAGGCCATGGTGAATTGCTATCACAATCAACATCACAAAACCAACAGCTAATATGAGCGATTAGGAATCTTGGCACTTTAAACTATTAACCATACGTCCCTTCATAGGAACTCGCTATCACCCCCTCATTGTTCTAACATGATTCACCAGCTTGAAGATAACTGGGTGCAACAGATCATGCTTGAGTCCCGGAACTGACGGCTCTAGAGGGGTTGCTCCCAACAGAGTAGGAAACACGGCAAATATAGTTGACAGCAACTGAATTGATGGGCAACAGTATGTTTCTTACATCACTATCCCTCTACCATTCCATACCCCCGATGCGACATCCTTGGGCCGCGTGACAGCGGCATAGTGAGGAGGTGCACCTGTCACTCATGGTGGTATCAAGCTACGGGAACAAGGAGGGTATAACAATTAAAGATGCCGAATGACCGAATATTTCAATTTCCGGAGGGATTTTTGCGTTATATCTGAAGTGCTTTTGGCAATCAGTCGTGTGACGAGAGTAGAAGCATGGGTGTCTTCCCCTCTCGGCTTCTTTCACGGCTGTTCTCGTAACTTATCACGATAGCAAGAACATGGGGTATTGGGAACCAGTTCACCTCTTTTTCAGCCCGTGCATCGTCTTGGCAGGTGACAATACTGATCCCGAAAATGCGGGAGACGGGTATCAGATGCCAAGAAATGCTTGTTTGCGTCGAAACTCCTATCCGACGGGGTTCAACCTCTTTGACAGGGCGTCAGGTTAAACGACAACCAATAGGAGGGATGCCTTTGAGGTACAAAAAAGTGTCAGTTGACATGGAAAAGAAATCCCGCTACAAGGGTATCTGCACGAAACCAGTGACATATCAATGGTGGTGTAGCAGTGACGACATGATGAGCGGTCGAGAATCTTCAAAAGGGTGGATGGAAAGTCATAATGGTGATGCCACCAATTGTGCCGCAATATCCGTGGCGAGAGGGAATTAAAGAAGAGCGGCTTTTTCGGTTCTGACGGATGTCAGACTTGATTTGGCCATTCACAACCCCAACCCATCAACTCTGTTGGTGTGCCTCCCGCGGGAGTTGAAACGCTGCGATGGAATCCCGGGGAGGAGAGCCGATGAATCACGAGAGCAATCCTGTTTACTGTGCATCGTCTTGTTACCTTTGTCTATCACACTGCATCAGCTTCCCGATCGGTCCCGGAATTCTGATAACCTTGCTTCTTGGAAAGGTTGTGGAATCTTTTCAGCCGACTGGCACCTCCCGTTGAAGCTTTTGCAAGGCGTCCGGATAACTCGGCCGGGATGGAAACCGCTCGCTTGCCATAGGACGGATGCTCTACCGGCTGTCGAGGAGGGGGAGCGGCATCTACGGGTGGTTACAGTTATGATCGTCACTCACCCGAATGGTAAAGGTCAATTCTGGTGTGCCGACAATAAATAGCAAAGTCCCGCCGTGGGCAGAAACAAGAGATTATCTGCAGTCCATCCTGTAGAATACATACAGCTCATTGTAAGATCAATTGAAGTAACAAGAGTGCATCAGCCATGCCAGGTCTATTCCACCGCAAAAAGAAGGCTGCCGAAGGCGACCTCGAGACTGGCGGCAGACGTCAGTCTCGAGGCCGCATCGGCAGCATCTACGTCCCAGGCGTGGAAGACCTCGGCGAGTACCCAGCTCTGGACCGCTACATCAGCGTCTACCGCGACGATCGACGCCGGAGCGCGGCAGAGGAAGACACCACCGGCAAGAGTCGCAAGAAGCGACGATGGTGGCAGTTTGGAGGTGTCGATGCCGAAGAGACTCCTCCTGAAAAGCAGGGGATACCAGAGTCTTGGCTCGAAACCGACGTGACTACCGGCATTGCGACTTCGGAAGTTGACATTAGGAGGAAGAGAGCTGGGTGGAATGAGCTTACAGCCGAGAAGGAGAACATGTTTGTCAAATTTTTGGGCTTCTTCACGGGCCCAATTCTTTATGGCAAGTTACTACTCTCTGTGCATGAGAATGGGGTCGCTAACAAGAAGCCAAATAGTCATGGAGGTTGCTGCGTTGCTGGCTGTCGGTCTCGGTGACTGGGTTGACTTTGGAGTCATCCTGGGAATCCTCCTCCTCAACGCCTTTGTCGGATTCTATCAGGAGAAACAAGCCGCCGATGTCGTTGCTAGTCTCAAAGGAGACATTGCTATGCGATGCACTGTTATAAGAGACAGCAATGAGCAAGAAATCCCAGCTCGTGAGCTGGTACCTGGAGATATTGTAAGACACTTCCCCCTTTAACCGAGAACCATGTCTAACAGATGACCAGCTCATTGTCCAAGAAGGTGGTACCGTAGCCGCTGACGCACGTCTCCTCTGCGACTACACCCGACCAGAAGACTTTGAGCTGTACAAGCGTCTCAGAGCCGAAGACAAGCTCGACCGCAGCGAAGAATCGGACGAGGCAGAGGGAGACGAAGATCAAGAACATGAGCACAGCCAAAACACTGAAGTCAAAGGGGGTGACACCAATGGAAAAGAACGCGATGGTGATTACCAACCTCAGGAACTTGGGTACCGCAGTCGTCCACTCGTCGCCATCGATCAGTCCGCCATCACTGGCGAGTCTCTTGCTGTGGAAAAGTACCTGGGCGATATGGTCTACTATACCACAGGTTGCAAGCGCGGCAAGGCATACGGCATCGTAACTCACACAGCCCAAGAATCCTTTGTCGGCCGCACGGCAGATCTAGTCCAAGGCGCAAAGGACCAGGGTCATTTCAAGGCCGTCATGAACAACATCGGTACTTCTCTCTTGGTTCTCGTCATGTTTTGGATCCTCGCGGCCTGGATCGGTGGTTTCTTCCATCACATCAAGATCGCAGAACCTGGATCGCAGAATCTCCTTCACTATGCCTTGGTGCTGCTCATCATTGGTGTACCCGTCGGTCTGCCCGTCGTCACGACCACTACTCTTGCTGTGGGCGCTGCGTATCTGGCCAAGCAGAAGGCTATTGTGCAGAAGCTTACAGCCATTGAGTCGCTCGCTGTAAGTCTTAGATTTCTTGATAACATAGATACATGAGCTAACAAGTAACAATAGGGTGTCGATATTCTCTGTTCAGACAAGACCGGCACGTTGACTGCCAACAAGCTCAGCATCCGTGACCCCTTCGTCTCTGAGGGCCAGGACGTCAACTGGATGATGGCTGTCGCAGCTCTAGCATCCTCTCACAACCTCAAGACGCTAGACCCCATCGACAAGGTTACCATCTTGACATTGAAGAGATACCCTCAAGCCCGTGAGATCCTCCAGCAGGGTTGGATAACCGAGTCCTTCACCCCCTTTGACCCAGTCTCCAAGCGAATCACCACCGTGTGCCGTCTAGGCAGTGACCGGTTCACATGCGCCAAAGGAGCACCCAGGGCTATCCTGAGGTTGGCAAACTGCTCAGAAGCAGACGGCAACTTGTACAGAGAAAAGGCTCAAGAATTTGCTCGTCGCGGATTCCGTTCCCTGGGAGTCGCATACAAGAAGAATGACGGCGACTGGATTCTTCTCGGTTTACTCTCCATGTTTGATCCTCCGCGTGAAGATACGGCGCAGACCATCATCGAGGCTGGACATCTTGGTGTACCTGTCAAGATGCTTACAGGAGACGCCATCGCTATCGCCAAGGAGACTTGCAAGATGCTGTCGCTGGGCACCAAGGTGTACAACTCAGAGAGGCTCATTCACGGTGGCTTGGCTGGAAGTGTGCAGCATGATTTTGTCGAGCGTGCCGACGGCTTTGCAGAGGTATACCCAGAACACAAGTACACCGTCGTTGAGATGTTGCAACAGCGAGGTCATCTCACAGCCATGACGGGCGATGGCGTCAACGATGCCCCATCCTTGAAGAAAGCAGACTGCGGAATCGCCGTTGAGGGTGCCTCTGAAGCTGCCCAGGCCGCTGCCGACATCGTGTTTCTTGCCCCTGGCTTAAGCACCATCGTGCTGGCCATCAAGACAGCTCGTCAGATCTTCCAACGCATGAAGGCATATATCCAGTACCGTATCGCGCTGTGTCTACATCTCGAGATCTACCTCACACTCTCTATGATCATCATCAACGAGACCATCCGGGTCGAACTTATCGTCTTCCTCGCCCTATTTGCAGATTTGGCCACGGTCGCAGTAGCCTATGATAATGCTCATTGGGAACCGCGCCCAGTGGAATGGCAGCTCCCCAAGATCTGGGTCGTGAGCGTTATTCTGGGCATCCTCCTCGCGATTGGCACTTGGGTTATTCGTGGATCCATGTTCCTCCCCAGCGGTGGCATCGTCCAGAACTTTGGTTCCGTTCAGGAGATTCTATTCCTCGAAGTGGCTCTTACTGAGAACTGGCTCATCTTTGTTACACGTGGAGGCAAGACCTGGCCATCTTGGCAGCTTGTCGGAGCCATTTTCGGTGTAGACGTCATTGCCACCCTCTTCTGCTTGTTCGGCTGGCTCTCCGGCACCGGAGAAGTGACTACTCCCAGAGACCACTTCAACCAGAGCAGCAACGGATGGGTAGACATTGTCACCGTTGTCATCATCTGGTTGTACTCGTTCGGTGTTACTGTCATCATTGCCATCGCGTACTATCTCCTGAACAAGATTTCCTGGCTTGACAATCTCGGCAGGAAGAACCGCAGCAAGAAGGACACGGCCATCGAGAACATCATTGGACATTTGCAGAAGCTGGCTGTTGAGCATGAGATGGATGAAAAGACGGGCAAGAGCAGATATCTCCTTGTCGAAAAGGCTGGTGATGAAGAGGACGATATTTAGACGCACGCACACGATTTCTGCTTTTGTTCGCATCTGGTCAGCTCGGTGTAGGTAATTCATAACTCAAATAGCTTCTCTCGTATCTTTTTTGTTAATATACTTTCTTAAATTCCCAATGCTTCCTTGCGTCCCTTGCTCGTAGTATCAAGATAAGGCGCTTCACCCAGACTGCAGACCCGGTCACCAGCCCGAGCCGCATCATAATCGTACGTAGCGCAGTGCAGCGTCGACCTATTATCCCAAATGGCGCAGTCATTCTTGCTCCATCTATATCTCACCTGAGCATCGTGGTTCTGTGTGACAAGGTTGAACAGATAGCTCAGTAGCGTGTCGCTCTCATCCTTGGAGAGGCCGTTAATGCGCTTAGTAAAGCCCTTGTTGACGTACACCGACTTCCAGCCTGTAACTGGGTTCGTTCTGACGAGGGGGTGTACAGCTGAGAGGTTCTCGCCCTGGTTCAGAGGTGAACCACGGATACCCTTGCGTAGAGGGTTACCAAGGCGGGCAGCTTCATCATGGAAGAAGGATGCATCGTGAGTTGCAGTGAGTCCTTCGAGGAACTGCTTCATTGGTGGCGATAGCCTGTCATAGATCTCGTAGCCAGAGGCCCAGAGCTATGAATTGCATTAGTACTTGCACTTGTTTGACTTGAGTGACCCGAGCAACGTACTGTATCACCTCCAGTCGCTGGCAGTGTGTGAATCTTGAGCATGGCATAGTCTGACGGGACCTTTTCAAAAGTGCTGTCCTCGAGTTAGTGTTATTCCATCATATCATGATTTCAAGATGCGCGCTGTGAACTTACATGTCACTGTGCCAGCCTGCACTGGCAAACCGACTCACATCACTCAATTGATGTGTCAAACCACCTCCCTTCTTCTGCTTCTCGCTCGAGATGACACTAATCTGGTCACCAAGCTCACTACCCTCCTCTGTCAAAGGATGGATATGCAGTCCAGAGCTGGCAGGACATCCAGCGACTTCCGTCAGACGAAGCATGAAATCCTTCATCTCTTCGGGAGTCACATCTTGGTCCTTGAGGAATACAACTCCACGCTGCGAAATAGTGGCAGCAAGGTCACGGATGAGCCTTTCATCCCATCGCAGCAGATCACGGATCTGGAGTCCAGTGTATTCACGACCAATTACGGGAGTGACGTCGAGTTGTTGGATGTGGTCAAGGCTTCCCGTGTAAGTCAATGGCTGCGAGATCCGAGGCCGACTCTCTGGGTGACCACCAAGAATGTGGTCACCCAGGGTAGTCTCTGCTTGTGAAGGTGCGGCAGAAGGCATGATGCAATATTTGTGTACAAATTTTAATGAACAAGAAAAGGCATAGAAATGAAGGAACAAAATCGTGCAATTGAACGGCAAACGCTGAGGCTATATCAAAACCGGAGTGATCTTCCGCGATACTTGGTACCGAGTACATGCACCAACCAGGCTATCCCCGGACCGTTGAATGTCGAGCGACAGCGTCGAATCACGGCGCGCGGCAAAGACGACATCGGGACTAGGAATGGCATGCGAGGAGCTTTGGGCATGACGGAGAAAATCTCGGAGAGGAGAAGCCATCCCCACACCAACCCGAAGGAGTAGGTGAGATGACGCTAGAGGGGGGCCCTCTGCAAGACGCTGTATTGATGCTGCTACTCTTCAGTGTAGGAGAGACCTCTTGCGTGAGGTACATGTAGCACCTTTGGCCGGGGCCCTTGAGACGGGCTATTAACCATTGCCAGAATTGGCTCCATATCCATCTATGGCGTGCGCGGTCGTGCCACGCCCGTTCACTGGGATGTCGCCGCGGAGCTTCTTTCGGTAGACAAAGAGACCAAGGGCAAAAGAGTATATATCTTGACGAGAACCCCGAGTTGTGTTCCATCACCAGCGACAATCACCTCAGCATCGTTTCAGTGCATTTGATCACATTGCCAGTTGCCAATTGATTACCGATTACACCCGCATTCAACATGGGCACTGCAGATATCGAAGCAAGCCCTGCAGTAGCGGAGCGCTCCTCGGTGGATATCGCCAAAACCCAGGTCGGCGTCGGCAGACAAGAGCTTCACTCTGCCCTGCCTCCGCATGATACCTACGAAGGTGGTCACCGATGGGACCCGTCAGCTACATGGACTCCAGAAGAAGAGAAGAGGGCTGTGCGAAAGACGGATCTGCGTCTGCTTACTTGGCTGTGTTTGATGGTGAGTCTTGTCTTTGGTGCTTGTTTGGATTGAGCACTTACACGGGTTACAGTTCTTTGGTCTTCAACTTGATCGTGGAAATCTTAGCAATGCTCTTGCAGATGACCTCTTGACCGATCTCGGTTTGACAACAGATGACTATAACAATGTGAGCATTTGTATAAGCATTGTTATTGGACTTCCTTACTGATTTCCTTCAGGGCACAACCATTCAGCTGCTATGCTTCCTCTCTGCCGAGTTCCCAGTACAGTTCCTCACCAAGAGATTTGGCTTCAAGCGTGTCCTCCCAGTAGTATGTCCACCTCTCTTAGACAGCAAACCCCGTAAGACTGACTGAAAATTATAGTTGATGGTCTGCTGGGGGTTGGTATGTATGTCTTCACTCTCCCTCACCCGTCCCCGATCTTTACTGACCAGCACACAGCAACTTTTCAAGCCTTCATGACAGGTAGAACCAGCTTTTACATCACCCGAGCCTTCATCGGTCTCTTTGAAGGCGGTTTCATCCCTGGTGTCATTCTCATGGCGACATATTTCTACACCTCGAAAGAATTGTCCATTCGACTGGCTGCATTCTGGAGCACCCTCAACATTGCAAGTGAGCACAATTGTCCTTCCACACAAGCATCAACCAATACTCACACATTTCAACAGGAGTCATCTCTGCCCTGCTGGCTGCAGGCTTCCTCGAAATGCGAGGCGTCGGAGGTCACCCTGGCTGGTTCTGGCTTCTCCTCCTCGAGGGCCTCCTCACCGTCGTCATCGGCCTCGCCTCAATGGCATACCTCCCCACCAGCCCTACCGGCACAAAGACTCTCATCTGGCGCAGCTCTTGGTATACTGAGCGTGAAGAGGTCATCATGATCAACCGTATCCTCCGCGATGACCCTGCAAAGGGCCTCACGGCCCTGACTGAGCCTGCCACCTTTGCGGATATCAAGGCGGCTTGGACTGATCCTTCGCTCTGGGGATTGTACTTTATCGGTCTTGTCGCTTATATCCCCGCGACTCCGGTCACGGCTTATCTGACTCTGACACTCAAGCGTGTTGGCAACTTTAGCACTCTGGCTAGCAACCTGCTCACTGCGCCATCGGCAGCCCTCCAGATCATCACTATGCTAGCTTTAGCGTACAGTTCAGAGTATTTCAACGAGCGATCTTTCCATTGCCTCCTTGGAGAGATTTGGTCGCTTCCGCTTTTCACTGCGTTGCTCACGCTCCCAGATGAGGGCCGCGAATGGGGACGTTTCACCATCATCACCCTCATCTCGAGCTATCCCTACTTCCACCCTCTGGTCAGCTCCTGGATCTCTGAAAACTCATTCGACGTCAAGAAAAGAGCAGTCGCTGCAGCCACTTACAACGTAATTGTTCAAATGTATGTCACTTCGCCATTCCCTTCGATCAAGATCAATACTGACAGACAAACAGCGGAAGCGTTATTGGCAGCCAGATCTACCGATCCTGGGACTCACCCTACTACAAGAACGGCAACAAGGTGTGCATCTCGATCCTGTCGCTCTCAGTCGTCGTCTTCCTCGTGCAGCGCCAGCACCTCATCCGCCTAAACAAGAAGAAGGAGGCAGAGTGGGATCAGATGACACCTGAGCAAAAGATTGAGTACCAGACGGACAAGGAAGCCAGAGAGATTGATGGAAACAAACGACTCGACTTTCGATTTGCGTATTAGAAGTAGAGGTGCAAGATACTATGTATATAAATACTGGGCTGGGCAGCCACTCATTCTCTCTGCTGGAGACGTACAATTGACTTACACGGTTCCTAGTCCTATCGCCCATCCTGCCAAGCCTTCCAAATCAGAGCCAAATCCGGCGACCGCCACTCATGGTCGGTCAAATGCCCAACCTCGGCGACTCCGAAGGAAGCAAGGTTGACTTGTCTTGTTTTTTCACATGCCCATGTCCAAGTCTCAAAAATGGTCTAGTATCTCTCGTATTTCCCCCTTCGCATCATTATTCATCCGCTTTTATCCTAGTATTCTATCGTGAACCTATGTCTCAGGCTTCAAACCAACACGTCTCTCACCGCACACTCACTACAATTCACCTTTCAAGACATTTATAATCTTCCCTGGATAATCCGACCATCTCTCTCAAAATGGGCATCATCGGAAGCGTCGCCACAGGCCTTATTGGTGGCCTACACAGCTACATCATGGTCCTTGAGATGTTCCTCTGGACAGGTCCCCGTGGCCGCAAGACATTCAGACTCACAAAGGAGTTCGCCGAGCAGACAAAGGGTCTCGCCGCCAACCAAGGTCTCTACAACGGTTTCCTCTCTGCTGGACTCTTCTGGTCGCTCCTCCACCCGAATCCTGAGTTTTCGACTCAGCTCCAGACCTTCTTCCTTGGCTGCGTCGTCGCTGCTGGCGCTTTTGGAGGCGCGACAGCCAACCCTCGCATTTTTTACGTGCAGATGGCTCCGGCTGCCGTCTCGCTCGGTCTTGTTCTTCTTGGTCTCTAAATACGAGAGTTTTGTGTTTTGGAATGTGGGAAAGGGTTTAGCATTTGCATCATTGCTGTTTCAGTCGCGTGGGTGTAATGAGCAGGGTTGAGAAGACTAGGGTTCTCGCCATTCAAACCGCTTCTTCAACGTCCATGCAACGACATATCCTCGCCCAACGCTTGAAATGCGAAATCGCCATGTCATACACATTTCCACCACTTATCTTGTCGAGACGCCTTGAATCTCACACACTCAGCAACTCAATCTCAACCTTCGGCTCTGCCCTACAAAGTCCCCGTCCCCGGCTCTCGACGCCCGTGACAGCGACAAACTGTATCCTCGTGAGAGCCTTGCCGCCAAGCCAGGCAGAATTGAGGCTGTGTGAAACATTGGAACTGTGGATTGGATACCTGCAGGGCGGTGTGTCAGCGAGCTCAGCCAATAATTCATTTACCATCTGACGATTCCTATTTTGTTTCTCACGAGTCAACAACTCCACCAATTGCCTATAATTCTTCTACGTCCCTGCGACATGTCTTTCGCTTCTCTGTCAACAGAAGTTATTCAAGAGGTCGGGAAATATTGCGACGGTCAGCAGCTTGCTTCCCTCGCTCAAGTCAATCGCCACTTTTATGCCATCTTCAATCCTCTCCTTTACAAACATAGCATCGCCAACGACTCACCCTCCCAAGAATGTGTGAGGTGGGCTATAGAGTATGGCGAGCTCAACACGCTCAAGTACGCTATTAGTCAAGGGGCAGACATTAATGGCTCTTGTGCGATAACGGAGAGATATGTTCATTCCGGCATGTCTTCAACACCACTGCATGTCGCGACCGCAAACAGCTTCCATGAGATGGTGCAGTGGCTTCTTGACAATGGTGCAAGTTTGCATGAACCATCATTCGGGTTGTGCGGGTGCGACCAGTGGGGCACTTATAATTCGGGTCTCTTCTGGTATCCTCTGCATTTTGCAATCATCCATAGCGATGAAGCCATGCTACGGCTTTTCCTCCAGAAAGGTGCCTACTTCTCGGCGGACAGGGTACCAGGCCTGCGATGCGCCATTCAGAATGAACGGCTGGATATAATCGACCTCCTCGTCCAGCAACCGAGCTTCGATCCTCGTTACCAAGATCCTCATGAACAAAATGCCCTTCATTACGTCTGCAATGTCCAAGACCCCAGCGCCGCCTATCAGATCGTCCATAGGCTGGTTGATCATGGCGTGCCAATGAACGTCATGGTGCAAGGCGATACACCTCTCTCGCAGCTAGTCTGCAGGGCCATGTATAAGCCTGCGATCGCCTTACTCGAGCGTGGTGCTGACCCCTACATTGATGGGCACAATCAGAGAATGCATTTACTGGACTTGTGCTTTAATGATAGACTTATCTACCCATCAGAGCCAGAGTCCGTGACCACAGAGTTGAGGGAGGACCGAAGAAAGCTAGTGGCCATGTTCATTGCGAAAGGGGCCGACGTGAACAGAGTCACGACTATCGGAGATGAATATCGCACGCCCCTCTTCCGGGCACTAATAAGCGGGAAAGACGTCGAATGTATCAGGATTCTCCTCGATGCCGGAGCCAGCATCAGGAACGCCGTTACAGATACAGATGGTTCCAAAACCGAGGGTCTGCTCCGTGAGCTCTTCCGCCAAGTCGCCGGTTTGTTCCCATACGTTACAAGGATGGGTGGTCCTAAAGAAGCATATTTTGAGCCGTACAAGGACTCTGTGCGTCTCTTGTTAGAGAATGGTGCGCGCATTGACTCGGTTGACGATGAGGAGTCAGCCTTGGGGATATGTTGGAAGATGGCAACTCCAAAGATAGGAACCTGGGCCCTCGAGTTTCTCATAGACAATTCCACACGCCAAAATGTCACGCTAGAGTTTGTTGAAGCTCTTTTGGAGAAAACGGAGAACGAGGAGGTTCGCGAGCTGTTGGAGCGACTTCAGGACAAGTTAGCGGGAGATGGTGAGAATGATGACGCAGAGACGGCTGACGAATAGGAAGAAAGATGACAATAATGCAAAAAAGAATACAGCCTCACATCTTTTCGTTAATGCTTGTCACAGTTTGCCAAGAAGAGATCCCTGTTTGCTCTTTATATGCTACCATCTTGGCGCCAGGATGGCGTCTATAAGTCTTGGGGGGTGTCAGACCTCCTTTGCCATTCTGGCGTCTCGTTTCCTTCTTAACTCATGTAACCAGGCAACTTGTGCTCTTCGCCCATTGTAGGTACACAAAGAAACCTTGTCTTGCCTCAGTCATAGCCTTGCGCAAGGCAAAAATGCGAAATTCATCATAGCAAGAATCGGCATTGGGAGCCTCACCCGTGTTGATACACGCTGATTGGCTGATATGTTCCACACCATCCTCGCCCTGCTCTTCCAGCGCGACAAAAAAATGTTGGACCCTGTTTGTGCTCCCAAGAACAAGACCAAGACGGCAACACACGTCGTCAGTGCCATTGCGAGGCGGATCACCATGGCCCTTGGTCTACGCATCGCCAATGACTAAACTATGAAGACGCCATCTATATATTCAAGCCTTCGGGCGACTCTGCGCCTGCCAGAATTGGCATTGGCTCGTGGCTCAGTCACGCCTTCCGTCGGACCCAGCAACGCCGACCCGCCGATGATCCGTCACTTCCATCTGCAACGACCCCTCCCCCGCATCAGCTCTGGAGCTTCATCTCACCCATCAGCCTCAGCTTATTCTTCCCTTCTCTCCAAACCACCTATTGCTTGCCATACTCGAGAACAATCTCGTTCCTTTTTCTCGAGCTTGACTTCAGCTTCCGCTCCCCGTACTGTTCTTTCTCGATCTGCTTGCGCCTCCCTTGGCTTCACCCCACCTTCACCCTTCTCTTCTCTCCCTCGCCAGCAGCAGCGTCACTGCTCTTACCGCCGAGCCATGTATCGCAATGGATCTGACGTCGCCAGCGCTAGCCTCGACATTCGTCGTGGTCGCGAGGTCCTCCCCAAGAACGTCAAGCCACTGCATTACGATCTAACCCTCGAGCCCAACTTCGAGACCTTCAAGTATGAGGGTACCGTTGTTATCAATTTTGACGTTGTTGAAGACTCTACCTCTATTGCTCTCAACACTGTAGAGCTCGACCTTCATGAGACCACCGTCGAAGCCAACGGCGCCACTGTCACGTCCTCCCCCACCCTCGACTACAACAAGGATACCCAGACCACGACCATAACTTTCGACAAGACGATTCCTGCAGGACAGAAGGCGAGATTGACTCAACGCTTCACCGGTACTCTCAACGATGATATGGCTGGCTTCTATCGCTCGTCCTACAAGGATGAGCAGGGAAATACCAAGTACATTGCCACAACTCAGATGGAGGCCACCGATGCGCGCCGCGCATTCCCTTGTCTTGATGAGCCGGCTCTCAAGGCTACATTCACCGTCACCCTGATCGCTGACCACGATCTGGTCTGCCTTGGTAACATGGATGTTGCTTCCGAGAAAGAGATCGATTCTACGATTACGGGCAAAAAGCGCAAGGCCATCACCTACAACAAGACTCCCATCATGTCTACCTACCTCCTGGCTTTCGTCATTGGTGATCTCAAGTACTACGAGACCAACAACTTCCGAGTCCCAATCCGAGTTTGGTGCACGCCTGACCAGAATGTCGATCATGCTGTCTTCTCTGCTGAACTTGCTGCGCGGACACTCGAGTTTTACGAGAAGCAGTTTGGCAGTGAATATCCCCTCCCCAAGATGGACATGGTGGCGGTTCCCGATTTCGCCGCTGGTGCCATGGAGAACTGGGGCCTCATCACTTACAGAGTTGTCGATCTTCTTTTGGACGAAAAGACCAGCAGCGCCACGACCAAGAAGCGCGTGGCCGAAGTTGTGCAGCACGAGCTGGCCCATCAGTGGTTCGGCAACCTGGTTACCATGGACTTCTGGGATGGTCTGTGGCTAAAGGAGGGTTTCGCAACATGGATGTCATGGTACTCTTCCAATGCCTTCTACCCCGAGTGGAGAATCTGGGAGGGCTACGTTATCGAGGACCTGCGCTCTGCCCTTGGTCTTGACTCGCTGCGCAGCTCGCATCCCATCGAGGTGCCTGTCAAGCGCGCAGACGAGATCAACCAAATCTTTGATGCCATCTCATACGAGAAGGGTTCATGCGTTCTGCGCATGATTTCCAAGTACCTTGGCGAGGATGTCTTCCTTGAGGGTGTCCGACGCTACCTGAACAAGCACGCCTACGGGAACACAGAGACTACTGATCTCTGGGCTGCCCTCAGCGAAGCCAGCGGCAAGGATGTCGAGCGTGTGGCCGATATCTGGACCAAGAAGGTTGGCTTCCCCGTTGTTGCGGTCACCGAAGACGAGTCCAATGGCACCATCCACGTCAAGCAGAATCGTTTCCTTAGAACGGCCGACGTCAAGCCAGAGGAGGATGAGGTTCTATACCCCGTCTTCCTCAACCTCCTGACCAAGGAAGGCCTCCAAGAAGATCTTGCACTCAACACGAGAGAGGCTGACTTCAAGGTGCCCGACTTTGACTTTTACAAGGTCAATTCGGCTCATTCCGGTATCTACCGCACTTCTTACACCACTAGTCGGCTTCAGAAGCTTGGCCAGAACGCTAAGGCAGGCCTTTTGGGTGTTGAGGACAGAGCCGGCATGATTGCCGATGCTGGTGCCCTTGCTGCCGCTGGCTACCAAAAGACATCTGGCTTGTTGGCTCTCCTCCAAGGCTTTGACTCTGAGAATGAGTTTATTGTCTGGGATGAGATTACACTCCGCATCGGATCCCTCCGAGACGCCTGGAGCTTTGAGGATGAAGAGGTCACCAAGGCCCTCAAGGCTTTCCAGAGAGATCTGGTCAGCAAGAAGGCCAATGAGGTTGGTTGGGACATCACCGATACCGACGACCACATGACCCAGCGCTTGAAGGGTCTCATGTTTGGAAAGGCCGCCATGGTGGAAGACGAGCCCACCAAGAAGGCAGCATTTGAGCTGTTTGACAAGTTCATCAAGGGAGACCGGGATGCTCTCCAGCCTAACCTGCGGCCCAGCGTCTTTGCTGTTGTGCTGTCTTACGGTGATGAGGCTGAGTACAATGCCGTAGTCAAGGAATACGAGACGGCCAAGCAAAGCAGCGAGCGAAACACCGCGCTTAGGTCCCTCGGTTTCGCCCAGGACCCTGCTCTAATCAAGCGTACACTGGAGTATACGCTCAGCGATCAGGTCAAGACTCAGGACCTGTACATGCCTCTCAGCGCCCTCCGCGCACACAAGGAGGGAGTCATCGCACTCTGGGGATGGGTCAAGGAGAACTGGGAGGTCATCACTAAGCGTCTGCCGCCTGGCATGTCGCTCCTGGGCGATCTCGTATCCATCTCCACCAGCTCCTTTACTCAGGAGAAGCAGACTGCTGATGTGAAGAGTTTCTTTGAGGAGAAGGGCACCAAAGGCTTCGACCTTGAGCTGGCGCAGAGCCTGGATGCCATCAAGGCCAAGCAAAACTGGCTTGCACGGGATAGAGAGGATGTCAAGGAGTGGCTCCGTGAGAACAAGTACCTGTAAACTAGAAGCACATGAACCTATAGAAAGGACAAGATGCTAAACATACGACACCACTAGATATAGGTAGTCACAATCAAACCGTCAACATAGTAACCTGTCGTTTGTACTATTAGCTCTCGGTTGACCCTGTTGATTCTGTAGTATATCCATACAAGGGTAGGAGAGATTGACGGCTTACAAGACGTCTCGATAAGCTTCGTTACATACTCTCAAGTGAAACTGTTGGTCAAACAAGGCATTTCTTAATGTGTCTGTTATACATGTACAAGTATACACGGTCATACAACCTCGTCCCCATATATTTTTCTGTTCACATCTCATCTCTTCAAGCCTTGCCAGTGAGCCAGTCACGCTCCATATTCTTGCCCAACCCAGCTGTACCAGTAACGGGCAGATCACGCTTCCGCAGCTCCTCCTCAATGACCTTCCATCGGCCTACGGCGATCTCTCGGTCAATGGGGCCGATCCTCTTGCTGTGCACCTTGACGTTGGGCAGCGAGGGGAGGTCGGTCCGGGCCTCGAGGATCTCGGCCAGCTTCTTGCCGCGCTTGGTGTTGTTGACGGTCAGGGCGAGGAAGTGGTGAGGGGTGCGGGCGGCGCCGAGCTTGACGTCAGAGATGAGGCGGCCGGTGAGTTGGTAGAGACGCTTGCGGATCTGAGATGGTTGTTAGCATGTGGCAGTGGGTGTAAGTGGGGGGGATATCGTACGGCAAACTTGAGGTGGTCGTTGAGAGTGACTGTCTTCCATGAAGCATCCCATGCCTTGACAATCTCCTGAGCCTCCTCGACAGAAATCTTGACCACCTCCTCAGGCTGCTCAGCTTCACTCATCAACCGTCCAGTGACAGCCGAAACATCCCCCTTGAGCGTAGCCTTTCCATCCTGGACTTGGAGGTCCAGGGCCAGTGTCTGGTCGAGCTCGCTCCTGTCGCTGGGACGCCACTTCTTGGCTACCAATCCCTCAAGCAGACCCGCCTCCTGCAGCGAAAGGGCTTCAACGACGGCCTGGCGCAGGTACACCTCCAGCACGGCCTTGTCCTGCACCTTGTCGGCGCTGCCGAAGCCGCGGAAATCGCTCCCCTCATCCCAGTGACCAGGCTGCTCCCACCACGTCTTGAGCGGCTCAATCTCCTCCAGACCTTCAATAGTAGTAGCCGGTGTGTAAGACGGGTCAACAGACTGAAGCTCCTCCTCTGTCACAGCCTCTGTGCGTTTGGGTGGTAGGGCAATACGAGCTTCCCGGAGGGCTCGAGGGCGCCGGTCACGCCGCGGCTTCATATCCAACGCCTCCTCCGGCAGGTTCGACTCGTCCACGGGCTCTGGACGCTGTGTGTAGGGATCCTCAGGCCCGGGGGCCTCACCCTTCCAGAGCTTACCACGGACCCATTCCGTGTTCTTGCCGATGCGGGCGGGGGAAGACGTCGAGAGGGCGGCGGCGCGGGCGGAGAAGGGGATGCGATTGAGGGATGTCGATGGCGCTACGGCCGATTGCAGGGACGATAGACCCCGCACCCGCGGTATTCGAGGCATTGTGAGTGGTAAGGCGTGGTTGTGATGGGTTCCTTTCGAGGATGAGGTCGAAAAGATGGTGGTACATGGTCCAAAGGGAACTTTTTCCGGTGTGGTCGCATTAGCCAATGGGATGAGACGAGGCTGACAGGTGACCCACTTTGTCGCGGGCTTGTCGATAGCCTCAAGTGAGTGACGTGCGACCTTCCACCACATGAGGATCTATCAAGGGAACTTCGATCCGACACTTGAAACTCTTCCAACATGGCGCGCATATCATTCATCATACTCCTACTGGGAGCCTTCATTTCGCTAGCGGCAGCATGTAAGTTCACCCCTGACGCAAGTCCCCAACAATCGTATCTAACGAGTCGCAGCCGCGCCGACCTTTTGCAAATGCACATGCTTCAAGAACAGCACCATCATTCCCCTCGGTCCCAAGGGCGAACGATCCCCCTCCCAGCTGCGTCGCTCCGCAGTCCTCGATTACGGCGACTTTACCCCCGCAAACGATATCCGTTCCGCCTCCGCGCTGGAGCCGCGCTCCAAGTCCAAGTCGTGTTCCGAGTGCACAAAGGCTTTCTGTCTCAAGCAGGGCATCAGCTTTTGCAAGGGCGCTACAGAGGAGGACGTCACGACACTATGCTTCCAGCGTGACAGCAACAAGGACAAGATCATTGTGTGGGGGTTCATCATCGGTACTGTCGGCTTGCTGGGCTGGGCTGCATTCAAGAAGGTTGTTTCGTGGCGCGAGGGCCCTGGACTAGGAAGGCAGAGCTACGCCCCGATGCCAGGGAATTTTCGATGAGGTCACAAGAGTTGTTTATGCGGTGGCTGGCTCTGACTGCGATAATGGCTTGATTTCGCCCAACACGAGGATATAGAACGGAGTTTGGAGTTTTGATCTGGGAGGGTATCATGACTATCATTTTGGCTCCAAGTGTGTCAACTTTCAATACAGACTACACAGGCGCTTTTCCTGGACGCTGTGTGTTTTTCGTATCCATGCAAAGCATGCATATATGTCCAAAAGGCATCCATCGTGACAATTTTTGAATGCAAACCTAGATGCGCCGACTCTTTTTTTTCCACTCTCGACGTATCCACGTGAGTCCAAGTCAATAAACTCCCAAAGCCCGGCCCCTCACAACTCGACTAGATCCCTTTTCTAGCTTGAAACTTTCGAAACGATAACACCGATCCCTTTTTAAACACTACATTGATACGACCGCACACTTAGGCGCTGTTGACTGAGCGGCGAGTGCGGACAGCGTCAGCGAGATCCTCGAGGACAGTGACGGTGTCCTCCCAGTTGATGCAGGCATCAGTGATACTGACACCGCGCTCAAGGGCGCCAGGGCCCTCGGCGGGGACCTTTTGGTTACCCTCGCCAATGTTGGACTCGATCATGACACCAACAATGGCCTTCTCACCCTCACGGAGCTGGTCGCCGACAACCTTGGCAACCTTGGGCTGGTTCTTGTGGTTCTTCTGAGAGTTGCCTAGTATCGAAGTCAGTATTAAGAGTCAAGACTACATTAGGGGAGTACATAGGAGCACATACCGTGGGAGCAGTCAACCATGATAGCCAACTTCTGCTTCTTGTCCTGCAGGGTCTTCTTGGCAGCCTGGACGTTCTCCTTGTCAAAGTTAGGGCCCTTGGTACCGCCTCGCAGGATAACGAAGCAGTGCTCGTTACCCTTGGTGCGGGTAATGGCGGCCAGACCCTGCTTGGTGACACCCATGAAGTGATGCTGGGCAGCGGCAGCGCCAATGGCGTCAATGGCAACGCCGAGGCCACCGTCTGTGCCGTTCTTGAAGCCGACGGGGAAAGACAGGCCAGAGGCCAGCTCACGGTGAAGCTGGGACTCGGTGGTTCGGGCACCGATGGCACCGACAGAGATACAGTCGGCAAGGAACTGGGGAGAGATGGTATCGAGCATTTCGGAAGCAATTGGCATTCCTCGGCTGGTGAGGTCGACAAAGAGCTGTCGCGAAACCCGGAGACCCTTGTTGATCTTGAAAGAGTTGTCGATATCAGGGTCGTTGATCAGACCCTTCCAGCCAACAGTTGTCCGGGGCTTCTCGAGGTAGGCACGCATAACGATGCAGAGGTCGTCCGAGAGCTTGTCCGAGAGCTCCTTGAGCTTAGCAGCGTACTCGTGGGCGGCGGCAGGGTCGTGGATGGAGCAGGGGCCTACGACGACGAGAAGTCTGTCGCTGGTGCCAAGGATGATGTCGGCGGCATCGTTACGGCCCTTGACGACTGTGTTGGTAGCGGCCTCGGTGAGAGGGATCTCGGAGGTGAGGAGAGCAGGAGGGATCAAAGGATCCTGTCCGAGGACTGGGGTTGAAGTTAGTGAATGGGTTCTGTGTTGGACAAGACGAGGTTGCGCAAAGTCATGGGGAGAAGACAGAGGGCTTATGCGAGCAGCACAGCATAATAGAAGCGGCGCATTGCAAGCATAGTCCCAGGAAAGCTCATCAAGCTGTAACATCCTCGTGCAAATTTCTCTGAAGAAGCATGTCCGTTCGACCGCGTCCCGCAAAGAAGTTTGTCGAGTCATCATGGCTCCTCCTCCGAACCCAACCACCAAGCAATAAGGGAAACAGCAAGCGCAAGAAACCCAAAAACTAACCTCTGGTATCGTCGGCAGCGATCGGCATCTCGGCTGAAGGCATTGTGAGCTGTTATTGTTATTCTCTTCAAAGAATAAAAAAATCTGGATATTTTTTTGGAGGGGTTTGGTTTACATTGGATCGGTGGAAGGTGGGGGAAGCGGTAGTTCAAGTTAATATTTTAGTGTCAGCTCCGGCGAGGGCGAAAGACGATCACGAAAGAGGCGTTAGTTAAATTCTGTGTTTTTGAAGAAACCTTCGGCAAGGGCGCCACGAGGCTTGAGATTTCAAGGAGTCGATGATGAAAAGATGAGCTTGCAAGAGGAGTGATCACAGGTCAAGATTCGAGAAGAGAAGGGAAGCTGCCCAAGTAACATTCAATTTTTGTGACTCAAAAAGCCTGAAAGCGAACATACGGGCCAAGCGACCGGAGCACCTTCGGAGGGTTCCCCACCGAGGGGTCACTACAGGGGCCTTTTCTGGATGACTGTGGTTACTCTGCACGGGTCCAGGCCCAGGGAGTTACATGCAAGCTACCTTGGTCACTACGTCAGGGTTCTAGAAATTTGCAATTGCCAATGGTCCAAGCTCAATTGGCTCCGGTGTGTGTCCGTGAGAAGAGCTCAAGGCCGTGGAGATTCATGTGAGGGTGAAGGTGAAAGAGGTAAAGAGAGAGAGGGAAAAAAAATGGTAGAGTTGACGAGAATGGAGGCTGACTCTAGTACTTCGTTTGGGCTTCTCTCATCCTTCTTCTCTTCAACGGCATTCCAGCCTCTCCCCGAATCGGAGCTTCGTAGTCGGGATGAATGCAAGGAACGGGTGATCTTTTTTTGACCGCCGTCTAGTTGACCTCTCACCTCAGGGTGCAACCCTCCGCAGTTCAGTTGTGGATGAGTGGCCGCATGTTGGAGTGTTGCATGGGACATCTAGGTTTGCCCATTCAGGCTTCACGGCGATACCGGCTGGGGGACAAGGTGTGTAGATGAGATGGGACGGGGAAAGGAGACGAGAGTAAATCATCAAGTCGTGGCCAACCAACGAGGCACACATGTAGAGATATTGGTGGCCCAATGTTCAACCTCCTCTTCTCATGTGAGTGTGTGCTTTCTATCCCTTTGCCTTTTAGTTGAAAGAATAGCGGCTCGGGCTTGCGGAGACGCTCATGAACGGGTCCATGTCTCTGTTTGGAGGTTCAGGGTCCCTCCCTAAGGCACTAGTTGGGACTGGAAGCTTTAGTGCTATTTTCCGAGCATCACACCAATTGACGCCTCCCAGAAACAAACGTGAACAGGTCCAAGTCTGGGCAAATTGCTATCCTCTCTTCCCTCGTTTTCCGCTGATAGGAGTCACATCTGCAAGATGGCAGAGGGGTAAACGTCTCCGTGACGTCGGTATGCAGAATGATATTATGCCATGGCGACGCGGTATCGTGGCTGCTCGTAAAATCTCATTGCGCTCAGATCTTGAGGATCCCTTCGTGGCACCAGGAATGTGGTGTCACCAACAAAAGGGGGTTGTTGAGCATCACGGACCCTGCAACTCGCCTAACGAAAGCTCCTAGAGACTACCCAATGCCATTAGTCTTGCACCACAAGCCCAGATGGTGGCAATCGTTTTTCTTTACTCCTCCAAAGCAGAGTTTCGTCACCAACTCTTGTCCGGATGACACTACCCTATATCTAACTGTGGAACAACCGAGGGAATCCAAAAGGGCCCTCCCTTGTCTAAGACACTAACCCCAATGCCGTGTCGTTTGTGACGTCTCAGATGAACTCAAGCTCTACTGAAACTACAGCCAACCAAGCAAAACAGAACTGAAACCCAATGCACAAGATCAGTCAAGAAGATTGACAACTCTCAACTCCTTTCAAACATGGTGAACCGCGTCGTGTCTGAGCGAGCTCTCTAGCGCACTCTTGGCCACGGTCCGGATCTCATGGTCCGTGTGCCCCGGGGCTGTCCACTGAGCCCGCCGATTCTCGTGATGGATGATAGGCATGACAGACCCTGGATAACCCATGACCTAACAAGGAGGCAGAGCATGATTACCTACATCCAGATCCATGCCCTTGGAAGGGCAAACGCTCGGGTTCTCGGCGACCCCACGACTTGCCTTGCCTTCCTTGCCTCGAGGGCCCTAGCATGAACAAACAAACGGAATCGGATCGTCTGGTGCGAGACGAGACGCGCTATGGCTGGGCTCCATACAAACTCTCTACCATGTCGTCGTGATTCTTCCATCCACACACACACACACCACACTCCAAGCAAACGGCCCCCTTTTTTCTCATATTCCATTCAACAGTGAACCATTGTAATTCATCGTCTATTTAGTTTCTTGCAAGTCTTTACTAGGCTATTCACAGTATTCACGGTTGTCACTCTCGTTCTTTTTTTTTAATACTTAATTCGTCGGTTCTTGTTCATCGTCCTCCTTTTTTGCGCTACCTATTGTTTACACTCCCCAGCCGATCTACAAAAGTGGCTGAAGATACCAACAACCGACCCTCTGCAACTTGCAAGACATTTCAGAGAACCCTCTTCACTCGCTCCTTTCTCTTGCCTCACTCATTCTCTTATTAATCTCCTTCTCATCTCTATCGTCCTCATCTTTTCCGCCCGTCTGCAAAGCAGAAAAAAAAAAAAAGGTCAAAGCCGGCACTCCGCCCCAGCCCAGCCTCCGCCCATACGCCTCCGCCCGCCGGCTGCCTGCCTGCGTTCCAGGTTCTTTCCCCCTCACAGCCTGTGTCCACCACCCGTGCCTTCCAGGTTCCTTCGCCGACCACGGGCCGCCACCTTCCTCGTGAACTCAACTCTAACGACTCTCTTACGCCAGCTCAGCTCTCTTCAGCTCAGCCCAACCCCTTCACTTTTTCCCACTCTTTGAAAGACCATTTCCGCATACATAATCTCTCGCTAAAGCCATCTCGTACTCGACTTGAGCATCATCACGTTACTACATCGCCTTGCGTCGGATACCCCCGCGATACGGCTTCCCAAGGGACCTTTCCCTCCCTCGCCTGCTCCACCTGCATTAACACGCAGGGTCCGACAGAGTGTCGACATCACTTGATCCGCCTGCTCGGTTTTTTCTCCAGTCTTTTTCGGTTGGACAGGCTCTTTTTACAGCAAACACCGTCAAGACTCGCCCAGCATGTTTGCCGTTGAATCTGGAATCGACCAGCGGAAACGGGCCCGTGAGGAGGAGGAACTCGCCAATGGCAATGGCTCGACAAGTTTTGGCGAGCACCGAAACGTGAGTTTGTTCCATTTGATGCTGTCCAGCATGCTTTTGAGGTTTGAGTACTGACAATTGTGCAGAAACGAGTCCAGTGTCTCCCTCTTCGCACTTCGCCCCGAGCCTCGCAGCAATGGCTCCCCTCGTCAGCCATCACACCCCAAAGCTCCGACTCCGACGAGCACTACTCGCAACACAATTTCTCGCAGTGGTCTTCGTCAACGGGAATGCCACAGCCTCAATCATACGCCGACATGGCTTTGATGCAAGCCTCTCTCCAGCAGCAAGGTCAATTCGGCCCCGAGTCTGACAACACCAACGGCCGTATGCCGACTCCAATTCAACCCAGCTTTGCTGCGCAGGTTAGAGGCCAGCAGTGCGAGTGGGCAGGACCTGGCCCGACTGTGACCACCATGAACGGTGTTGTGAATCTCGGTCATCAGCCGACAGATTTCACCGATGATCAGTGCGTCCCTCGTACCATGGCTTCGGGTTGGCAAGCCGTCCAGAACAACCGACGCCTTCCCTCCCCCATTTCAGAGTGCGACGACTCTATGGGTGGCCAACCCATCACACCCACCGTCATGGAATTTGACATCAGCGCCCAGGGCAACCCCACGCCGGACATGGAGCACCCCAACCTGCCTATCGACTCTTCACCTTGCCACGAGATGGAGCACCCTAATGCGATGATGGACGTTGAGGCTCCTTCAGCTCAGTCAGGTGATGCCGAGGGCGATCCCACAACTCCTTCACCTCGGAGGAATCACATCCGCAACCGACACACAATTAATAATTGGACGTGGCAACCCGGCATGAAGAAGAGTTTCAGCATAGGATACCGATCAGACTGCGAAAAGTGCCGTCTCAAGGTTCCTGGTCACTTCAACCACATTATCATTGGCTAGGGGGATCAGAGGATTATCGTGGACCCCAAGGAGAATCCGTCACTGTGGAACGATCATGTGGCGCCCTTGGACCAGCGAGCAGCACGGCGACGACTTGGTCAGTCTGTGGCTAACTCGGAAACCCAGTCGATGATGGGCACGACTCTGGAAAAAGAAGCACCAAAGGCCAGCACTCCTTGCATTACCGCCTACAAGCAAGAGCTACAGAAAATACTGGGCAAGGGAAATTGTTTTATTAGGGATATGATGCATGCAACAAAGGGGGTCCTATTTTGAGGAGACACGACCCTGCCCAGCAGAGTGTGTAAAGGCGTTTCATGGGTTTTCGGAAGGACATTATTCTTATGGACTTGGTATAGATGGGCTATGGATACGGACATATGGACACACGGTCTTTCTCAACTTTTCTTTGTATGCGGCTTTGGAGTTACGGTCCGGAACAAGCGGTTATTTGCAGGCAGCGTTTACTCAGTCGACATTTTTAGTCGTCAACACGGAAACAGGGGACAGGATTCACTAATACGATCTGGTAGATCGTGAGGTATAGATGGAAATACCAGTACCGCATAGCGTCAATACAAAACATAATATTAGAGCTGTTGACGAGCTCACAACATGATAAATAATCACTAGAAAAATGTGTTTACTCTTTCATTCGCTTGGTATTTTGAATAGATATGGTAAAGTAGGGCTTGTTTCCCCGTAATGGTACATACAAGATGGTCCCCGACGCCGTCTAATGCACTGCCAATCTACACGATATGATACACTCTTCTTTTTTGTGACCGTGTGACGTACACCATCCCTCTGGTCCCTTACCTTGTCTTTTGGTCTTTCCAATTCTCTTGCTGCAGTTCACCAGAACTTCCACCAGGACTTCTTCTGAGAGGATTGGCCTCCCGCCGTCTCGAGGCCTAGCTGGTCCAGGCTGCCACCCGTCCTTTGGTTCTCCTTCTCCTTCTCCCAGGCTTGCTGTGCCTTGGCTTCGATTGAGCGCACCAGATCGCTGTCTCGCACACCTGTGGCATCGTCCTCCTCGCTCAGGCTCTCATAGCCCAGGCGCTCCTGTGACGAACCCACCTGCTCGCCCTCCTCCTCTCGGCTAAGCTTGCTGGAAAAGAGGCCCAAGACACCCTTGCCCCCCGTCTTTGCGGTCTCCTCCTCCTTCTTGCTGCCCTCGAGAGCAGGCTTGATATTCTCCTCAAAGTGTGTGCGGTGCGAGGGGGCGGCCAGCAGGGGTGGTAGCTTCTCGCCCTTGGCCTCGGCCTCACGGTTGGCCTCTTCGACAAGGAGAATCTGCTCCTCTGTGGCCTCACCCTTGAGGTAGGCTAGACGGGCGCTGGCAAGCTCGTCGGCTTCAAGTTGCTTCTGGGCCTCGACCCATTCGGCGCGGCGGGCGCGGTTGTATCGGAGCATGTCCCATACGGAGTAGATGGAGACGACACCGGCGACGGCTAGTACAATCTTCTGTCAGCGACAGTCTTGAAGCTTTATACAGGTGTCGAGGACATACCTGTGAATATCACGATGCCTCCGACGGTCCACCGGTGCGCAACATCGAGGAACCTCCGGGAGGCGTCGATGAACTTGTCCGTCTTGCTGATCTGCGCCTTTTGCGCAGCGAGGTGCGCCTGCCGCAATCTCCTCACGCGCTGCTCGGGAGTCTCGCCTGGGATGCGCGGCACCTTGGGCGCAACAGCGGACCCGCCGGTGGCCGTCTTTGAAGTTGCGTGGGGGATGGTGGACGTGAAGCGGGTTGCGTCCTTGACGCTCCTGGGGCCCATCCTGGAGGCCATTGTTGCTGGACAACGGCAATTGATGGGGAGGAGGAGTGTCGGTGGGTTGGGCGATTTGAATTGACGTTTCGTCGTCTTCGTGGGGTTCCTGAGGCGGTTCGGGATGGATGGAAGTGGTGTCATGAGATTTTTCGGGCGAGGTGCGTGGGACATGAATTGCGGGTCTGTGATTGGTGCGGAGTAGCTTCGGGTGAGAGGAGGTGAGGATGGTCGGCGATTGAAGCTTGACTTGAAGGAATTGGGGAGATTTTGAGGTTCATGACTACCGGGAATGTATTTACTACGATGGTGTGTTGGTGTTGATGTTTGCTTTGATGCGGGATGGCTTCATTTGCAGCACTATCGAGGATGGATGGGAATATTAAGCAGGGGTTGGATTTCTGCAGACACACAGACACACGATGAGCAGAGTTGATGGGATAGATGAAATATATGATATGCAAGGAGGGCATTGCGCAGGAGAGCTGATGGTGTTGGCTAGCTGGTGCTGTACGGAGATTGGCCGTGCCTCGATACTGCAATGCAACGCCATCCGGTGAAAGATCGATTGGCAGTAATCACCACTGGGACAGCGTCAATACGAGATTTACTTCCATTATCAATGAATCTACAGATCAACAACAAATCTTCATCGCCCAACTGCTGCTCACTCAAACGTGATGGTTAGTTCATTCATTCGGCGTCACTGGGTGTACTCTTCTTCATGCCGTCACGTAAAGCGACGCACACAATGAAAAGATGTGATAAATCAAAAATTACACCCCCCATGGCCCCGAAGGACAATGGAGCGTGGAGCGACTCCGCGATGTGCAATGCAGGCCCTCCACACTGATTCCCCCCATTCTTGAGCGGGGTTAATCGGAATAAGGTAAGTATGAAGAAGAAAGAGAAAAACAAGCAAATGGCGGGAGGGAGACCAAGACTTTATAGGCGAGGGAGCTTGGGGTTGGCGCCTGAGGGTTTAGGCAGAAGGGCTGCTGCCTGGGGCTGGGGAGCAGGTGCATGGGCCAGGTAATTTCCAGAGTGGGTTCAAGGTCTTGAGGAAGCTTCAGGCTGTGAATGCAAACCTTCAAGGCAAGAATTATGCTGCATAAACTGTACATGCGTCATCAATCAACTGTGATTCAGTTCGGTTACAGTTACAATCTGGATTTGTGGTCTCTTGATTGTCAACGTGAGGGTGCAGGTCCATTTGATGTGGACGACCTACGCCCTCATCCTCCGCGATTAACTGTCTTTGAGCTGCATCAATAACCTTGAACTCGAACCTGTAGATGTCCTTGGTACTGCATTGGTGCCTGGCTTATCGACATAACCTGTGCATTATTGGGATGACGGCATGCGATCTGTGTCATCAATCACATCTCCAGCGAACCTTGTTGCTCCATCTTCCAGGCAAGCGAGATCAACAGGAGTCTCTCCTTCCGCATGCATGCTTTTGCAACTCGATTGACGGACAGACTTGGATGGATGCCATCACATGCCACAGGCCAAACATGCACAGATGAAGCGTTCTTGACAAAGACAACATTTTGGTTGTACTGGAGAGCAAGTTTGTCAGTTACGGCTTCGCCAATAACCTCTTGGGGTTAGGACTGCGTTCGTTCTGTCCACGAGCCATTACAAAGCTACGCGCCATTCGCCATTGTAGGTTTGTTCTCGCGCAGAAAGTCTCGAAAGCCCAGCATCTGTCAATTTGTTGACGACTTTTGGGCAATGGTACATGATACTGCCTCCCTCTCGCTATGAACATTGAGAGGGAAATGTGACTGCACGTTTGTTGTCATGAGTGGTCACAGTGATGGCTCCGTCAGTGATGGCAACAGCACACGGTGTCGGCAGCCGTGAAAGTAGGCAAACATTCCCTTCCTTCCCCAAGCATGCCCAAAGCTGACGTCTTATCTGCCCGTGGTTTGTTTGACAAGGGAGCATGTAAGTCATTGGAGTGAGAGATTCCGTGAGGATACACTTTCCAATCAGCTGCTGTATCGTCAAGGACAAAAACGTAGCTCAGTCTTGGTTTGATCAAGTGAGGATCGTGAAATACTTCTTTATCTTCATCGCACTCTCATCATCGAAGTCTCCTTCTTACCTACCTATTCATCATGGCCCCAATCCCTTCGGGAACCAGTACAGGCACGGCCGGCCGTGTCAATAAGGTCACGTGATATATATCACGGCCGGCCGTGTAAACAAGATCCATTATATCAGCCCACGGCGCAGTATTATCAATAGCCAATCAGAAGGCTAGTTTATAGTCTAGCCACCCAAGCCACACTTAGCCACAGCAACCTAACCACTATGCCACGCGAGGGCGAGATAAGCTGCCTCTGTAAGCTACCTCTGTAAGCCAATTGCTAGCTGCTATCGCAGGCTGTTGCAAGCCGTTGTTACAGGCTGTTGCAAGCTGCCTTTGGGAGCCATTGCAAGCTGCCTTTGAAGACCGCTGTAAGCTACTGTTGAAGACCGCTGTAAGCTGCACAGTGGGCTGACATAACGGATCTTGTTTACACGGCCGGCCGTGATATATATCACGTGACCTTATTGACACGGCCGGCCGTGCCTGTACTGGTTCCCAATCCCTTCACACGGAAAAGTCAGGCAGGAGTTTGACCGGAGCCGCTGCAACAATATTCCGCTCATGAGTGAAATCATGAATTTATGGTCGTGCCCCAGCGCACAACACGTGACCCACACGATCCATTTCCACCTCTCGCCTAACCCCACCACTGCGTAGCACGTGTAGGGCACGAAAACCCTTCTTGGAATTTGACAAGCCTCAACTCTCCGAATTTCCCACGCCTCACGACCCGACCGACCATCGACAATCGGAGCACGTTTGATCGCAAGCAGGCACAATGGTATGGACTGGCGCACCCAATGCGATGCTCATCATCGCCGTCAAAGGCATTCACTGACTTGATTTCCCACAGGCGATCAAGCACAACCAGAAGCTTATCAACAACCGTGAGCACCACCGACGATGAAAACCGACGAGATCAAGGACTCCAGCGACTGACCCCTCATACAGATTTCCGCAAGGATTGGCAGCGCCGGGTTCGAACCCACTTCGACCAGGTATGGCGATAACCCGACGAGAGAAGACGATGCCGTCTCGAAAAATTTCCATCATGAGCTTGAAATATTGACTTGTGTGGTATAGCCCGGCAAGAAGTCGCGGAGACGCACTGCCCGCCAGGCCAAGGCTGCTGCCCTTGCTCCCCGACCCGTCGACAAGCTCCGACCCGTTGTGCGATGCCCTACCATCAAGTACAACCGCCGTGTCCGTGCCGGCCGCGGTTTCACCCTGGCTGAGCTCAAGGTATGATTCTGCCACTTTCTGAGTCGATGCGAAATTCCACAAAAAATCGCCGACGAGGAGGGTATGCGAAAATTTGGCGCACAATCTAACACCCTCACAGGAGGCTGGTATCCCCAAGGCCTTTGCTCCCACCATCGGCATCTCCGTCGACTCCCGCCGACAGAACCTCTCTGAGGAGTCCCTGGCCGCCAACGTCGCCCGCCTCAAGGCCTACCAGGAGCGCCTGATCCTCCTCCCCCGCCGGTCCAACGCCCCCAAGAAGGGTGACACCAAGACCGACGTCTCCCAGATCGAGAAGGCTTCCACCATCTCCGCTGTCCTCCCTATTGCCCCCACCGACATCGCCTTCAAGGAGATCAGCAAGAGCGAGATCCCCGCCGCTCTCAAGGAGGGTGCCTACCGAACTCTCCGTGTCGCCCGAAGCAACGCCCGTTACGAGGGTGCCCGACAGAAGCGTGTGCGGGATGCTGCCGAGGCCGAGACGGCCAAGAAATAAACTTGCAAAAAGGGAACTGGTGTTTGAGGGTTTTGCTCTTTGCGTCTCTAAGGGAGGGGCAACGTCGGTTCGAGGCTCTGATGAAAGGCTTGGCCGGGTTTGGAGGGAGGATTCTCTAGGCCCAGCTCAAGAAATTTACTGCATGATCACCGGCTTTGTTCTGTAATCAGTTGGTCAATGGATGCATCGCGTGTGCACAGGTGTCTGCTTTGTCAAAAGTTATCCTTATCGGTTCCACATTGCCCTGCTCCATGTTCATTGGTGACTCTATCTTATTTTGTCTAACACTATCCCTGACTATGGTTACTGACATGATGTTTTACTCTTCTGTCTCGGGTGTGAGTAGCTGTGTGCCCTGTCGAACCAAGTCCTGCAACAAGCCCTGCTGCGTTGACTCAATGTCTTGCCCATTCTTAATAACTTCGGTGCACAGCACCAAGCAATTCTCTCTATCCACCTTGGTCATATTAGCCTTTTGCTTAGGGTCGACTTGCTGAGGTTGAAGGCCTAGTCCTTCAGGGACAACCAGAGGAGCATCAGACTCGGCCTCTTCAATAGCCTTCTGCTCGTTGTCTGTGGCCGCTTTGCCTGTGACTGCATAGCTGAGAGCATCTGTCGCTCCAGGAACAGAGAGGACGCTGCTAACAACCTTGGCGCCCTCCTTGGTTCTGGAGATGAGGGCAAAGACGAACCATGCCTCAGATCTGAGGATGGGCCATTTCTCCTGAGTGATGAGGAAAGCAAGCGCCTTGGACAAGTCATGCTTGGCGTAAAACAGACTCCTTGCCTGGGTTTCACTGGTGTCGGCGGAGCCCTCCTCTGTCTTCCATGCGGGAAGTGCCTCGAGAGCAGGTGTCGTATGGAGCACGCGGCAAATAGCAGCGACGCTACGGGCAGCTTCAAGTTTCGTTGGCTCGGTATCACTTCGGTCAAACACCAAGAGTATATCATGAAGACTCGTGTGCTGATTCGACGACTCTCCAGCTCGAGGCTCACAAATTCGGCGGACGTTAGGGGCGCAGTTGACGAGAAGCATGCGAACCAGCGAGATGGCAGAAAACTGAACCTGAGGAAGAGTGTCGATGGTCAGTATCCGTGGGACACTTGCCGGCTCCAGGGCATCGCCGAGCAGGGGTTTGTTCTGGGCCGGGATGGCGAGATTCTTGAGAAATGAGAGCGCCGAGTGGAGGTGCTGAGCGTCCTTGACGGAAGCATCAGAGAGAACATCGATGAGGGGACGATGAGCCTGGTGGGTCTGAACAAGAGCCAAAGATGTATCATCGGAACGAGAGAGGTTTCCCAAAGCAAGACAACCTGCCGACTGGAGACTTGGGTTTGTCCCCTTGAGCCAGCTGAGGAGCTTCTGAGGGACAGAGCTGTCGAGGGGATAGTATTGAGGGAAGGCATCGGCAGCTGTCAGATCAGCCAGCGTTGTAAGCAACGAAACACACAACTGGCTCAGCTCCTTGTCTAGTCCCTGCTCTTCTACCTGCCCGTCGAACTGGGTGAGCGCCAACTCAAAAGCAGTCATGAATGTGTTCATCCGCTGTTCCTTGAGGAGGTGTTCCTGGAAGGTCTCGTTGGCAAGGTAGCTCGCTGCGGTAGAGACAAGACCCATAAAGTCCTCCAAGTCATCGTTGAAGGGGGGGCTGGCAGAGAGCTTGAGGAGGACTTCAACTGTGTCGGGGTCTGCGATAGCAGGCTCGCCGTCTTGGGTTACCAGGAGGGCGAGGATCTTGCAGAAGTAGGTTATGATGGCGCTAAACTTGGAGATACTGGGGGATTTGAGGAGGGAAATAAGGTGGCTGCTGAGTCGTGATTGCGAGGCTAGAAGCTGAGCGGGTTCTAGGAATGTGAGCATTGTATCCAAAGCGTTGAGGAGGCCGCTTACCATAGTCAACAAGGACGTTGTAGAGAACGGGAATCAGGTACGGGACTAGGTTCTCGTCTTGTAGGTGGTTGATGATAGAGACGACATACTTTCCCTCGACAACTCGGGCACGGTTCTCGTCGGTGTCCGCACAAGAGTTGCCAATGATGCGCAGAGCATGGACCTTGACACCATGCTTCTGTTGTTCGCTAGAGGCGATGATGTCGAGGAAGAATTCGAGTATCCCAGACTCGCCATATGGGATTCTCCAGGCCACTAATCATGTTAGTGGACAATCTTCTTCGTCTAAGCGTTGGCGTACCATCTCGGCTTCCATCACCCAGAGCCTTGGCAACGGCCTCAAGATCTGGCTCTGGCTGCTTGGATGCTTGCTGGCATGTTTCTAGTACACTAGATAACAACTGAATCCTCTTGGGGCGGGCATCCGCAGGCTCCTTAGTCTCGTCGTAAGTATCTGGGGACAGTCCGCTGCCCTCCCGTTGCAGGAGAGCGATGACTTCCTCGGGGCTCATGGCCATGATGATGAATGAGCAATGGAGAGCAGACCCTAGGCTTTAAAATTAGTCCTGTCTTCTTGGTTTGCAATCGAAGGGTTGTTATACTTGGGAGAAGGCAGCTTTACCGTGCTAGGGCCGAGGTGAAAGTCCTAGACCGTCTTTCAAGGAAGGTCAAGGAAGAGGCAAGGCAATTGTGCAAAAGTCCTTAACCACAGTTTCTACCCTGGAAGTCTTTGTTCTGAATTTAATTGAATGAAAAAGAGACACTTGCGTCTTCTGATGCTCGTATCCGTGAACCCAACAATCTTCATCAGCCAACATCCCCTCCACCTCTGACAACCGCTAAGCGGAGATCTCGGTGAAGCTCGGTGAATCGCGGTGAACAATTCTCATGCCTCCCGCACGGCTGAACATCGGCTGAATCGGAGGCGCCGGTCGGTCGGAGGGTGCAAAATTCCGACCTCGGAATGACCCGTCAATTCTCTTTTACTCCCGGGGAAAAAGTCGAAGACCGGGTCTCCAAGTAAGAGAAGCAGCCGCCCCATCTCATCCCCCACGATCCCTCTTCTTCCCCGTCGCAAACGAGGGTACAATTCTCTACGTCGCTTTCTAGCGATTTCTCGAAATTGACCGAGTTCTAATCTCTTTGATTAATCCTCACAATGGTATGCGCACCTTGAGCCGAAAGCCGATACTTGAACCTCGCCCCTCTACCTCTTCCCGAATTGCCGCTCTCTGGCCCGGTGGTCTCTACACGAATTTACTAACACTTTTCCCTCAGGCGCACAAGTTCGTCATCACAGCCTTCCTCACAGGCTCCCGAATCCTCGGCCGCTCCTTCGTGGCCGCCTACAAGCAGGCCTCTGCCGCATCAGCCTACCAGCGTGCCCAGGTCAAGGCGGGCAACAGCACTGGCGGCGCCTCGCTCTCGTCGGGCATGACCCTCGATGAGGCCTGCAAGATCCTCAACGTCAAGCCCCCCGCCGGCGGCCAGGCCAATATCGAGGAGGTGCTCGAGCGTTACAAGCGACTGTTTGACGCCAACGATCCCCAGAAGGGTGGTAGCTTCTACCTCCAGAGCAAGATTGTGCGGGCAAAAGAGCGCTTTGAGCGTGAAGTTGGTCCCGTAAGAGAGAAGATGGAGCAAGAGGCCGAAGTCAAAGAGGGCTGGAAGCCCAAGGTTTACAAGGACCGGTAAACGAAAGCATGAGGGAGAAGTCTCTGACCAGTCATGATACTGGTTGAGAGGCAACACTGTATGATTTGGCCAGGGGAGCACGACACCACCACACAAGCGTCTCAGGCCTTCACCACGAGGAGTTCTTGGCGAGAGGGAGGGTTTTCGGAGCTCAATATTGTGGGAGAGGGGACGGGGTTTTTCTCCGTGTATACATGTACATCTTCACTCGACTGCGGCATGGCACGGCGTTTTTTTGGGATATCATGGCCGCTGGGGGTTTGGTTCTTAGACGAAGAAAAAAAAAGACAGACGACCTATGTTATGTGATAATACAATTGTACGATATCGATTGAGGGTAGAAGGAGATTGTTCGGCGTTGGTGTTCCTGAGCATGATACCCAGCCGTTTGTTGTCCCTGAAAACTCAACAACTCTGATTCACTAAAGGTACTTGTGACTTGTGTTTTACAGCCAACGGAGAGTCATGAAAGTCAAACGACTTGTTCAGCGTACCTCTACTAGTGAATATGCGTGCTTCTAAAGCCTCATGGAGGGTCAAACGCAGGGTAGCTGAACTCAAACACTCGCAGAAGAAGGGTTCACAGGGTAAAGAATGACGCCCCCATCTACGAGAGTAAGAAAACAATAGAATTGCAAACTAAAGTCAAAAATGGATAGGTATTCTCTCGTGATTTTTGGTAAGGGAAATGGAAGGTATGATTTCAAATTGCGCAACAAAAGTTCACCACGGCATTAAACAATGTGAAAAGACAAACAACGTCAATGACTGAAATCTGCATAACTCCTAGCACCTCCCCGAGACTCTCCTCGTTCACTCTGCTGACTGTAAACACTGGAAGTATACCCATCAACTATCCCATCGATCGTGTCCCTGCCTTCTGCCGCCTCGCTGGGTGACAGCTCCGAGACAGTCCGGTCGGAGCGCCGAGACGGGGACCCACTTCTCCGAACACCTCCGGCCAACAGATCTCTGCTATCCACGACCTGCCGCTGCATCACTGGCAGATAAATTTGCGAACCCCGTTCCGTAGGATCAGGGTCCGGTCCACCGACTAGGCGGATTGTTGGCCGACGGGAGGCTGCTTGGTGTTTGCGACGGCGGTACAGCAGGAAGAGGAGGATGACCACTATGACAACCACCAGAGAGGCTATGGTACCTGTGACGATGCCGATTATCTGGCCTGCGGAGAGACCAGGAGCAGTCCCAGGAACAGCTGTCGTAGTCTCTGGGGTTGGCGACTCCTCCGCGGTTGTAGTGGCCCGCGGAATTGTCGTGAACGAGTGGCTTGAACCAGTCGACGAACTAGATACCGATGGTAATTCCAGCGTCGGTATCTCGAACGTCGTCTTGGCATTTGTCTCGTTGGCGGTTTCGGTCTCCGACAGTGTCGTCGAATCCTCATCCACCAACGTTACCGTAGAAAAGCCCGTCTCGTCCTCATGGGTCACCGTCTCCGAAGACCAAGCATCCTCCAACGAAGTCTGCGGAGCCAGACTGATCGTTGAAATGATGCCAAAGAAGTTGCCAGTCGTAGACTCCTCATCCCCTTCTTGGTCATCGTTCCATACTTTCGTAAAGGGACTCTCAGACCAAGGGGCGTCGGACTCTACGCTGGCAGTCGAACTATGAACATCGCTGTTGCAAAGTATGAATTAGTAAATGTAGAGCTATCGTGTGTCTTTGAGTAAACTTACATGGGGGAACCTTCAGGAAACGGAAACAGAACAATCTCAGTGGCTGTGGAGGTATCTCTAGACAAGCAGCCAACTGACAGTACTTGCCAAAGGAGAAAGTAAAGAAACCACATATTAGAGTGCCAATATGAGAGCATGGTAGAGTAAGTAACCTTAGACAAGTGAGTAGTAAAGAAGAAGTGTTGTCTTGAATAAAGTATGGAAAGTATGGTTTGACGAGATTCCAAGAGTCGAGAGATTCCCAGGGACAAAGGCTCAATATATAAACACGTCAAGCCCGACTGATTCATTGCAAAACAAGTTAACTATCAAGAGTAGATACACGTTTGCCATGAATGATTTGCGAACCATGGTCGACACATGGTCGTTGGCAGACATTTATCGACGGTTTGCAAGTGTGGTGTAACACCTCGATGGTTTACCAAAAGACCAGACGATGGGTGTCTATTTTTTATTCTCCTTGTCTGGGTAAAACGCATGTGCTATGTCTTCCTCCTGACTAGACCCTTCCAGTAGTCAAAGCTATTCTCGTCGCTTTGCAGGGTCCAGATTTTGCCCGTTGCCCTCCCACTTGCATCCGTTTCCTCAGCCCTCAACATACCCCAGTCACGTGTTATGCCTAAAATGCGAGCCTTTACACCACCTTCAGCTTCGAGAGTAACGGCTTGGCCTGTGTGTAGCCAGTGACGGTAGTAACGAGCCTCGAGGTCGCGTGAGAAACCTTCACGGAGGAACTGGGCGTAGACGGCTTCAAGGCGAGTTAGTACGCGAGCGAGAAGTGTCTCGAGGTGTAGCTCAGGGGCGCCAGGCGGGACGAGATCGGATATAGAGATTGTCGGACGAGGGTTTGTGGTGTTGAGACCGATGCCAAGGATTATTTGGTAGGCGCCGTCAAAGTAGAGGCACTGTGACAGGATACCACCGACTTTGACGTAGTGTGGCTTGTCTGCCGACTTTGTGGGATCGAGAGCATCTACCCGTGTTAGTATCGATATTATAACAGATCTAGTTTGACTTACAAAGATCGTTGGGCCACTTGAGCTTGATGGGAATGTTCTCATAACCACGATCGTACGACTGGACAGCTTCGACCATGGCCACGGCGGCAATGTATTGGATAAACACCACAGGGCGAGATACAGCGAGGTGAGCGGGATGATTGATTACGACGGAGTAGATGAGCATCCCTGGGGGTGCAATCCAGACATTGTTTCCACGACCTCGGCCGGCAACCTGAGTAGTGGCTGAAACTGTGAAGCCAGTTGGGAGTTTGGACATGAGCTTGGGGTTTCTGGCACGATTAGCATTAAGCAGACAGGGGGTCAGGGGATAAAGGCTTACTTCTCGAGAATGGTGTTTGTGCTCGTCAAGACCTCGCCATACATGAGCAAGTTACCCCAGTCTTGCGCCGTGGGCTCAATCTGTCTGTAACGCTTCAACCCCGAAAAGTACAGGCCATGGTTAAATTGAGGCGTGAGCTTCGGATGCGGGTGACCCTTTTCGTGGGGAAAGATCTTTTTGATGACCTTTGTGTAGTCGATTATGCCATTTTCAGACATGCTGGAGCCATTGGTCTCTGCTAGGGACTGCTGCAGACCCTCCACACTCCAGATTGTATCCTCGTTTTGAATGTGGAATGTGTCCGTCTCTGCTCGGATCCATTCTTCTCCTTCCTCTTTGTCGATGATGTCGGCCCAGTCGGCTAGCAGCTCCGATACTCCAATTTCGTCGATGGAGGAGATGTGGAGGTGTGAAAGAGATGGGATGCCAGAGTCATGCTGGCTGACCTCGAGACCCAACTTGGTCAGGCATGCCTTGAGGAATTCGACTCGAGGCTTGTCAGCGTCAGCTAGCCTGGTGATCAGCTCTTCATAGCCTGGGATGGTCGGATGAGGGTGCAAGTTGATGGCAGCGAATCTAGATAGTGTCAGTGAATGTAACCCTCAGCAGCTGGCACGGTTCTTACTCAGGGTGAGGGCCAGTAAGCAATGCTTTTCCACTGCCAACAGTGCAGAGAACAACAGCCGCCTTGCCATCTCCGCCATCAACATCTGTCTCCTCTTCATAAGAAGCCAGAACCTCGACCTTTCTCTCCTTGATAGAAGCAGCATCAACAAAAATGCCACCACCATTATAGTACGAGACAATCTCAGATTCGACTTCCTGTTCAAAGGCTTCCTTGAATACCTTGAGCTGCACAACCCTAGCTCCGCTTTCACTTCGATACTCGAAACCTTTGAAGGCTCCTCCGCGACAAGTCCCAGGGAAGAAGCCAAGCTCCCTGCTGCCGATGACCTCGAGAGGTTTGTTTCCAACTTCAAATTCGCATCTCCGGCTTCCGTAGTAGCCTCCGGCGCAGAAACCTAGGTATGCGCCGCCCTTCCGGACAAAGTCGCTGATGCGGCGATTTCCCTCGCCGTTCAGGGCCTGGCAGTAGCCCAAGTCACCACCACCCGGAAATACGAGCATAGCGCATGTTGACGCCCATGGTTCCTTGAGTAGAATAGTCTCAGTGATGGGAATAACGGCATAATTGGGTCCGAGAAGACGACGAAGAGTCCATATGCAATGCTTGACAGACTCAACAGTTGTGCCGAGGCCTTTTTGCAATTGAATCAGCACGAGGGAAATGGAGTGAGATGAGCAAGACAATTCGAACCTGTATAGACGAGCACGTTGAGCTTGGCCGGGGCCATTGTTTGGTCTGTGTTGTTCCGTTTCCGGGGTGTGTTGACGTTTCTCTTGATGAGCTCGTCTCTTTTTCTTTGTCACTTGACTTTTTTGTTGGATCTCTCGCCTCGGTCAATTTTCCGCCTCGAACCACCTGACTTGTTCTTGACAACAACACCGACAACAAGAAGAAAAGATACACCTAATCTTTTGATCAAAGAAAGATGACCAAGGAAGAGAGCCAAGCGCAGCAAAAGGCGGAGGAGGAAGACGACGATGAACCCGATGAGTGGTGAGTTTGCCCACTGTCTTCACCCGAGAGTATCTCCTGCTAAAGCCGAGGACCTTTTTTTGCCGCTGATGCAGGGACAAGCGGATCTTTAGCACCGGATGCGCAGGTGAGTTTTTGCAAAAGAAAAGAAATTCACGCAGAGACTTAAGATTCACTCTCTGGGGTGTGCGGTTGTCTGGTCTCGTGTTGGGGTTTCTTGTTGGGGGTCAAGGGAGATTTTGGTGGTTGCTGACTCGGATACATAGAGGAAAACACCAAGATGACGGATTGCTACTTTGAAAAGAAGGATTGGCGAGCGTGCGCTTCAGAGGTGAGTTATATGTCACATCTACTACCTCCCTATCATTTTAGAGACTCTTTTCTAGTTTCATGAAGAATACTGATGGCATCTAGATGGAGGAGTTCAAACGGTGCTGGAAAGCTCACGACAACGACAAGCGCACCGATATGAAGGATGCTTAAGAGACAAATACTGGACTGTAAGATAAGAGCTTCCGATTATTCCGGAAGTGTATCAAAAGTGTATCATTAGAGCTTCTCAACCCTATATCTTCACTCTACCTCTTCAAGAATGAAGCCATCATGACAAGCCCACGCACTGTCTCCACACTGTGCCCGGACTTTCTATTCACCCGACGGCCCTGCCATTGACCAAAATTATCATCAGCGCCCTCAAGCAACTTTTTTAGGTGTATATCCTCGCCTCACCCACCCCCGCCATCACATTTACAATGTTTGTCCCTCGCCGGGCTCTCTTTGCGGCCCAGAGGCTGCCCTTTGCCCGGGCTCGCCCAATTGTACCTCTGATGCGCTATTCCACCGAGGCGACCAAGATTGCCGCACCCTCTGCCACCGCCGTCCCCTCCACGACGGAGAGCAGCGACAATTCGAGTGCAAAGGCTGATGTTACCCTTCAGAAGCCCGATGAGGACGTCACACAGGTGAAACAAGAGGATATCGCAAAGCCCGCTGCAAAGTCTGCTGCGAAGCCTGCCTCCAAGCCAGTCCCGGCACCTACATACGCCAAAGCGAAGCCCGTCTCCAAAGCAAAGCCTTCTTCCTCCAAGATCGCCGCCCCCGCCAAGGCCGGAAGCACTACGAGCGGTCCGAGCAACCCATACCAGCCTGCACCCGTGGCCGAAAAGTCATTGAGCGAGTCGACACCACCGAAGCAGGAACCTCTGGGCTCACCTCGTGTTTGGGATGGCAGGCACGTGGATGCGCCCCATGAGGTTGACTGGGAGAAGAGCTGGTTCGGAATTGGGTCCAAGCCCGTCACTTCGGAACAAAACAGGGTCCTCGCGCGGGCAATCAACCCGGACGACGTCGAGGTTAAGCCTGACGGTATCGTCTATCTGCCAGAAGTCAAGTACAGACGGCGGTTGAACGAGGCGTTTGGACCTATGGGATGGGGTATGGTGAACCGTGGAGATGTGGTTGTGGGAACTAATATCGTGACGCGCGAGTACGCACTCATCGTCAACGGCCGGTAAGTCTCCCTCAATGCGTTATTCATAACAGCAAAACCTAACACACGGCCAGCTTCGTCTCTCAAGCACAGGGTGTCAACAACTACTTCTCCGCCGAAGGTCTCCCCGCCGCCATTGAGGGTTGCAAGTCCAACGCCCTGATGCGATGCTGCAAGGATCTCGGAATCGCCTCTGAGCTCTGGGACCCCGTCTTCCTGCGCTGGTTCCGAAAGCACTACATGGAGGAGCGCTGGGTCGAGCACGTCACCACCAAGAAGAAGAGGACCTTTTGGTACAAGAAGGGACTCGCCGAGCCAGTGTTCCCCTACAAACTGGTTTAAAGAAATGACACGTTCATGACTAATTGGGTAGGGGAGGTGTATAACTCCCTGTGTACTTTTCATGTGTATAGAACGAGGATTGGTTCAGGGTAAAAAAACGTTGGACGACTGTAAGATATATCAATGATGCACGGTATGGATGAAACCAAAACATGTGGATTTGGCGAATGGAGCAAACTGTCGCATCAGGGGGCATGACTGAGGAGAGGGGATGTACTACCTCCCGTCTATAGATGTGCATATCGATTCTGCTCAACCTAATTCCTGGATACGATTATCAATGTCTCTCTAATAATCCCAATCCCCATATCATGAAACACCTTCATGTCTACCCGCAAGACCAAAACTCCTGCAATGCCTGTCTCCGAGAACGGCGTCTCTACCTTTCCATTCCGGAGGACCTCCCTCCCGCCCCGGGAGAAGCGTCACCACCCCATCCCCACGGCACCCATGTGCCAGATGTGTTTCTAGTACCGGCTCCCATGTTTCGTCGGCGCACTGTGCCGTCATCTTCAGTGCCGCTCTCGGCGTCGATCCTCTCAAAGTCGGTCTCGCTACGGCTCTTGCTCATGCCGCTCCATCCGCTGAGACCGCTGGGAGGTCGCTGGGTCGGCTCGTCGTCTTCAGTTCCATCGTAGGACATGGATGGTGCGCGGCGGTGGGCTGCGCGTGTTTGCGCCCGCTGGGTCTCGCTGCGCAGGTCCTGAGCCTCACGGTCGAGCGCTGTTAGGAGAATGTTGAGCCGGTCGCGCTGAGCAGAGATAAAGGTCATCCTCTCATTGGAATCTCGGAGGTGAGGTGGGATCAGGGTGCTCGTGTTGGTAACGTTGCCGCCAGCAGTCCTCGTACCAGCCGCACTTGCACCCGCGCTGGTAGCAGCTGCGACAGCACTGGAAAGCAGACTATAAAAGTCGGTGCCGGTGCTGTTGTTGGCATCGCCAGTCCATCTCGCTGCGGGGACGCTAAACCGCGAGAGCAGCGACTGTGTATAGCTCTGCGCGGGCTCTGGAGGAGGCGAGGCCTGTTCTGAGGGAGGGAGGCCGAGGACCTTTGTCTTGAACTGCTCTATGGCGAGCTTCAGGTAGGCGATACCGGCAGCGGTCAGGCGCTCGTGGGCGCTCGCGATAAAGTCGTCAATCTGGGTCTCGTTCTCCTCGAGCCACGGGTGGATCTTTTCCTCGTATATGCGCCGGGCGCCCTGGGTCTGGGGGAGGATGAGGTAGAGGAGGAAGAGGAGGCGGAAGTAACCGTAGAGGGGGATCCTTTTGACGGAAAGTTAGCTAGAGCTAGCTAAAGTCAAACTTGGCGCAAACTCACCATGACACAATGAACCAGACCCAAGATTCAACGAGGAGACAACAGCTGAGGACGACCCAGTACATGAGCCATGGTGTCAGCTCTGCGGGATCATGGGTCTTGAGGGCCTTGTAAGAGGCAAAGATGGGGAAGAGAAACGAGGCGACAGAGCTGGAGAGGAATAGTTAGCTATCGGAGGTGGTTCATGGCGGCTCATGACGATGGTTTGGTGGGACAAGAAGCTTACGACAAGATCATAGGGAAGAGGTCAAACATGATTGCGACAAAAAAGGTCGAGGAGCACCTTTGCGTCCTCGGTTCTCTTATGTATTGGTAGAATGTAAACAATAAGGAACCGATGGGACGTGTTTATCGGCCGCAGCGAGGAAGTGGAGAGAGAGGAAAGAGGGAAAAAGAAATGCAATGTTGCGAGGGCCGATGCTGATGGTCAAAAGATCTGAGGATGCTCCTATTCCGGCCTAGACCCAAGATCTTGCTGATGCACACCGAAGCATCCGCCCGGGCGGGGGCGGGGTCAGAACGCGTGACGGCCGCTAAATTAAAGGGACTGACCCACTGAGAGACAGCGCCGCTAATCGCCGGGAGCGGACAAAGGCACGAGAATGATCAGCTGAATAGAAACAATCAAGGTTGTCTATCAAGTCATGAGACTAGAGGGAAATACTGGGTTGCTTTTTTATGGCCGTTCATATGCAAGAGAACACGGTCTTCTTTTCCTCTCAACCATTCGCTTCGTCATTTTTCGACTCTTTGGGCTTACTTTTATGGCTGCCTTTTCAGCTATCTGCGGCCCATTACGCGGCTCACAAAAGGCATCTATCAACTTTACATCCTACCCAGGCATCACTTTATTCAGAGCAGGGTTCGTTTACTCCCAGAGGCCACATTGCATTCTGCATATGCGGGCGCGGACCGGCTGAAAAAGACGCGTTTCTACGACAACATATGCGACCTTTGATCGAGCAAGTGTAAGCGATGGTCTCTAGGATCGGCCTTGTAGATTGGATGGTGGTAATTTGCTTTTGGTGTGGGTTGCTAGGTGAGGGGATACAGACCTTTGAATACATTGACTGGCAACAGGAAATAAACATTGAAAAATGATTGGTAAATATGATGAGATTAATCTATCTTGTCTATTTTTGCGCAATTATTACTCTCTTGGTTTTCTGATATTACTCAAATAGTTCCTCCACTCGTCTGCATCACATATGCAGTTCGCTCCTAAACAACAGAGCATGATACCCGTGCAAGCACCTCCCTCAACGAATCAGTGCCATCTTGATGTTTCGTTGCTGTTCTCCAGGCAATGTAGCCATCAGGCCGCACGAGTACAGCTCCAGTATCGTCCACACCAAACGCCTCGTTGAATTCTCCCTGGTTCGTCTCATCGACCTTCACAAAGCTGCACTCGAGACCCGTTGCAGCAGTCCTCCATGCTTCATCCTTGGAGGCGAGGACCCAACCTTGACCAAACAGATCCAGACTCGAGATTGCTTCTCCTCCTCTTTGCAGAAAGATGTGTGGTGCTCGTGTTCCAGGCTGTCCTTGCCACTCGTCGGGTCTTTTTGCGGGTGGCAAGTTCTCGTCTGCTCCACTGATGGATTTGGATTGATAGATTTGTCCGAATTCCATGGCAACGTCATCTAGGATTTGCACGTCCTCTGGCTTCCACTCCCGATCGACTAGGAACCGCTGGTAGTCGTCCCGTGCAAAGATCTGATCGTGACGTACCAGGGCTACAGGACGACGTTCTGCATCATACGTGTCCAGAATCTCTGGGCTAGAGTGTCCTTTAAGAACGGCGGCAAGCTTCCAGGCGAGATTGTGGGCATCCGAGATACCAGTGTTGGCACCGTAGCCTCCTCTGTTAGGCGGGAGGGCATGCGCGGCGTCGCCAGCGAGAAAGATGCGGCCAGAGGAGAACTTTTCGGCAACAAGACCGCAGAGATCCCACTCGCCTGTTGTGATGAGCTCAATATCGCTGTCGGGAATCTCCTTTCCGATGGCCTTGCGGATAGAGTCCTTCTGTGTAGCCTCGTCCATGGTGTTGTCTGGAGATCCTTCTGTTGGGTTCCACATAAGAGCCCATCGCCTTTCACCATAATTTGTCATGAAGCCCTTAAAACCATCCTCTCGACCCTCAATCTGAAACTGAGAGTAGCCACGATCAAGATAATGGTCAATAGGAGCACAACGGAAGAGAATACTGCGAAGAGTCTGCAAGAGGCCAACTCCATCGCGTTTAATCCCGAGTTGTTCGCGGATAGGACTTCGTGCACCGTCGCAGGCCACGAGATACTTTGCCTCGATTTGCTTTTCTGTGCCGTCGCTGCTGACTGCGGTTACAGCCACACCGTGGTCATTCTGAGACCAGCTGGTGACCTTCCAGCCCAGCCTCAAATCAGCGCCACTCTCGATAGCGCATTCTCGCAGCACAGGTTCGATCTTGTCCTGAGCACTCGCAATTCCAGAAACGGGAGAGTAATCTTCTTGGCTCTTGGGTTTTGGTCCGTCCTTAGGACCTGTGGGCTTGGGCGTCCAGTGCTTCTCATCCTGCCACTTGCCCGTCAAGCTCTCGACAGCGATACGACGAGGAGGACCGCCCTTCCACTGTGCTTTTGGAAGACGAGACTCTACGTCGAATGAGCGTAGTATCTCGATGGTACGGGCAGTGTAGCCGATGGCTCGCGGGTGAGCGCTGCTGCCCTTGTGGCGTTCGAGGAGGATGACGGGGACTTGTTGCTTGGAGAGGAAGAGGGCGGTTGAGAGGCCGACTAGACTGCCGCCGACGACTATGACTGAAGTCTTGTCTGTGTTGCTCATGTTGATTCTTTGAAGGATTGTTTGTGTGATTAGGGGTTTGAGATTGTGTAAGTGGGTAGGTATTGGTGGTGATGACTTGTCTGATAGAATGATAGAAATCAGGAGATGAGGCCATCTTTATACTTGAACATCCAAAGAGAACGAAATCTTCCAAATGCCCGAATTCCCCATTTACAATCGCGGTCTCGCCCATCCCAAACATGTTTCTACCGACCGATGCGAATCTATACCCCGAACTCGGTCCCGGCAGATCAGCCAGAAAAGTGGGGCCGTCGCACTCTTCGGGACCGAAGGTCAGGAATTCGTCCGGGTTGGCTCAGCCCTATGGCCGGGTCTTACGGAGGTCCGAAGCCGGGTCAGCGCGGGTATATATGGGGTTTTCCTGCAGTTGGCCGACGTTTGAGAACCCCGAGTAGGCGTGTGGACTTTTCTGACCCTCTTCGTTTCACATCTCATGATTGCCGAGACTTGTTACATCCTTGCCCACACAGAAGAGAATACTACCCTCCAAAACCCAGCTAGCCGGAAGAGTGTGCCACAATCAGCCATCAGCTGTTTACCCTTGAGGATATTGATCCTCAGTGTTTGACGTGAATTATCCGTTTCATCTGACACTATCGAGTCTAATACACGGTCATGCTGTAAACCCCTGAATGCCTCAACTCGTCCATGATTTGACATCTACCCTACAACAACGGTGAAATTCCGTCCCAAATGTGACACTTGCATCTATTTATCCGTCCATCCACCTTTGTAACTGAATGGACCAATCGCAGAATTTTATTTAATCAAAAGTGGAAAGACATCAATGTTGCAATCGCCGCCTCTCGACTGCATGGTGGTAGATCTTTGACTCGGCCCGATCTAAGCGACCCCAACATCTGGGACTCAATATTTGAGATTTATCTCATCTGTTGATGATTCCCCATCTTTGACGATGTGTTCTACCATCATCGTGTCTTTCGTTTCTTTTTTCTTCTGTAAGCACTTTAAGTTGTCAACTATTAGTTCCTGAACCAAGCCACCTTTACTCGTCATCCCGAACCACCTCTTCACCAACCCCTTACCTCCCAAGCCCTCAGCCTCTCTTGGCAAACAAGCTTAAAACCCATGTAATCAAAAGAATCTTATCAATCAGATCGTATTGACCCTGTCCGTACCGAAAAACATCACTCACAGCCTCAAACCCCCCACGGCCCCCCGCGGACACCGCCCTCGACAAACGGAGGCAGCGGAGCAACTGAACCTCTCCGGCTCCGCCCCGGAGCACCTCTCCGACCCGTCCCCTCGGGCCCACCGAGACGTCATGAACCCTGGCTCTGCCTTTACGGGTTCCGTTTCCGTCCTCTCGTGGTCTGACCCCCCTGGCTAAACGAGCTTTTCGGTTCGCTGCTTCTTTCATGGTGTAGCGTGATTTGACGTGTTTTGCCCCGACGGGCATTGATGGATCCGAGATCTTGGAAATATCTGGCACCTGTTATTGTTTTTTTTCCTGTTGGGTATTTTAGATTTAGATCTTGACTCCTCCCTCCTTCAAGTCTTTGACTTGTCTCCCCAACGGAGCTTTCGATGCATTTCGCTCGATAAACGTCAACTAAGAGATAACACGCTGTACTGCGCAGCTCAGCTTGGATCCAAAACACACGATAAGACCACCCGTGCAGCAAAATCGCTCCTGTAATCAACCTCATCTCCCGTTGCCTAAACCTCCCCAACAAATCGACCACCTCGACTCGACGAAGCAATCATGACGAGCATGTCGCAACTGCCCAACGGGCTCATCACCTTTGGCCCCTTGGCCAACTGCACACTCGATCTCTGTCCTCTCGAGGCCAGTCTCTTGCGATATCGGCCCAGCATCCCCGCCACCGCCGTCTTCATCGCCATCTTTGGACTGTCAATGCTTGTCCACGCCTTTCAGGGTTACAAGTTCAAGACCTGGGGCTTCATGTCGAGCATGATAGCTGGATGCATTCTCGAGATCATTGGTTACGCCGGGCGTCTCATCATCTACAACAACCCCTTCGACTTTAATGGGTTCTTGATGCAGATCAGTATGTGCATCCACCACCATGAGATATTCGGAAGACCCGGCATCTCGCGAGAGAAGAGTTGTTGAAAAAAAGAATGATGTACTGACTTACTCGATAGTTTGCATCACTGTAGCACCCGTTTTCTTTTCCGCCGCCATTTATGTTCTCCTGTCGCAAGTGTAAGTTCGCTCGGCCAAGCCAGGATCCCGTGTCATGCAACCAGCCTCTAACACCGACCGCCAGCATCAACTTCGTTGATCCATCTGTCTCGCGATTCCCAGCAGCTTACTTCTACTGGGTCTTTATCCCCTCTGATATCATCTCACTCGTCCTGCAAGCGGTGGGCGGTGCCTTATCTTCCACTGGTGCAGACAGAGCTGCCGTCAAGGTTGGCGAGCACATCTCCCTTGCCGGCCTCATCTTCCAGGTCGTCACTCTCATCTGCTTCTGCACTCTCTTCGCCGACTACGTCGCTAGGGCTGCTCGCTCGCCCTCCAAGTACCGACTTAACAAGTCCATGAGGACTTTCCTCTTCTTCCTCTTCCTCTCCACCGTCTTCATCCTCATCCGATGCGCCTACCGTATTGCCGAGTTGGGCCAGGGTTATTTCAGTGCCCTCTTCCGAGACGAGGGCCTCTTCATCGGCCTCGAATCTTGGTAAGCGTCACTCCAAATTCCTCAAAGGCTACGTGCTTCTAACACTCGTTTAGCATGATGTGCGTTGCTGTTCTCCTTCTGAACGCTGGCCACCCTGGATACGCCTTTGACCACGGGGAAGCAGCCGTCCATGAGAAGGACCCCCCCTTCGAGTCACTGGCAAACGAGACCAACGAGGATATGTCTATGTCAAGCCTCGACCCTGCCCAAAGGAACCAAAGCTGAAGGAACCTTGATTGTTCGACGACCCCGACCACTCGAGGTCAATGGTGAAAAGTACGACTCCGTACAGACTGTTTCATTTGAAAGATAGCGTTGGAATATTGGTTTCCCAGAATCCCAGACGTCGCTTATCAGCACGTCGTTGGATCCTGTCAAGGCGTTGTGGCGTTCTTTGGCAATGTCCGATACGTAAAAGGGCATATACTCGCACTCGCAAGCATCCGTAGGTAGATTGGTATATAGATCTCATTATTCTCGCCAATACCATGTCCTACCCCACGTCTCCAAGTCTCGAAGAGTCTGTGCCAGGGTCATACACACTACTGCTACGCTTGTGCAGCATCGTGAGATCCAAGGCGTCGGGCGTTCGCTAGTGCATCTTTCACCGTCAAGACTGAGATTGAGGCACTCTCAAGATCTGATGTTGGCTCCCCGTCAGTGAGCTGACCGCCAGTCGGGTGTGAGGACCCTGGACTGCCTCGTTGATTTATTCCGGCCGTCTTATCCCAGGCTTCTGTGGATGTTCCATCTCCCGCCAAGGGCACAATCAGGCCACCTGGACCCTGGCGATGGCGTGGGCTTGGGCGAAATGAACAGTGGCTGCATCCAATCCAATTTTCTCCGCAATGGTGCTGATTCTGGAAGCCAGGGCTTCATTGCCATCAGCTGCTTCTTCAGCGGATGGGGCGAGGTCTCAAATGATGAAGTGCGGCGTTTGCATTCGCCCTGCAGGGACGATTCGTAACCTGGGTTACCGAGAATAAATAAAGGAAAACCAACGGTTGCTGTGAAGATGGCAAAGAGCAAGGGAGCGATAGCACGTATCCTCTGCCACTCGGCCATGAAGATCACACTTGAGTTGCCGTTTTGTGTATGATCGACATACGTATTCTCAAGATAGCTGGCAGTCGATCACGGCTGTACCCGTTGGGATTGTGGGACTGGAGCTGTCAAGGACATGCCGGCTCTGTCCCCAAACTCAGGTCGAGCGCTTGTAAGTTTTTTGTCGTCGATCAATGAGAAGGGTCCCTTTTCCGAGGCTTCACCGCTGGTAACTCGTGCCTATGAAGGGAGAGCCGAGGGAGGCCAATGGCGCCGCTTTCATGACATGACAGAGTCGCATCACGCAACAACGACCCCATATCGCAACGAAAGTCCGAGGTTGCAACTTTGCCGACCCCGCGTCGCGTCGCGTCGTCGAATGCTTGTTTACTTTGAATTGAATGTTTGCTTCGTCATCCATCCCCGCGAAGTACCCGCGAAGTGGACTGTAGTGAGATTAAACGGAGCGGGTGGCTTTCGACAGCCAAAGTCAAACATCGACGGACTGAGGAAACAAGTTCAAGCCAGGCTAGCGTGGACCGAACAGTCCTTCAACCAGCTGAGCCGGGATCGACTCACCACCACAGAATGAACTGCTGGCATGGGCGAGATAGTTCCCGCCGAGTCGGCATCGTGATCCAAGAAGGGAGCTGTATCACGAGGGCAAATGAGATGGAAGCTCATGATTTCTCGGCGGAGATTGTCTACTCCCGTCTTGTTAGTGCGTGCAGGGGAGGGGCGTGAGAGCCAGGAAGCCGGGTCTTGATTGAGACCAGTTGGTCGCAAATGAAGACGCTGACGATGACGCAGACAACTTGGACAATACCTCGCATCGCGAACCGATGCAAGAAACCTCGTAACGAGCAGAATTGCATACCAAACTCGTGGGAAACCAAAGGCGCAATGTGTAATTGCCAGGCTTGGCCGAATGGTTTCAGCAGCACACTGTCTGCGGTGTGGCGGAGAGAACGTCCGAGAGACACCATTTCAGCCGAGAGAGATGAGCTGGGAAATGGGCCTCACCGGCTGACTGCGATTCCTGATCAAATGATGAGCTATGTTGTTTGATGAGGCTTGAATATCTTGGCCAGAGTCGAGTACCGGGATTCCGGATGAATTGGAGGAATGGAGCGGACGTCACATTTAGAAAGCCTCGAGAGTTCCGGGGCCATTCCATGACCACCGCGTTGGGTTTGTGCCAGAAGCTAGACAGCCTACCGTCACCACCGTAGCCAGGACCGCACGGGGAAATATTATGCGATCAACTGGGGGTCATCGAAATTGAACCATAAGCTGTCCCTAGAAGACATGTAAGAAGCATGGTAGAATGTGGCAGCCGGCAGGGCTTGACTCTGGACAGGGCTTCTTGGACATGGCCAGCAGTCCAAGCCTCCAAGGCTGCATTTTGGCAGGGCGAGGGCCGAGTGTCATGTCGGTTCATAGCGAGGCGAGCCGTTAGGTGGTCCCGGCGAGTTGGGAGAGATACCGGGGTGGGAAGCTCTACGCTATTCGCAGGTATGATCAGCGAACGACGAGACTGGACGAGCTGAGGGGGATTCGAGGACCGGTCGATTGGGATGGATCGCTAAGCCGGCGAAGTGGCCCCGAACCGTTTTTGTGGGAAGGAAGAAAAGCCCTGGAACGGAAACCGTTTGTCATTGGGAACCGTCAAGAGGAATTCTTCTCGCGAACCAACTTGAAGGTTAGCGTTCAATAGCCGACAACGCCACGACGGTTCTCTTTTCGCTGAACTGAACTGGTGCCACGGACAAGGGGAATTAATTAATCATCATTAACAGCCACATGAACAGATCGGCAACACATCAAGATGAAAAGTGAGGGAGGGATGACGCTGGTGGTTGCCATGACGGATGCTGAGGTCAAGATTTTCCGCGACACATGAGCACCTGTTCTGTTGAACGAGGTTAAAAGGCAGATCCGATTTCCGCGATGTCACCTTTTCCACGCACAAGCAGGCACGACCATGCGCGCGCGGATGCAGGCACCAGAGGAAGGAACCTGAACCAACGAACACACCTCTCCTTCCCCTGTCCAAAAGCATCTAAAATAGCGGGGCAGAAGATGGCTAGGGCCATATGGGGAATAGTGTCAGGGGAACTGCCTCCACCGTTGCCGTTTGGACAGCTCCCAGGGGGGCGTCTCTAGTAATCGGAGCTGGCGAGTGCCTGTGCCTGTACCTGAGCCTGGCCGTGTCAAGGCGGCCCCAGAGAAGCGCCCCCGAAGGCTCGGTCATCATTCCAGGCTCTTCTTCTTCAGCAAGAGAAACTGAGCCTCCTGTTGCAACACGCCGAGGCCGCGCGGCGGAATCGGAGTCAAGAAACCGGCTGAGACTTTCCAAGGGCGATTCACATGCTGCGGGGAGCTTGGTAATGACATCCGTTGATCCCTGAATGCCATCATCGTGTCTCGAGAATCGCACTATGGCGGCGGCAAAAAACAGTGAGCTAGAGTGTCTTGGACAGCAGTTTTGCGAGCCGCCCCCGAAATCGATGCACCGCGGAGTGAGATCGAAGCTCGGGAATTGTTTGAGCTCACGAGTGGAGTAGGCCATCTTAAAAAGTGCAATGATCGACCGGTCTAGGAAGGATGGAAGGATCAGGCTGGCTAGGCTTCTGGGATGGCGGTTTGAGATCAAGTAGGAAAAGAAAAAACCATTTGACGAAACTTCAAGACGAGGCACAAGTTAGGGGAAGGGGGTTTTGCATTGCATTTGTGCCGCTGCCTCTAAACAAAGATCCCAGACGAGCTGAAGCTGAAGCGACACGACTACCAAGAAGATCCAGACACTAGTTGGCGAGATAAAAGAAACGTGAGAAGAGAGGGGAAACAGGTGAAGCCAATCCCAAGCTCTTACTCGTCCAAGAACCTCAGACCAGTGAGGTAGTAGCATGTATGTAAGTTGCAGGAGGCCAATGCGACTGCATATCGCCCGAGTTGCAGCACGGGAAGAAGCTTGATCCTAGAACCCAATCCAGGGGGGCCAGTGGCGAGTGTGGAGAGTGTCACCAGGTTTGGTGTGCGACACAGAGAATAGTAAGGAGAGGAACTGGTTGGTCTGAGAAGCGGGATGCGAAAATTGATCTTCCAACGAGTGAATTGAGGCTCGAAAGGGGTTCTCCAAGGGACCTGTCTGGTTGATGCGAGTTGTGAGATGTTGGATCCTGAGATGCGTAATGCGACGCTGCGATTAGCGCTCTGAACTCCAACGCCTCACCCGGGATGACGGGGCTAGATGGGATTGAGCAATCAAAGTCGCTGCAAAGTTTTGTAATGATAGACGCCCTACCATGTTACTGAAGTTCTCTCTGCATCAGCTGAGTAGTATCGACCCCTTGAAGTTTGGAATCCTTTACACAGAGCTCGGACGTTGCAAATTGGCAGACAGAGAGTTCTCCTTACAGAAGGTCGAATTGACCCCTAGGAGATGGAATAACGGCTGTCAATCGATCCAATCCTCGTTGGTCAACTCGGCACCGACCTCTCGTTCTGCTTTGGTGCTTAGAGTTTGCGTCCGTCACAATTCCCACCTCGCAGCGAGGCCCAATGGAACCCTAGGCGTTGCACCCGCCGACGCACTAGGGGACGGATGGCATGGGACGGAAATGTGACCGGAAGCCGTTCCTTGCAGTAGCCTCCAACGGCTGCACTTGTGGTCTCAGCCTGGAAGCCGCCCGCTTAGAAACCCAAGCAAGCCTCACGCCGCCCCTATTCACAGCGGGAAGCTCAGAGAGATAGCAAGGACATAATGGCTCTATTCCCTCCCGCAGCCGCGTTGCTCTCTCTTTTCGCGGAGCAGTGATAGGACGGTGGCATCTCCCCCAAGACACCATGGCTTCATGTCAGTGTCAGACCTTATCCCCAGCCCATGTCGCTCGCATCTCAGCCAACAACCCATGGCCATTTCTCCCATGCCGCAACCTGAAATCCGAGACTTGGTCCGTTGAGCCGTACAGATCCCACGGAGGTGGCGGGCGGGTATGTAAGACGGGAGAGACCTGGCGTTTGCAGGATGCATGTTGCCCGCCGGATAGGTGCGAGCAAACGTGGGCAGAGTCCCTGAGTGCGATGTGGGAGAGTGAATGCCCGTGTGTGTCTCGAGGGTATCGAGACCTTTGGATCCCCTCGGGTGAGACGCGCATGGTTCGTGTCGCGCTTGGTATGTTGGACATAGGTAGCATCTTGTGTTTCGTGGGCACACCTGATGGTGGTGAGGAGCGTCAATGCTGCCAATGCGTAGGTCGTGGACGTGTGAGGCTCATTTGTTTCCCATTGGCATGTCGCCGGCCCCTGAAGTCAACATGACGCGATGCTTCTGAATGATTGACCATCCCTTTCAGATCTTATCAAACCCAACAGGTTGGAAAAATTCCAGAGGCTGTCGTCAACAACGTGGGTGAAAGCGTTTGACCAGCCATTTCCAGAGTGGAGGGTTCCA